GGTAGTAGGATAATTTCGATATCGAAATTTCTTTATTTTTGAGTTTTGGAGAAATAATTTCTTTCTAGGATCTTAACTCTCAAACCCATTTAGGATGAGTTAAGGGTTTGACGATTCTAAAAGGGGTTGTAGGGAAAGTGGGTAAGTGGTTGGGACAGTATATTTCAAATGGGGTTTTACCTCAAGAATTTATTATTTTGTGGTTTGATCTATTGGTTTCTGTTTTGTTGGCGAGGGATATAACAACATTGTAAAATGTGTCTTCTAAGTTAAGAGGGTTGTAGCATTCTCGATAAAAGTTTTCAAATCGAGATATTTGAAGATAGTGAGAGTATTTACCTTTCTTGGTCTTCGATTTATCCTGCATAATGAGAGAAGGATGCTCAGTCAATTTCGATTGGATTGTATCAATGTCAGAGTGAATTCTTGAAAACCAATCATTCCACCATTGGGAAAAGTCAGGAGTAGATAAGTAATTTGACTCGAAAGCATAAGGGTAAAAATGAAGTGGGCTTTGTGGTAATAATTTGGTGAGTACCCTTCCTACATTCTATTCATTAAACCTGAACCTTGGGGGACTATCGATGTTGAAAAAAGGTGAAGCTTGACTTAAACCAAATTGCCTTGAGAAAAGTTGAGGATAGTAGATGATGAGTTTGATATCTTTTGATTGAAAGCCTGATACCAAAACATCTTGGGTTAAATAATTACTCCATACATCAATTAGTTTTGATTATAGACCTAGAGTAGGAGCTGGAAATCTTGACTTAAACCATGTTAGTCCTCGAAGCCTATCACTTATTTTTCCATGATATGTAATGAAAGGAGCCAAACATGAGTCGAAATAAAATTGAGTCAGTAAGAACTTCAGATAAGTTTTATAATTGGCTTCATCAGAGGATTTTTGCTGAGAATGTCGGGATGATAATCGGACACCTTCTAAATTACAATTTGGGGTAACTTTGAATTGTGGGGGAAGGATACTTTCGAAAATCGAAGTTAGCCATAGTTAGATGAACCATATGGGACCTGAAAAATTTCCTGAGGGTTTTTGAGTATTCAAGATATCAATTGCCTCATCGAATGCTATATAGACATGCGCCAACAAGAGTTTTGCCAAACAAATTCGATGTTGACCGGTATGAAGAAGGTAAGCAAGATTATAAAAATGTGATGAAATTTGGATAGATCGAGGGCAAAAAACATGAGTGCAAAGCCAATATACCAAAAACGCAATATTTTCTTCAGTGGAAACTGCAATTGATTGGTCATCGATAAAATGTTTTTCGATGAAATGACCATAGGCCTTCGCATCCCAATCGATTCTTGCTTTGAGAGAATCTTCAAAAGGGAAAGCAATCTTAAAGTATTTTTCCCCTATAGGCTTTAACCCAATAATTGCAGCAATCTCGAAAAGAGTAGGGGAAAGAGGACCACATGGAAGCTCCATAGCATGTAAATCTTTATTCCATAAATGAATTGCAGATAAGAACATGGACATATCCAAAGACGATAAATCACATCGAGATAAGTGTAGAAAGTCGAAAATCCCTATATATTTCCAATGGTTTCCAAACTTGGTTTTCACTCTATCAAACCACCTTATATATAAGGATTTTTTATGGGGAGAACCGGTTCGATATACTTTTGAGGTAGCATTTAGTAAATTGATCCTTATCTCAATTTTGTGAATAATGACTTTGCTTTCGGAAGGCAGACAGATATTAGGGGAAGACGATCCACCAGAATAACGAATAGGACCACCGAATGCATAATCAACATTATTAACTGTATAAGGTATAAGTACCTGTGTTTCAGCGTTTTTTTGTGAAGCTTCTTCCAACAGTGGGACCGGAGCGAACTTTTGACCGTTTATCTCTATTAGATTTGAAGTCACCATCGACAATGAGGGGGTGGGAAGGTCAGAAGATTTGGAAGTTGTCATGATAGTTGTGTAAAAATGGAAGATGGAGAAGAGGTAATGGATGAGAAATATGGGTTAGGTTTAGTAAAGATAATGCAAGTTGATTTGAGTATTTTAAAGGAGTCAATTAGGGCAGTTGAAACGACGGACGTGGAAGAAAGTTAAATGGAGACGTGGCAGATTTTTTGGAAAAAGGATGAGTTTTTAGGTGAATCTAGTAACATTAATGAGGGGAATGCTTTGATTTGACATCTGATAATAAAAATAGCCTTTTAGCTTCAGAACATTTAAGAGTTGAAATAGATATTTTTTGAAAAAATACAAAATTTTGCACAAATATTTTATTCTTTTAAGGGGGCATTTTGTTGGTGGGGAAAAAATCGAGAATCAAAAGAAGGAATTCGATGATTATTGCTGAGGAAAATCGAGAATCTAAATCGAAAGAAAAATAGAGGAAATTCGATGAACATGATTGAGGAGGTAAAAAATCGATTATAGGTATTGAGTGTGAGGCTAAGTGGGAAGTCAGAAGCAGTTTAAAATACTCGATGGTTGAGGTCGAGATCAAGGGAACGGTTAAAGTGCACATGAAACATGGGAAGGGAACGGTTAAAGTGCACATGAAACATGGGAAGCGGTTTTCTAAATCGTGGCTAAGTTGGAAATCGAGGAACGGTTAATGCGCACATGGAACATGGGAAGCGGTTTTCTAAACCATGGCTAAGGTGGAAATTGAGGGACAATTAACATGCACATGGAACGTGGTAGCGGTTTTTTAACCACTCGTAGGAGATTACCTTAAAGAACATCTATAAATAGAGCGAAACAAGAAGACGGAAGGGAAAATTGGCAGAGAGAATAGAAACACAAGTGAACGAGTCTACCGGAGAACGATGAATCATGAAGCTTTTGGCAATCTGGATTTCCATTTTCATTGACTGTTGTTACCACTTTCTTTACTTTCCCTAGTACTTTAGCTTTAATGCAATCTAATTTTACGTGCCTTTATTTTCATGTTATTTCAATTTCATTGCCCTTTACACTTATACAATCTTAAGATTCTGCATTACATCTTTGTCTCGATAGTTTTTAATGTTTTCTTTACTTTCTCAGTAATTTATCTACTTGCATGTTTAATTTACTTTCCAGTGATGTCGATTACTTTTATGCGCATTTTAATTTATGTCATTTACTCTTAGTGCAATTTAATTTTATGTATTACTTTGTTGTCTCAATGTTCTTTTAGTGCTTTCTTTACTTCTATTAAATTTCATATTTTCGAGTCTTTTAAATAAAAAAAATACAAAAAGAGAACTTTTGATTTCAATATGTATGTTTTATCACGCTTTCAGTGTTTCTAATATACGCGTTTGGTTTCATCTATTTTGCTCGATATTTTTATATTCTCGATTTACATACATTTTTTGATTAAAAAACTGTTTGGTAGCCTAAATAAAAAGAATCTACGTGGTTAAAATTGGATTAGAACCTAAGTCTTTAGGAAGTTGAAACAAACCAAAATTTTTTCAGAAACACCTTTAAAAAAATATATAAAATAAAAAATAATATATATTTTGCACATAGTAAAAGTTATTTAAGGTGTTACAAGTTGAATGATCAATTTCAATACATCTAAGAATGAAAGGAAAATAAGTAATTTCAAATTTTTAGTGAGATTAAACAGATTATTTTTTTTTTACAAAAAACTAAAATAAAAATATACTATTTTAGGAGACCTAAGACCATTACTACCTCTACCTAATATATTGAGTACTATTCATCTTATTCTTATAATTATCAATCCACATTTAGATTCTAACTTTTATATTTACGTATAAATAAAAAATAAAAAATAAAAATAGTTAACATAATCTATCAATTGACCATACATGATTTTTATTATTTGTTTTAATGTAAGATTTAATAACATCATGTTGATGGTAAGTTTTTAATTATTCTTGAGATAAAATAGAATTCACTTGTAATAGATAACTAGGTCTACATTAAACAAATATAAAACGAATTTAAAAGTATGAAAACCACACACAACATGTATTAAGGAAATTATTTTGTATATATTATTATTGATTAAATATAAATTATATGGCCCTATTGCCAACCCCTTTAACAATAATATTCATCAATGACCAAGCTAGCGCAGCCAAAAAGTATTATTTTATTACGCATCGCGAATAATCACGTTTGCAAATCGCATCGTAAACATGTCTCAGTAGCCTCTCGAATTAGTTAATGGACAAGGTTGTTTAAACTTAAAATAAATCTTTTTGAAGTAAACAAATTAAAATTGATTACTTATTTAGAAAACAGATAGGTTTACTTATTAAATAAATAAATAAATAAATACCGACTTTAATAATAAGATGTTGAAAAATTTCCAAGTTTACCAACAATGATGAGATATTTGCTTAGGCTCCATAGGTCTATACCCCTTGTTAGGGATCAATTTAATTATGGGTTAGAATGAGTTTAATTTATTTAATTTGTGAGTTAAACGGATTTGAAAACGATTCATGATAAGCTATTTTTTTTAATATTTAATAATCTAATTGATCTTATCTATATCTTAACATTAATTAAAAAATAAATAAATTAGATGAGTCAATTCATCATTCATATTAGTATATTGATTGAGTCGGATAACAGAAATAGTTTTCGATGAAACAGATACAAAATTATAAATTTCAAAAAATATTAAATTCAGGAAAAAAAAAAGTGCAAGGGTAGAATAATTTTCAATTTGCTAAAAATTATTAAGAAGTGGGCCAAGTGAATTAGTTTATGCACTGATTTCCTAGTGGATGAAGTTGACGAGCTTTTCACGTGTCCCATTTGGTGTGCTTTAGCGTATCACCATGCTTACACATGCTCAAAATTGATGGTCAGAGACGCCATTTTTGCCTCTATTTTGCATAAAAGTCTTAATTTTATAAAGTGAGCCTTCTATTTTTCTCCCCCACATTGCTATTACTCACCAAATACCAAGCTTCATCACTTCTCTCTGTAATTTCAGACAAATTGTTTTTCTGCGACGCTTTTCTATCGAGTTCTTCGGACCATGGGACGGTGCATGTCGCATGATTTCGCTTTTACACTTGCTGCGTTGTTCTGTCTCTCCGGTTGCTTGGTTAACGTTGGACAAGCACAGTCTACGAACGCCACCACTGATCCTTCTGAAGGTGAGTGTTTTCTTTTTCTTACTTTCTATAGAACCTGTTTAATGGAGTTTTATGATTTATGGAAAAATTAATCCAAAGAGTTACCACGAAAAATTCTTCTTTCTTCTTAGTTAGACGTTATGTATTATTAATTTTTATTTCTGAGTTATTATTTATTATTATAATTAATTTTTATTTTTGAGTTATTATTTTGTTTTGAAGTTCTCACTAACCGTGATTTTTAATTTCAAATAAATTTTATGAGTCAAAAAAGAAGAATGTATATAATATATCAACTCCACTGAAAATATGATAATATTAAAATAGATAAATAATTATAATATTTATTTTACTCAACCATTGTGAAATTAAGGTAGTTAACAACGTTTTTAGAAAAATTAATAATTTTGTGGCCAACTTTTCACTTTCAGTTTTCCAGAGAAATAGCTACTTCTTTATTATATGGAACCAAGCATTTTCAGAGTTTTTCTATTAGAAGAAAAGTACAATATTTTTAGTGGAAAGATTTAAAAAATAAATAAATTGCAAAACTCATTTCAATAATCTATCAATCTCGACATGTTAGTAAGTGATATTGAAACAAAGTCAACTCTTTAATAAAGAAAAACTTAAAAAAAAGGTGAAAAGTGCATAATATGCTGAATACTTCGTTTGGTGCAAGTTGTCTTTGTTTGATGGATTATACATATTTATATATTTGTGTAAGAATATTGATGCATAATATTTTAAAAATAATATTTTTCAACTAAACTCAATTTCTCTTATTTGCGAATCTATATTTTTTATAATTAGTTTTTTTTTTACTTTTATTTTATTTTTTCTCTTTATTTTTAAATATATCTACTTTTTTTTTCTTTAATTACATTCATATTATTTTTTTCATATATTTTATTATTCTTTAAATATATAAATCATAATACTTATTTTATCTTTAAATTATAATACTTTTATTTTTGTCCTTTTTATAATATTAAAAAATAAATTATAAAAAAATCTTATTATATATAATTATAGATTATTATTATTAATGAAAATACATAAATTATAAAAGAGATTTTTTTATATATTTATAGATTATTTAAATTTTATCAATTTAATAATTTTTTACACAATATATCGAAGTCGAATACATATTATTAAAAAAAGTTATTTCTAAAATTTATTTTTTCATTTTAAATAAATTATTTCATTTGATTATTTGATATTTAATAAAAAATTCTCATTTCCTTAAAATATATTAATAATAAAATATTTTTAACATATTTAATAATAATAGTATTTTTTACATTTATATTTTAAATGCCATATAGATTTAGATATAGTTATATATGAAAATTGACTAGTTCTTACTTAATTTGAACAAATCAATATCCAAACAAGTAACTACAATACCAATAGCACATAACTTTTTGTTGTAAAATATGGCCATCTCTACTAAAATTATTCAAAGTATTTGAATTTCTTTAACTAGTTTATGGGTTTCAGTTAGTTCATTTTATTCCATTTATATCAATTATTAAAACTTCCATAAAAAAAGAGTCATGTTTTTGATTATTTTTTTCAAAGAAAATATAGACAGCAGAAACTGAAAAGGCTCTGTTTGTTTGTTTACACATTTACAAAGGTAAAACATAACGGTGAACGATGATTTTGCATATTTATTTTCTCTCTTTTCAAAATTTTGCAACGAGTTTTCTCAAAAGACAAGTACTGTTTTTTTTTTTTACTAAGCTAAATGAACAATTTTTTTCTTCTCGTTTGTCGTTTATCTCTGTTTTATTTTCAATTCGAATCACTTCCTTTTTTCTTTACCTTCCTAATTTTACACTGAGTGCATTTCCCTGAAAATGTGAACTTGTGATGCAGCAAGAACTTTAAATTCAATCTTCAGCAAATGGGGTAAATCGGCAGATACAACTATATGGAATATAAGCGGTGAAGTATGCAGTGGAAGAGCCATCGATAGTACCACCACCATTGACTCTTACAACCCATTCATCAAATGTGACTGTTCCTTTGACAACAGAACTACTTGCCGCATCACATCACTGTATCTGCCCCCTTCTCCCTCAACTTTATTTTCAAAATTTTCCGATCAAATTTGTGTTTTGCAGTACATCGAACTTGGAAGCTTAATATAATAATTCTCACTTTTTTTTGGGCTTTTTATTTTTTGAATGGCACAGGAGGGTCTATGCATTGGACGTGGTTGGTGAAATTCCAGAAGAGATATGGACTCTCACTTTCCTCACCAATTTGTATGCTTTCTTCCTCATTAACAGCTTTAAAATAACTTCTCCACAAACTTCATCATTATTACCTGTGGAAACTTAGGCATTCATATATGCTCACATTTTGGTTTGTAATAAAGAGTTACTACTTTAAAAACACAGTTATCACAATAAAAAACAGTTATCTTATCATAATAAAGATAAAATTGTATAAAAAAGTAGTATACAAAGACAGTTATTAAGTTTGGTGTTGTCTTTATATATTAGCATAGACTAGTATGAATTTAATTTTCATTCACTATCCAATGCATCTATCAACCAATTAAAAATAATTTCATTTATGATTGTTGGGGTAGTTATTATAAAAGTTAACAAAGTTATCATATATGGTAATAGTTATGATTGAATGTAAATATTTGTGATTGAGTATGTAAAATTATTTTTGATTCATTTTTAGCTTTTGATTTGTTGTTCTCAAGCAAGAATTACGTGTTTTTTGCTATACTAAGTTCCATACATTGCAATCAGAATTCTTGGGCAAAATTACTTGACGGGTTCTCTACCTCCAACTATTGGAAATCTAACTCGTTTGGAATACTTGTAAGACAGTTCGACCCAAGTGCAGTTCCTGATATTCTATTTATATAATGTAGAGACACATAATTTCTAACATTTAAGTTTGTTCTTTGTCAGGAGTCTTGGAATCAACAATTTATCAGGGGAGCTTCCAAAGGAATTGGGAAATCTTACAGAGTTGAAATTACTGTATGTTGTTTACTTATAACTTTTTTTCCTCTGATGATGAAATTGTCAATGGGTAGTTTTTTCAGGATCAAGTAGTTACCTACAAGATTTAGTTTCAGTTACGAGTCTTACATCTGGTAGAATACGAAATTTGATGTGGTATTTAAGCGATGAGGTTGTCCCACATAACGAATTAGTATTTTGGGTTAAGTTCCCTCTTTATGCCTAAGTCATAATAATATCTCTTGTGATACACTGAGTGTTGGAAAATTTTGGCTTGAAAATATTATCTTTTCCTTTAGACACAATATTAGTTATGCGTACATAAATGGATAGAAGGGCAATTGAATGTTTTTCATAAGAATTTGCTCGTGTATGAAAGCATTGTTCTCTTTAATTAATCCAATATTCTTCTATTATGGGTGCATAAGAAACTTCTTTGGATGGCACTACTGAGATTTATTATTTGCTAAATTTGTAGGAGCATTGGGTCAAACAAGTTCTCAGGACCTCTCCCATCTGAACTTGGAAAACTCACAAAGTTAGATCAACTGTAAGTATTTCTTCAGTCTTAGCCTCTATTCGTATTAGTATTTTTCGAATCAAGTTTGGGTCATGTATAGTTTCTCTCTCTCTCTCTCTCTCTCTATATATATATATATATATATATATATATATATATATATTTATTAACATATTCATTGACTTTACTCATTCATTGTTTTCTTTTGTATACTAAAATATAATCACCTAGCACAATTTTGGCACCATCCTTGCATTTTGTGTCAGATTTCACCCCCTTCCATTAGGCGAATATACCAGGATAGGCAATTACCAAGAAAAACTATAAGCTTTAATATCATGTCAGATTTCATCTTAAACTTAATTGATTTTAAGTTGAAATATGACATTTTGTATCTCATATGTATGTATATATATATATATATATATATATATATATATATATATATATATATATATATATATATATATATATATATATATATATATATATACAGAGAGAGAGAGAGAGACAGAGAGAGAGTGAGAGAGCGGGAAAGAGATGAATGTATATACTAGTCTTTGAAATATGATTTGTCTCCAAACAGCAATAATATCCTTGGGAACTACAATACAGTATTTTGATTGCTAAATACTGGTAAAAACAATTATTTATTATTGTCCGTAGTGATCAATTAGACCTGTCTTAAACGTACATTGTGGTGAATAATGAGTTGGTCCTCGGTAATGCAAAGTATTAGGTCATTTTTCAAAATTACAGTTTGTTACACATTTGCATACCATTGTTGTGTTGTGACCACAAGAGAATATTAATTTAACAATATTTCCTTGCAGCTACTTTGATAGTTCCGGAATTAGTGGTCCAATTCCGTCCTCATTTGCAGACCTTAGGAATTTGGTAACAGTGTAAGATATTCCTGCTAGATGTGTCTAAAGAAAGAGAAACTTCTACAACAATAATTTTTTTCTATTCATTTCAGATGGGCTTCAGACACGGAACTCACAGGCAAAATACCAGACTTCATAGGGAATTGGACTAAACTTCAAGTCTTGTAAGACAGCATTACTTGTCAACTCTGTTTGCGACTAAATTTGAATTAAGTAGGTGAAAAACTTTTTGGAAAAGACCAATTAAATTGGATGTGGAATTAAAATTTTCTTTTTATGATTACTTTCATATTTTATTCTGAAAGTGTGTTCTGACAGTTATTGTGATTTGTTGTGTTTTACTTTGATTTTCTTTCCAGAAGTGTGTACTAACAATTACTGTGAATTATTTTCTGTTTTGATATTCTGTTATCAGAAACTTTTCTTTTTTATGGTTACTTTCGTATTCTATTCCCAAAGTGTGTGCTGACAGTTTTGGTGAATTGTTTTAATAGGAAGTTTCAAGGCAATTCTTTTAATGGCTCAATACCCTCATCATTTTCCTATTTGACTTCTTTAACAGAATTGTGAGTACCACCACTAATTTCTTGTGTGGTTATTATTGATTGATGAAAGCTAATATATCATGTATGATATAAATGTAGGAGAATAAGTGGTTTATCTAATGGGAGCTCCTCGCTGGAATTTGTAAGGAGTATGAAATCTTTGACTATGTTGTAAGGCCCCAATTTTGCTAATGTTCATGACTCACTCTGCTATGCAGACTTAATTTTTTTTTACTTGTTTTTTATCTTCCTAAATGTAATCCAAGAATTTTGTTACAATTGTTGCAGAGAATTGAGGAATAACAATATTTCTGCTTCGATTCCATCCTTCATTGGCGAGTTGCACAATTTGACCCTGCTGTGAGTATTGCCTGTTTGTGTTAAATTAAACTATATTCAAATGAAATTATGTAAAAGGTGTTGACTAAAAAGCAACAAATCATTTAATTCTTTATAGCTATTCCACAGCATCTATCCAATCTGATTACTGACTGGTATATGAGTATGAGGGATATCTTAAAATAAGAACTCAACATGTTTATTACTGACTTGGTGTTCATTTATCTTTTTTACTTCGTAATTTTCGTTGTTATTTTATGTGGTAGAAAGATACTTCTCTACTTATTTATCATAAAGATAAGATAATTGGACATTTTCTTTTCTTATTTGATAAAGAGAAAACAAGTATATTCTCATAGTTTTATCATTTCCCAAATCAAGAAAATTATATATTTTATTTGTGGTGGTTATTGCAGGGATTTAAGCTTCAACAACATCAATGGAGAAATTCTGGGATCAATTTTCAATTTGAGTTCGCTCTCTACCTTGTAATGTTGCATTTCTAAGAAATTACATACATATTCATTTGTTAATACGCTTTGTACATAGTTTAAAGGATGTTTTAATCTTATTCATCAAATTGTAGGTTTCTTGGAAATAATAAACTAAATGGCACCCTTCCGATGCAGAAAAGTTCGTCACTTCAAAATATGTAAGATTGACTATTTTGAATTATGGAGGATGAAAATAATTACTTTACTAATTCAAAAATACTAGGGCAAAATCCAAGGTGCCCCTCAACTATCCGGCACGTGTTGTGCTTTGAACCTCACCAACACGATTTTTTAAACTCACCAAACTCTACTTATTGACCAATATGAACTTTTTCTACACATGCAATCGAGGATAATTTGGTGAATTCAAGAAGTTTAGTTGGTGATTTTTAAAGCACATGGCATTGTCTTCATATGACTCATAGTTGGATGGGATCCCCAGGGTATTGCCCAAGATTTTGAGCTTTACACTTAATTGCTATTTAAAATTGTCAAAATTACACCATTTGAATATAAAAGAGATTAATTGGAACTTTGCCCTTCAAGTTTAAAGATTAAAATGAACAAAATTTGTATTATCATACTGAGAGGCAAGAGTGTATGCTTTTTCTATGTTCTTGTCAATTTTCTATTTGTGTTCATTTGAAGTATGCGTCCACATGTCTTAATTGATTAATCAAACTTGGATGCTTTACTTTAAAATCGATGTTAGATGTGCTGTTGTCAGATATGTATCTACCCGAGGCCGAGGCCGAGGCCGAGGCCGAGGCGAGGCGAGGCGAGGCGAGGCGAGGCGAGGGCGAGAGCGAGGCGAGGTGAGGGTGGGGGCGGGGTGGGAATGGGTAATGTAATCCCCACCCCGACTTTGTTCCTGTCCCTGTCTTCGTCCCGAGTTTATATTTAAATTTAAATTTTAAAATATTAATATTTTAAAAGTATTTTTTTTTCTATTATATATAAGATCACTTTTTTTATATTTTACCATTTTTACTTTTCTTCTACACACTTTTTATTATTTTTTGTCTTTTTTAATCTTTTATATTAATTAATTTATTACATTATTCACTTTCTCACCCTTTCAGTTTTTTCACATTTCCTTAATCTTTTCAATCAATTTGTTTTTTTTTTTTCAATCTTTTCAACCAATATGATGAACACAAAGTTAATTTTTTTCTAAATATTTTACATAAATCTTAGTAGTAACTAATATTATTTTATTTATAATTTATATTTATTGTGTTTATTATATATTTTTTGGATCTTATTATTCTTATTTGTCATGTATCAAATTGTATCTTAATAAAATAATTGTATTTTAAAGAATTAAAAAGAATTGATAATTTAAACTTTTATTACTTCGAACTAATTAAATAAGAATTAACTAATTACATATTTCTTTGTAAATTATATATTTCATATTTTTAAATGACAACTTAAAAATGAATTAACTTATATATGTAATCAAATGTTTGAATACAGTATTATAATAATAATAATAATAATAATAATAATAATAATAATAATGTTATAAATATTCTATATATATATATATATATATATAAATAAAAAATGTTTAAATATTTCTTTTACATACATATTTTAATATAAATATAATAAATTAAAATATATATTTAATTAATAATAATTACAAATTGTAAAATTATAAATATTTATTTATATATAAAAAGTACATAGTAAAATTAATTTATTATAAATATAATTATCTTTTAAAAAATAATATAGAGCTGGGACGGGACGGGGGACGGGAGTAGAGAAACCTGAAACCCAGCAGGGACGAAGATTAGGATTTAATTTCTAATCCCGATGGGGATCGAGGACGGAGATGGTTAAAAAGTTGGAGCAGGGGATCGGGAGGCAAAACCCGCCCCGTCTCGTTGCCATGCCTAATTCTAGGACACCATAGGAAACTATAAGCATACATGATGTAATTTTATTTTATTTTGAAATCTTTTGCTGATATGTGTGGGTGAATCATATGTATTTGCTAAATGGTAGTCATCTATCGAGTCTATAATGACTAACTACTAATGCTGAAGAAAAGCTAACAACATTCATTTTGATGTTTATTTGACTTGCTCTACTTTTATCTCATGGAATTGCTCAATTATAATTTTCTTTAAATGATTTTTATAATGGTTTTATTTGTGTATGATGTTTTCTTTAGATGATTTAAAATTTACATAATTTGTTTGTTATTGTTATACTTTATCTTATATATCATACTTATACGCAATTTTTTTTCTATGGTGTCATATCTGGCACTTCTATCTATACTTGTATACATTTGTAAACACAGTTTGTCAACTCATACTAATATTAAACTTAATTAGGCTATTGTAGCTGCACTCTTTTCGATTGAAACCATCATTCTTCAAGTATTATCCTTGATTTGGTTTGACTTAACATGCTTGCAGAGACTTGTCATACAATGATCTATCAGGTAGCCTCCCCTCATGGGCAAATGAACCAAATTTACAACTGTAAGTTGTGTGATTCTTTTTTCTCTCTTTTTATATATCAATTTGTTAGAAATGGCCCAATACAATGTGTTAGAAAGAATAGAGAAGGAGTAGTTTTGGATTGGATGACATAATGGTGTACCAAGCTATTCAAGAGGATTCAAACGGGTAATAAACAGAGGAGGAGACCTAGTTAAGTAGTTCAAAATTGTTAGAAAACAGATAGAAAAAGTTGAATATTTCATTCTCGTATTCATTTTGTTTGTTTTATCACAGACAGAAGAAGTTGAACAGTTATTCTCTTCCTACAACATGATCCAATTCTATTACAATTTTTATAGTTTCAAAGTCTCTAGCATTATTCTTCAAGATATTTGTATGGTACTTGTGTGATGCTTGGGATGTTATACATATCCAAGATTCCAATCCTATTACACATCATATTTCCTATGATTTTGTTGGATATGATCTGGATCAATTTTGATTAGTTTGGTAATTTAATAATCAACTATCTTGAATAGTTATTTTACAAAACTGCATCTTTTAGTTTACCCTTTTGTAATATTCTATTGTTTAGTTACATTATCACAATATTGTTTAAACACAAACTCAAACACTAAAATGATTAAATGAATAGCAAGAGTGTGCAAATGGAAGTTTAAATTTACTTTTGCCACAAAATGTTTACTGTGATCTACATTTGAGAGAGATTAAAATAAATATAAATACAATTCAAGTTAATAACATTAAATTCGTAATCATTTTAATTCATTTATATCATGATTATGGTTACACTTATCTTCCTAGGATTCATTATACTAAAATAATAAAGTTGTTCATGTCTCCTCTCACCTTTAAATGGTTAACTAAAAAATTTAGTTCAAATTTTAACATCATATGTTGAAAATCCGCTTGACATTTATCTCTCTTTATATATAACTAGGAGGAATCTATTTACTCCAAGAGTAAGAGTTAGATGTTTACTCTTTATTCTCACCATTCATTCTTTTTTGTAATCTAATGTCTAAAATAATAACTCATCTTAAATATTAGATTACAAGAAAATAGATAATGATAATGAGGACTTACTCTTGTAGTAAGTCAATCTCCTCTCATATATATATAAAAGAGTGAGGAGTGACTCTAAGATTAACTTAAACATAGTTACTCCTCATCATCACTTGGTATTAATGAGTAACTAATTATAACTATTATATGTATGTATTGTGAAACTCATTGTGATAATTTTGGGGTATGAAATGCAGGAATTTAGTTGCCAACAACTTGTCGATAGCTGATGATTCAAGTACCAGGTGACTATTATAAATTTCTTTAATGTTGATTGTTTTAATCTTAAAACATACCTTGTATCACCTATTTGTTGGCTATATAATATGAATAATGATCTTGCTTGGACTCCATTCGTTTTTAGTGTATATTGATATGCTAGTTGTATCCATTTTCTATTTATTTTGACAGTCTTCCAATCCATTTGAAACATTGTCTTTTCCAATACAAGTGTACTGTATATTGTTTGGCATCACCGACACACATTTTATTTGACAATTTCTAAAAATTTATATTTGGTACGGAATAATCTTTATTTGACAAATCAAGGATTAAATCTATATGATTATTTTTGGTGCAGACTAATCTTTATGATTAAATATAAAGACATTTTGTGACTAAACGGGATAATCTTTAAGGCCGTACCTTTTCTTTGGCTTCACAGATCTACAACTTACGGATTTCTGCAAAAACTAATTCTCATTTGGTAACACTTAACCAAAAAGACGGTTCAATAAATACAAAATTGCAATAGACCGCTCTTCAAACATTTTTAACATTTGCTTGATTGACTTTCCTAAACTTGGAAGATATTTCAAAGAATTTTGAAGTTGTAGTTCTCATTCGTATTGGGGTCTAAGTAAAAGCGTTTGCATTCAAATCTTAGAGATTATTAGTCTCTGATTTTTATTTATATACGACTTGGAAAATTCATTTGTGGACTAATCCTTTATTTGGTAACTTTTCTTTTGCAGCGGATTGCCATTTGGGCTCAACTGTCTCCAGAAAAACTTCCCTTGCAATCGAGGTGCTGGAAGATGTAAGTTTGACTTCAAGCTAATTTTTTTCATGTGATGTGTAAGTAGTGCGAGGCACTAAAACTGATAAGAAAATATTATCTAAAAACAAATTGTTAAATTTACCATCATAGATATCTTAGAGGGAAAGGCCAGGGCAATGGTAAAGTCCTTGCCACACCCTTTTTACTATTAATTATATCACAATATAAACCAAATTTTGAACTCAAATGAGGCAAGTTTTGATGTTTGACAGTTAATTGACCATCACATATATCTACTGATAGTATGGCTTTTCAGGACACCAATACCCTTCAATCCAACTAACTAATTACTTCTCATAAGATTCTCCTAGTTACTTAATAGTGTACTATTCTTTCACCATCGTTTGCCTTTATTATTTGATTTTCTTTGTCATATGCATGTTTTATATAGTTGTACTGTCTAATATACGGTAGTCTTGTGATAGGAAGCACTAATACTGTAAATATGATAAAATTGAAGTAATAAGTCGCCTTTACAAGGAGAAGTCACCGCTCAATAAGCAGAAGCACAACGACTTTAGTAGAAGAATTACAGCAAAATTTAGTAAAGAGAAAAAAAAATCAAAACTGAAAAAAAAAATAAAAAAAAATCTCCTTGATATAAACTGATATTGATACTAAAAATAAAATTGAATTCAAGGAAATCTCCTTTACAAAGAAAACTTAGTGCTCAAAAAATTGAAACTCAATTATTGAATAGATGGATAGGCAAATACAGCCTCTGCCTTCTTGCCTTAAACCACCAAATCTTTAGTTCTCTCCATAATTATTCACTTTTGTTTTCCTCTTTTATCATTGGTCCATTTTCCACTCTAATTCCTTACTGTCCCTGTTCATTCTGTTACAGTCTCTTGATACTATTTCCTCCTCACATCTAGCAACATTCTCATTGAACATCATCCTGTTTCCTTAGTTTTTACCTTCCCTAAAATCTAACTATTTTGTCATTTTTTTCTGCAATATAAAAGTTCAAGTTGCTGCTATCCATTGTCCTTACATATCATTCCTTCTTCACTAGGCCAACCACCATTATTTAATTGTTTTTCATTCTTAACATTTGTTGGACTTGTTAGAAAAACCTTCTAAAAAAATTGGAAAATAAATTCTTAGCCTTTGTTGGACCCGAATCTGTTTCTAATTTTGAAACAATTTTGCAACATCTGGATTAATGATTGACATAAGTGGTTACTAATCCTCGCAAACGATCTCTTCTATTTCTTTCAATGTGAAATCAGGATGACCTAAAGGATTACTAAGTGGGTTCACTCCAGTGTATAAGAGTGTTTTCTGAAACACCACTAGGGGACTTTCAGAGGTCAAATCAATCCTACGTATCTAGAACTAATACAAAATCCACGACTATTTGGATTACTGTGACTGAAGGATTTCTATGCCTTCCTTTTTCATTACATGGAAAAGAAATAGGATAAAATGTGTTTTAGGTCACTCAATATTTGATAAAAAATTATTTTATCCTTATCATTTAAAAATGGTCGTGATCCTTTCATTTTCTAACATGTGGTGAATCTTGTCGTCGGTCAAATTAAAATGCACTATAAGGCTAAAGACGAAATTCATCATATTTCATAAATACAGGAATCAAAACTACTGCTTTTAAAATGTGGGAGTCTGAAATCAAATTTGACCGTATCATCTCCAATGATAGTTCTTACAAGATGTGCTTATTAATAAAAACAATATTTTAGTATGAACCCCACCTACGTGAATTACTTAATATAGGAGATATATTTATAAACAAATCCAATTTTAAGCAAATACTAAAATAATGTTTTTATTTTGTAAGCAACTCTCATTGGATTAAATCACATTTTACACAAAGAAACATCGGGCTTTATCTGAAGTCAAACTTATTATTTAAAACTCCTTTTCACTCATTGATCAGTTTCTATCTATGATTCTATGCAGATTCTGACTTTGCAATCAAGTGTGGCGGTAACCAAATTAGGTCCACAGATGGAATCGTATATGAAAGGGAGAATGAGACACTTGGTCCTGCTACATACTATGTTACTGATACAAGTAGATGGGCTGTTAGTAATGTTGGATTATTTACGGGGAGTAGTAATCCAATATACACGCGTTTTGTGTCTAATCAATTCACTAACACCATGAATACGGAGCTCTTCCAAACAGCACGACTCTCTCCTTCATCATTAAGATATTATGGCTTGGGGCTGGAAAATGGCTTTTACAACATCACCCTTCAATTTGCAGAAACAGCTATTCTGGATTCTACTACAACATGGAAAAGTCTTGGGAGACGAGTCTTTGATATATATATACAGGTACTTTTTTACTTATCTAAATACTTGGCAATCATAAAGATAGTGCAATAATAATGACAATGAGAATCGACCTTAAGAACTTTTACATCTGTCCAAGTGTTCATAAAAGTATGGCGTCTCTGTAACTTCTTACATTCTTTTCGGTGTTTTATTCTGGTGAAGAGGAAATACTTCGTGTGCTATATATGATGCCATCACTTTGAAATTTCTACTAAATATTTTAAGTATATCAGGGCTTGGCCGTTGTTGAGATAACGATTTAAGGTCATGTGTGCATTATTCTTAGCTTACATTTGCCGGACCAGGAAAGTTTGCTTTTTTTTTTTTTTTCTTCTCTTCATTATCCAATTAAATAGCATGGCATCTCCACTAAGTACATCATTTATCCAAATCAAATTTGTAGAACCAAATTATGTTTTAGGCTGTATCATTGGTTTAGGACAAAAATAAAGATTGTTTTTGACCCTCTCTTTTCTTGCCTTTTATTCTAACTTCATTTTTCTTTCCATTTGAATAACTAGGGGACTCTTGTTTTGAAAGATTTTGACATACAAAAGGAAGCTGGGGGCATCTCATACAGAGCTGTCCAAAAGCAATTTAGGTTTCAAGTGTCAGAAAACTATCTTGAAATCCATCTCTTTTGGGCTGGAAAAGGGACTTGTTGCATACCAGATCAAGCTACTTATGGGCCCTTGATTCAAGCCATCCATGCTATCCCAGGTAAAACTGCAAAATGGAATTGGGAATTCAGTTATTTAATTACTAACCTTTCACAATGTATAATCTCTAGTCAGTAAAATATTCAAAATTTGTATTTTTGAATTTGATATAGTGTGGCTGTATTTTACAGATTTTATACCTACTGTCAGTAACGAACCTCCAAGCACTAAAAATAATAGAACAGGCCTAATTGTCGGAGTTGTTGTTGGAGTTGGAGTTGTAAGCTTTCTCTCAGTGTTCGTGATTTTCTGTATCATTCGGAGAAGAAAACGCCAGCATGAGGATGAAGGTAAAGACACTTAAGATATTTGTATAGTAATGTTCTCATAATATTTAAGGAACTGTTAGAACTTCCGGTTGCCCAACACTTAACCTTATTCATGTATGATTTGCAGAGCTTTTAGGAATTGATACAAAGCCATACACTTTCAGTTATTCTGAGTTGAAGAATGCTACAAATGACTTTAATATCGAAAATAAGCTTGGAGAGGGAGGTTTTGGACCTGTTTATAAGGTAATATTCTGTCCCTGAGGATAATGGTTATATTCTACTTCACAAAATGTTATCATCGTCAATATCGGTTCAAATAATACTCATGGCAACAAAAAGTTAATACTGGTTCAAATAATACTCATGGCAACTGGCAGTCAGTGTTGAACCCACAATCATTCTAAGTGTTGAACCCACAATCATTCTAGGGGAGCTTAAACTCGCCTTTGATTATTTTTATTTAACTAAATTGCATTTAATGAAACTAATAGGCATTTATGCCTCCATAAACATTACCTGCTTCCTAATTACCCTAAGAGTTTATATGATTTAGTGCTCGTAATTATCGATCTTTGGCTATGCCAATTTAGTTTTAGTTCACAAATGATAACTGGAGATTTCTTTTTATTCTTTCCTCAACTGATGATAACTAATTATTATTTATGCTTTATTTTTAAATATAATTGTGTTCTTAGTTAATAAATGTATATAACTATTTATTATTACTAGCTGGTGCTTCCCCTAGCCAGAGTACTTATCGACTACTAATAGTTATACTTTAATATGAAAGCAAATTTTTTTGGGAACATATTAGAAGTAAAGGATAGTTTTGTTACAAATTGAAAAAAAGGTGATTCTGATGTATATATTATAGTAATAGGGGAACTTAATCCTTTCTTTAAACGTATCTTTTTTCTTTTTGTTCTTGTAGGGAACACTTAATGATGGAAGAGTTATTGCTGTGAAACAACTATCAGTAGCATCCCATCAAGGAAAGAGCCAGTTCATAACTGAGATTGCTACTATATCAGCTGTACAACATCGTAATCTGGTCAAACTATATGGATGTTGCATTGAGGGAAGTAAAAAACTTCTTGTGTACGAGTATCTAGAGAACAAGAGTCTTGATCAAGGATTATTTGGTATGTAAACTTATGAAAAAAATATAATTTGTCTTTGTGCATGTAAACTTATGAATCCTTACTTGTTTTCTCATTTTCTTGTATACAAATGACTAAGGACAAATGTGGTTTGTTTTGGCAGGAAATTGTTTAACCCTCAATTGGTCCACACGCTATGATATCTGCTTGGGTGTTGCTAGAGGTTTAGCTTATTTACATGAAGAGTCACGTCTCCGTATTGTACACCGTGATGTGAAGGCTAGTAACATTTTACTTGATTATGAGCTTGTCCCCAAAATTTCTGATTTTGGGTTGGCCAAATTGTATGATGATAAAAAGACCCATATAAGCACCCGTGTGGCTGGGACAATGTGAGTAATCAATACTTGGTGCATATTTAGTCAGAACTTCTTCCTAAGTACTTTTTAGCAGAAGAAAATGAAATTAACTTGTCCATTAATTAAAATTAGTTTATGCATAAGTTAATTTATAGAAACTCTTTTACATAGTTTCTAAAAAATTTTACTTTTAACTTACACAAGTTAATTTTAGCTCATGGAAAAGTTAATTTCATTTTTTTTTTCATTTTTTTCTCCTTTAAAAGTCGTTAAGGAGAAGTTTGTCCAACATACCCTTGATCCTCTTTCATTAATTTCATAAACAGATATTTCTTTTTTTATGCTGTATATTCTTCTTCTTTTTTCAATAATTCTAAACTGTTGATGTACTTAAATTATTGTGATTAAGTGGATATCTTGCACCGGAGTATGCCATGCGTGGACACCTTACAGAGAAAGCAGATATATTTTCATTTGGTGTTGTTGCTCTAGAGTTAGTTAGTGGAAGGCCAAATTCTGATTCAAGTTTAGAAGGAGAGAAGGTGTATCTTTTAGAATGGGTATGCACTCTGCCTCTATTTCCAAATGAATGTTAATTTTCCTAAAAATTGTTTAATATTAATATCTGTGTTTTTATCTTAATTATACCTATATTATGTGTAAAATTATAATCCAAAGGTTCAAATCTAATCTCATTAACTGTTAAAGAAGGAAAATGCCATTTGGTTTATAAGGGTAGTTTTAAATAATTTTGATATTTCATTTAATAGGATAAAAAACGAGTCTCTTCTCCCATGATTACTAATTCTTCAAGTGCTTAGTTTGATTTTCTTTTCACCAAATTTAAGGGATGTGATAACCTATATAATGTACATGATTCTCTTCCTATTGGTGTCTGTTTTCTAAGATCTTCCAAGGAGCGAGGAATCATGTTTTTTTTTTTTTACCTTAACTATGACTACATATTGGTCTATGACAATCATCAAGATGATGTGACAAAATATACAATTTTTTTACAAACATTTGTACAAGATTAATTTTTGTAATATTTGTTTGATCATAATGATTGATTGGTATTACACCTCACTCAAAACCCATCTGGTCTACTTAAAATTTCATAGACATTGAAGAACTCTTGATATTAAAACTGAGGCAAATACTTCTTCCTCTCTAACACCAACAATTTGTGCATTGAACATTCAAAAACATGTTTTATCATTTTACCTTATTGTCATTGGTCTTCTGTTTCCTAGGCTTGGCAGCTTCATGAAAACGACCGCATAATTGATCTGGTGGACCCTAGACTTTCAGAATTCAATGAGGAAGAAGTTAAACGTATTGTGGGAATAGCACTTTTGTGCACTCAGACATCACCCACTTTAAGACCATCAATGTCACGTGTGGTGGCAATGCTTTCAGGAGATATTGAAGTGAGCTCTATCACTGCAAAGCCAGGATACCTTACTGACTGGAGATTTGATGATGTGTCCAGCTTCATGACTGACAATGAAATCAAAGGATTAAATACAAGTTACCAGAATTCATCAGGAAGTACCAGCATGGTGGGTGGTGCAGACCATTCACCAATAAGTGTTTCTAAACCGATCCTTAATGAGACTCTTAGTGAGGGTAGATAAGAATAGTGTTCAGATCAAGGGTAGAACAATGACCATGTCACTGTGCTCCAAAAAATTGTTTCTTGTTCTTTGTTTTTCAATTAATTAAGCCGTTTGTTGTATTGGTTACTTAATTTGTAATGTAAATAACCCTTGGAAGTTACCATGGAATGTACAACCATGTGTAGGAAATAGGCCCCAACCAGGAATGTTTATAGAGAGTATTTTCTTTGTACCCCTTTATATTTTTACACACTATTTCTTCATTGTTGTAATTTTAATCTTAAAATACCCTTTTCTAGAAATTTAATCATGAAATAAATTATTTATTGTAATTGATAGATGTTCTGGGATTTAGTGCGTGAGCTGTATTTAATCATTGTTGAAGTAGTAAAATTTTAATGATTCTGGAAACTAAATTCCTCAAGTCTTCCAAATTTTAAAACAAATTCCAAAAGTGAAACCAAAGGAAGAACAAATTTTTAATTGAAATTAAACTATTTAAACAAAATTTTAATTGAAATTAAACTATTTTCTAATTTAGAATCTTATAAGATTTGTCTATAAATTAATTAAAATCTAATGGACAAAATATTAAATTTGAGATGGAACACAATGCATACGTATTAAGAGGTTAGATTTCAAATAAATTGAACCAATGGTTACGAGACCTTAACATGACATTAATATATTAGAGTTAAAAAGAAAACAAGATTCACTAAACTTAATAGTGTTGAAAGAATTAGAAGAAAATAGTTTAGAATAGAAATATCTTTTGCAAAACGTAACTCTTTCTTATTTAAAAATATGTTGGAATCAAATATTTTAATAGAATATTATAAAAAAAATTCTTGAATATTCTAAATATTTTTTTAAAAGAAATATTCCTTGTAATTTTTTTAACATATTTTAAAATAAGGTAATTAAGTTTATGAATTAGCTTTAACTAACTTCTAACTTTTTATATCTTCATTTGTTTTAAGTTTTTAATTTCTCCTCATTATTAATTTTTCCTTTTCTTGTGTTTATTGAATTCCATGATATATTTATAATTCTGTAAATTGAAATTTCATTTTTTTATAAATAAAAATAATATTTAAGATATATAAAATTATATGATTCTGTGAGATGAGAGTTTAATATTTTTACCTTTGATTCTTATCTTATAAACTAATATAATAAAAGTTGGACAAAAGTTTAATGGGAAGATTTAAAGAAAAGTTTTTTTATTAAGGGTAAAAGGTTGAAGTGTTATAATTTTATTTTTACGTAATGTACTAAAATCTAAATTAACTCCACAATTTAATTTAACACATCTTATTTCTTATTTTTTTTTAATGAAAACATTATCTCTAAGTAGTTTAATTATGTAAATGAATCTGTTTATGTTTAATTTCATTACTAATTTTTTTTTGTCCAATTAATCGAACAAAATGTTAATTTTAATAAATTATTTTTTAATTTAGCATCTTAAAAGATCTGTCACGTTATTAAAATCTAATGAAAAAAAAAAAGAATTCAAACTAGGTAAAATTTAAACATTAAAAACAAAATTACACTTGAAAAAAAAATTTAGAATGAATCTAAAAAATAATATAAAGAATAAAATATGTAACTTAACCTTTAAAAGCTAAAAATAAAATAAAATGTCAATTTAAAGTATAAGCACGGTTATGAAAAGTAAAAACAAATGGCCAGGATTAAAAACTTGTATAAACCCATATTTAATTTCGGCTCTTGTTTCTTACACTCCTGTAATTTCTCCCAACATGTCCATATTTTAGGTTAAATATTTAAAATATCATTTTTATAATTTTATTTTTTATCATAACTTCTTCTACAACTTATGTACTCCCATCCCTCATACACCTTTATTATTTGGTTATTTGATTTTTTTTTTTATGTTTTCATCACTATTGAAACATTTTTTAATAATTAAAGATAAACAATCGTTAATATTTTGTATGAATTATTTGTTCTTACGCTCAAATTGTACAAATAGACCTAAGTTTGCTTAATTTGAAATAGTATCATGAAAATGAGGTTGAATTCGAAAAAATCAATTTAAAAATGCATTCTAGAATGTATTTTCGAAAAGACCAATCCAAAAATACATCTCGAATTAAGTGTTCTAAAATGTATTTTCAAAAAAATTAATCTAGATATACATTTCAAAATAATAAACCCAGAATAATAAGTCCATAATATATTTTTGGATTGACCTTTTCTAAAAATGTATTTTAAATTGTGTATTCTAGAAATATATTTTAAATTAAGTATTTTGAAATGTTTTGAAAAGATTAATTCAAAAATATTTTGAAAAACGAAGAAGAGTATAATAATAAAATAGGATTTAATATAATCCATCAAAAAATTATGGGATACATAAAACAACATCCTTAATTTATTAACTATTTCAGACAGGGTAGTGTAGTTACTAAAACATGTAATAATTTTGTGAGACAAAATAAGTTAGATAAATATAAGAAAAATATTGAATTATAATATAATGGGGTGAGAGTAAATATTGTAAAAGTAAATAGATTTTACGCTAGATTAATTTTTTATTTTAAATAAATTTATCTCAATTTTATTATTTAGAAAAAAATGGTGAATTTCGGATATTTATTAGCTGATTAATAACTAATCGTACATTCGGTTAAGAGTGAAGGTGTCAAACAGTGAGAATGGTTTCCCTCCTCTCCCATTTTGAGCATTTAAAAGAAACGAAAGAGTCATCACTGACATTTTGATTTCTACTCGCTCTTTCAAAACCCTACCTTCGACTGCAACCGGTTCATCTTCTCTGCATTTGGTTTGATCGCAGATACTTGTTTGAACTTGTAAGTTGTAATGCATGCATTATCTCTGCTTGTGTGTATATCACCACTTAATTTTGCAAAACGCTGGTAATTTGCATGATGTTATTGTTCTTCTATGTTGCGCGTTGGGTCACATTGTTAATATTTTCTTTTGTTCAAGTTAAGGAATGGTATTTTCAAAGCCTACCTGTCTAAGTTTTAACATGCTAAGGAACTTATTTTTCAGTGTGGTGAATCAAGTGTTTCTTGGTCTATGGGACACTCTAAGATTGTTTTTCTCTATAATCGAACTCGAACAATGCTTGAATGATTCGGTCCTGGTTCAGTATATTAACCATTTGTGTCCAATTTCTTGGATGTGGTGAATCAAGTGTTGAACCCTCGATGAGTGAAGTATCCGCGATCAGTATTTGATGGTGCCTTGAATAGTATTGTATCTGAAGAGAATACCCCCTAGGAAACAAAATTAAGAAAAGAAGCGGGCTTATTGCTTGGAGGGGAGGAAAAACGAAGGTGCAAAATACAATTGGGTTAATTTCACTGTTCATTCCCTCAACAAAAACAACCCGGGCTCGAGCAACACCAATTTTTATGATTTATTATTTGCTCTTTTTTTGCTGATCCATTGTCTGAACTGTGGATTTTGAAGGGACAAAAGTTGGATACAGTTTCTTAGGTGTTTGTGATGTTCTACAATCAGAATTTAGTTTCAATTGAGAACTTAGACTGAATTTTCATGTAAACATTTATTATGCAGATTATAGAAACAAAACTCCAACTCCAAAGTAGAAAGAAAAGCTAAAAGTGCTTAAGGAACCGCATCTATGTTTTTTTCCTGTAAGGAAACTAGTGCATAGATTTGTGTAAAACAATTTGCACGTACTTTTAGTTATATGCTATGTACGTGTATACTGTTTAAATAATATATCATTAAATATGTAATGTCTACAGTTTGACATTTTGGTTTTATTATGCTTCCGCTTTTCTAGCTCATGCTGTTTTGCTGGAACTAGTGGTTTGGTAATCTTCATCTTCTTTTCAATATTTAATATTTCAGAATATTGTGTATGTTTCTTCATGAACTGCTTTCTCTTGGTATGTTGTTAAAATGGTCATTGACTACAAATGATTTGTTTCCCATTTACACGATTGGTTCATGTTGACATGGATTATGATGCCCTACTTTGGATTTTTTTATGGAAATTTATAAAGTACTGTCAGTGATAATCCATTTCCTTTCGTCACATAATTTGGTAGTACAATTACCGTTGCTTTATCAACTATTAATTTAAAGTTGATAATTAAAAAGCACAGACTATGCTCATCGGTCAATAATAAACGTAGAGGGGGACTGAAACAAATTTGAGCGTTTTGGTCTTGTCTTTTATTACAGACACATGGTGCATGTGAAAACATTCTTCTTTTCTACCCAACATTTTATTTGTGATGGGATATATAACACTATCTTTTAGTGAAATAATCTATCTGAATATGCTACTAAACAGGCCAGATAATGGTGTGTTTGGCCTGGTTTTTACCAGTGGGTTGCTTTAGAGAACTTTCATGCTGTGTTTGTCTCATATGGTGTTAAACTAGCATTTGACTTACTGTTAGGTGGAAAAGTTGAAAGCATTCTTCTGATAATTGTACAACTGGAACACTTAATTGTAGGAACTATGGAAATCCTACACTTTAACAGAGTATATTGGTACTTTGAATCTTCAACACGGTCTGCTCTTTTTGTGATTGATGTTTTTCAGTGTCATTTGTAGCAAAGGGAAGAATGGCAGAGGAAGTTCCTGGGATTGAAGAAGCTGCTGAACCTCCAGCATCACCTAAACCATCTACAGTTGTGGCACATAATATGGAAACAGAACAAATGACTCCTACAAAGTATTCTATTATCAGTAGGAATGGGGTTGGGACCACAGGGAAACATATATCTTTACTTGTGAATCTCTTCAAAGTTTCTGTTAATGCTCCAGACACAGTCTTTTTCCAGTATAATGTATGTTGAGTATTTCTGCCTCTGCAATTTCCTTATATCTTATCTTAGACTTTAGCTTATTGAAGGATTTCCAGGTTGCTATTACTTTAGAAGATAAACGAGCTGTTGATAGCAAGGGTATTGGGAGAAAAGTAATTGATAGGCTTTACCAAGCATATGCATCTGAACTTGGTGGCAAAAGGTTTGCTTATGATGGAAAGAAAACTTTGTACACAGTGGATAATCTGCCACGTAATGAGTTCAAAGTGTCGCTGGAGGAACCATTTGCAAAACGGTATGCATTTTCTATGACTAGCTTAATTGTCATGGTTCTTTTTCCCCTTAAAGCTGATACGTTTCCAACTCTGGCAGTAGTACAGAGTGTCCTGGTGCTGATGGAAGCCTTCTTGAGGAAACTAAAAGGTCAAAATGTTATTCTCAGTCAAAGATATTCATGGTGGAGATAAGTTTTGCTGCCAAAATACCCCTGCAGTCCATTGCTATTGCCCTCAAAGAGGCTGAATCAGATGCCAATTCTGAAGATGCATTGAGAGTGCTTGATACTGTACTAAGGCAGCGTGCAGCTAACTGGTACCTATGCATCTGCTAAAGATAAAATTCAAAAAAATATCTTTAATGATTTTTTGAGTGGATTAAATTTAAATCGTAATTTTCGTCTAACTTAGTTTAACCATTTTCTTTTGAATGTGAAGGGGGTGTCTCTTGGTAAGGCAATCTTTTTTCCATGATGACACGAGAAATTTCAGTGATGTTGGGGCTGGTCTAACAGCAGTCTCGGGTTTTCATTCAAGTTTTCGTCCCACACAGCGAGGATTGGCTCTCAATATGGGTAGGACGATATTCATACATATTTTGGAATCTTATTACGTAAAATTGCATTCTTTTTGTTCTTTATACTATTTGGTTTTTTAGATGTGTCAACAACTATGATCATAAAACCTGGTCCTGTTATTGATTTTCTGTTATCAAATCAGCAAGTGAGGGAACTTCGTCATATTGACTGGGAAAAGGTGACAAACTTGTCCATATGTTCATGAATCCTAATTAGTAATTGCTTGTGATGTTTTTTGATTATTGATACTTTGTAGGCCAAAAAAATGCTTAAAAATTTAAGGGTGCGAGCAACTCATCGAAACCAGGAATTTAAAATTTCTGGTTTGAGTGAGAAACCATGCATTCATCAACTGTAAGTTCTTGCTTTTTGAAAGTCAAGTGTCTAGTATATTTATATGAAATAAGAAAAAAGGGGTAACAAAATCTTAGGGGTCTCTTCTTGACCCAAAAAAGGCTTGAGTCTGATTTCTTTCTCAGTTTTAGTATGAAGGTTAAAAATGACAACGGCAATAATGAAGGGCAGACAGTGGATATTACAGTATATGAATATTTTGTCGAACATTGTCACATTGATCTGATCTCATCTGCTTATCTTCCATGTCTTGATGTTGGAAAACCTAAACGGCCCATCTATTTTCCTTTGGAGGTTAGTTGATTTTTTATTGTGTCTAAATCTTGTTGTGGGTCTTATTTTATATCAATTATTTTATTTTGCTTCAGCAGTTTATCCCTTTGGACAAATTATATCTGATTATTCCTTTCTTCTCTTTTTCTTTACTTTTGGACTTTTGGACTTTTGGTGGGGTAGCTATGTTCACTGGTTTCCCTCCAACGGTATACAAAGGTACTATCTCCAATGGAAAGAGCATCTTTAGCTGAAAAATCACGCCAGAAGCCTAAAGATAGAATCGAAATTCTGAAAAATGTAAGTTTATGATTATTGATCTGTTTTTCAATTTTTTCATTAATATGTTAAAGTCATACTCATTAAAATATATAGGCTGTAGGAAATTATTGCTTCGATGATGATCCTGTTCTTGCTGCATGTGGCATTTCTGTTGAGAAACAATTGACTCTGGTTAAAGGTCGTGTCCTTGAGACACCAAAGGTACACATTGATCGAATATAAACCTCACAATTTTGCACATCATATATAATGTTGAGGAGAGTTGAGAGGTAAAATGGCATGAAGAGGAGGTGGTTTTCTTATAGATATTCATTAGTAGCTAATTATGTGTCTGTTAGTAAGGTAGTTAGTTAGTTAGCTGAAGAAATAAGGCATGTTGCCTTTAAAGAAAAGGGGTTGAGAGGTGGAGTGGTATCATTTCATTTGGTGAAATAGAATTGGGACTTCGGAGAGACCTGGATCTCTTGAATATCCTGGGAATTCTATTTTATACCTGTCTCACAGTACAATTATAAGGCCTCATGTTCAGTTTAACCACAAAAAGTACATAGATGACATAACACCAAAGGAGCAGAGGGCAGTCACATGTTTGTGTTTGATCCAGTAGGAGTGGAAGCTATTCTTGGATTGGTGGGTAGATTTGGGTAGGTCATCATGATTCATATAGTTGCTCAGAAATGGAACTTCATTTTAGTAGTAACAAGTCGTCCACCTACCTTGAGAACAAGGTGAATGTTTATAGGGAGATTATTAATAGATTACCCATTAGCCTGTTCGTTAAGTGTCTGTTAGTGAAGAAGTTAATTAGGTCAGTTGGTTGACTGTTACCTTTAATTAAGAGCAGTAGGGAGGGAGTGAAATCTACTCTTTTGGTGGAAAATAATTGGGACTTGGGACAGGTCTGGATATGTCGAATATCTAGAGGGATTTTTTGTAGAGATACACTCGATCAATAAAGAAATTCAATTTTCTAAGAGTTTATATATATCATTTCCCCCAATTATTTGATAATTAAATGCACTGATTGATGCAATTCTATTTGAGACACAGTTGAAGGTTGGTAGCAATGATGATTGCATCCCCTGTAATGGAAGGTGGAATTTTAATAAGAAGGTATTCTGTTATTCTTTCACATTCAGAAAATATTTAAGATTTCCTTTATTTAGCGTTATCTAAAATATGGCTGATAATTGTAGTAAAGATGTTGCTATGTGTTGAATTATTGGCAAGCGTACCAAAATTATCAATCGCAGTATAGTATTTTGATAAAATAAAAGTCGATTCCACGAGGAACAGTTTCAATGAAAATTCCCAATTATGCTTACTAAGTATATTAAACAGATTGAGTTTTGCAAATAAGAGTTGAGTTGAATTTAAATGACAAAGAACTGTAAATTGTTGAGAAAATATCAATTAAAAGTACTTAGGATTAACTTCCTTCCTTATCCCTCTTTTGTAATGGCTAAATCAATTAAGAACGTCAATTAACCTAACAATGTTGATGACACCTACTCAAATCATCCATGTTAATTCCTCACACATGAAATTCATAAGAAAACCTAATAAATGTTGATTCCTCACACAATTAAGAGATTTTCCAGCATTAGGGTTAAGGTGTTTAAGCACTTGATACATTCATTCAATTCATGGCAATTAACGTAACAAATATTCTTACCGTGATCTAGAGTTCAAGATATATTTTCTAATCATACCTCAAACAATCAAGAATAAATCATTCCAAAGCATAAAGGATAAGAATAAAAACATTAAAGCATAGATTAATATATCAAAATATCACCATGATACAAAAGAGTTCAAAGGAAGTGCACCGAATCCTAAGAGAATGAAGTTAGCCACTCATGTTGGTCATTACAATGCTCCAATTGATGAAGAAGTGAAGAATTGATGAAGATTGGACAAAACCCTAACAGTAGTCGTGCCTCCTCTCCTTCAAGACTGCTTCCTTTTCTCAAAACACAACTTATCTTTTTATAAGAGAATTTGAACTGGACCTCGCATCATTTATTCGCTTAAGCGCTCTTCTTTCTTTCAATTTTACTCCAATTATGCTGACAATTATGCTCCTTACTCTTGTATCAAGGTATTCTCGAATTCATCCTATTTTGGGAGAAAAATATATTAGAATTAACATAAGTTAAGTGATTTCATAACAATTCAAGGCATAATTATATCAACTTTTTACCACTTAACACTATGTTTCCTTTTTATAGACACTTCTACAACCATCGCGTATTGAAGTTTGGGCTGTTGTCAACTTTTCTGCAAGATGTGATACTAGTTACATATCAAGAGAGCTGATCAGATGTGGAATGGGCAAGGGCATTGTATGTCATTGGGCACTACATTATAATATTAATACTATAGTTTTCTGTTTCCTGTGTTTTATTTGATTAATCATTTCAAATGTACTTAAATATTCAAGCAGAACATTGCACGGCCATATACTTTGATGGAGGAGGAACCACATATGAGAAAATCTAACCCTGTTGCAAGGGTTGAAAGAATGATTGGCCTGCTTGCACCAAAACTACCAAGAACACCAGATTTGATTCTTTGCGTCTTGCCAGAGAGGAAAAATTGTAATTTATATGGTATATCTTTAGGCACATTTTTCTAGGTTTTCCATTGCATAAAATCTTTTTTATTTACCTTATGATCATTTATCAACTTTAGGGCCATGGAAAAGGAAGTGTCTGAGTGAAATTGGTGTTGTCACACAGTGCATTTCCCCTGTCAAGATCACTGATCAATACCTTAATAATGTACTTCTTAAAATCAATTCTAAGGTAATTGAGTACTTTATGACTGATATTTGCACATACATAACTTGTAACTTATTTTGACATGTAACTTAATTTACAGTTTAACTAATTTTTTATGCCCTCAATATAGCTTGGGGGAATAAATTCTCTGTTGGCAATAGAGCGTTCTGGGCATTTTCCCCAAATTGAAGATATCCCAACAATGATTTTGGGGATGGATGTCTCCCACAGAACGCTTGATCGAGTAGATATTCCATCAATAGCAGCTGTAAGTCTAGTTTGGTTTTGTATTTTCCCCACCTTTGTTGTTGCAAAAAGCATCGTGTACCTTTCTGTTTGCATTTTTGTTATCTCCGCAGCATATTAATCTGGTGTATATTGTTGAACTGTAGGTTGTCGGATCTCAATGTTGGCCACTGATTTCAAGGTATAGAGCTTCCGTGAGAATGCAAACATCTAAGGTGGAGATGATTGATGCTCTATTTAAGCCGGTGGGAGATGAGGGTGATGCTGGTATGATCAGGTTAGAGTAGAAATGTATATTGGACTACTGTTTTGTATTTTACAAGGGAAATGTACAAAATGCTCTGAATTTCATCTCATTGTGAAGTAGTCTGATAGGATCCCAAGTATGAATTCTGTAAAAGAAAAAAATCATGGGTCAGTTTAAGATAAAAGAGTAAGTGATTCTAGTATAAAATAGTTCAGTGATTATTGTAAAGATTTTGAAAGCCGAAGCTAGTTCATGTTTGTTTACAATTATAATTTTTTTGTTTTTTTCTAAATGTAATTGATTTTATGAGAAGCTATTTTAAATAGCTTCCATATATGGGCCAGTTTTTGTTTAAAGATTAAACAAGGTGGTGAAACATAATTTAGTGATTATCTTTCAGTGATCTTAGAAAAGCAAAAGTTAATTCATGTTTGTTTACAAGAAGAAAAAACACGTTTTTAAAAGTAGTTTATATATGCTGTTTATGTTTCATGACTTTGTTGTGTACAAGATGTAATATGGTCATTGTTATATCTGTTCATCATGGCTTGCACATCAACCTCTTTGTAATGATAAAAATATTTTCTTACAGGGAATTGCTTTTAGATTTCTATCATACAAGTAAGGGACGCAAGCCAACTCAATTTATTATCTTCAGGTGTCATTCTATCACTCTTATTTTTAATTGATATCCAGTCATATCATATATGTTCTTTTTGTAAACTTGTTTGAAGGTAAAATGTTATAAATTAGAAGATGCTGATGATACATATTATAGCATTAAAAATCATTTATTTACAGTGAACTGCTATATTTATAATGCCTACCACTCTATTTTTTATTTACCGTTTTTTTTTTAAGTTTGAGAGCATTAGCATTGTTGGGCTGATTATGACATGGATATTTTCGAATAATTATTCTCATTGCAATATCTTGTCATCCTTCTATTTGCTTATGTAGTCCAACCATTATTATTGGTTATATAGGATTGCATCGTCCAAATACAACATTAGATTTTTTACATATTTTTTCTGAAGTAATTCCTTGTGTGTAAATCAATGTAGTGAATACAAGATTCACCATGCGTTGATGATGGTGTTTATATGTTCTGTTGTGGTTTTATGTGTGGTTGTTAACTGCTTTGATCAAAAGTATTTTATATGTTTCATACTTGCTATGTAGTTCAATCTTGTCTCAATTTTATGTTCTGTTTTGTTAGGACACTCAGTTTGGACTAAGTCTAACAACTGAGCTAAAATAGGGGAGTAAAAGAAGAGTTGTTGATGTGGTAATTAGTTAGGATATGTGAGAGAATCATCTCCTCTTTGAGGGCATTTTCTCCCGCATTACAACTGTTAGCAATCAATTTCCTGATTTCAACCTTGTTGACAAGATTGTTTCAGAAGCGGAAGGTCTAAGACATGGGAAAGGAATTCCCAAAAGACCCATTCAAGTCTATAAAAGGAGGAAGAATAAAATCTAGTTATTCTTGGTTTGGTTTTGGTTCGGGTTTATAAATAATACGCGTATTAGAACAAGTAAGGGGATTGTCAAAGAGTTTGTTTTGACTGGAAGTGTCCAGTGTGAAAGGAGAGAACTCTTGTGAGGTACACTTGTGTTTATATTTTCTTGTTCGCCTAATAAAGAAATATTTTCTTCTCGTCGGTGTCTGTGGATCAACTCTCTGGCCCCTCTTTGAATCAACCCAGGATCATGAAAACCTCCTATAGCTCCTTACCAGCCTCAGCAGTGTTGATGGTGGCATCAACTATTTTTGTTTGGTAACGGAAGAAAAAACAGTTTCCTAGGATTAGGAGCCCTGGTACCAAGTTGAAAGGGTATGGTTTTATTAATTTCTGACGAAATATATTACATTATTCATTCTTCCTATTATAGGGGGGTAATTGTCCCTAAAACAGGAAATAAGGAATCTGTGAGGAGGAATTAAAGTACAATATCAATTTGGATCTCCTAAATGTATTCCTTAAGATATTTTATTATTTACAACACAAATTAATCAATTAACTGAAATCAACAACAAATTATTTATGTACAGTGTCTAATTTTAGGAAACTAATGTATATTCAACAAATTACATCTAAGATTAGTAAAAATTCTACAAGTATCTGATGAGTGGTCATCAATTTCCTTTATCACTAGTTAAGTATCTGAACTGTGTTTTCATGTTCAGGGATGGAGTTAGTGAATCACAATTTAAACAAGTCTTGACTGTCGAGCTTAACCAGATAATCAAGGTTACACTGCAACTTTTTATTGTCCGGTTTGATAATCTGCTTGATTGCTGGAATCTTACGTACACATTGCTCTGAGTGCGTGCTTAGATTATACATTTCTCTCTTTAAAGAAATGCGGAAAAGTTAATGTTTTCAAAAGTACCACATTTTTTTGTCTCAACTTTGGTGAATTCGGGAAAAATAAATTAAGAAAAAACATGCACCCAATTAAACTATGCACCTTTGTTGATGCTTCCTAATGCTAGGATCACGAGAAACTGTTCTAATTACAGGCCTATCAACGTCTTGGTGAGGGTAATGTTCCCAAGTTCACCGTGATTGTGGCACAGAAAAATCATCATACTAGGCTGTTTCAGGCTGATGGTCTGGCAAATGTTCCTCCTGGTATGCTACTTGTTTTGTTCACTTTCATACAGGTAACACAGGATCATTGTAATATAAATTCTCCTCTTCAGGGACTGTTGTGGACACAACAATCACGCATCGAAGCAATTATGATTTTTACATGTGTGCTCATGCGGGGATGATTGTAAGCTTACATATCTAGCTTCTTTACAAGCATTTTAGTGCATGTGGTCTTAGAAAATTATTTGATTGCCAATTAAATTGCTGATTTTTTTTTCACGTGCCTTTTTTTGTTTTCTCACCAAAATAAATAGGGAACATCTAGGCCTGTACATTATCATGTGCTTCTTGATGAGATTGGCTTCTCGGCAGATGACTTACAAAATTTGATCCATTCGCTGTCCTATGTGTACGCACTCTACCTTTTGTTATACATGTTTTGACGTACCTCTTGATTATCCTACTTACTAGCTTGTGTATGTTGATTATTTCAGGAACCAAAGAAGCACAACGGCAACCTCAGTTGGTAATTTCATCTACGCCTCTGATAGATAGCTTATCAGAATTGTCTTTTTCATGAGAAAATTGGTTAATTTATATTATTTATAATAATTTGCCCTCATATTTTTATATCTTCAGTGGCACCCATATGCTATGCTCACCATGCTGCATTTCTGATGGGACAACTTTGGAATCTTGATGATTTATCAGAAACGGGTTTACCCATGCCAGAGCTCCCAAAGGTGCATAAGGATGTCGAGCGTTCTATGTTCTTCTGTTGACATGCATCAAATCAAAGTGTAAATGTACATTTATTATATCTGCAGCAGACATGAAGCCCAAATTTTGTTTAATGGGGAAATGGATTCGTGGGCATGATTCATCCTAATTCAGTCGCTTTGGTACCCTTATACCTTTTTCTGCATATATTGCTTAGCCATGAAATACTTATTTTCCGCTCCCTCGAAAAAACAAGTGTGACTTTATGATGTCAGGCTATGACTTTTTTACGTTTCTGGGTCAAAAATTTACGTGATAGGGTTGGGTTTAACAAATTTTATGCTATTGTGTAAAATCGTGCTCAATAATACGATTTCAATGATCTAATATTGAAATTATGCAATGTGGTACTATTTTAGTTAAGATATTTTTTTTTATTTATGAAATCGTGGAGCATGAATTTATTTATTATTGTTAACTAAAGTCAAGTTATTGAATACGATTTTTGTGATTTTTTTTTTGAAAAAATATAAATATTTGAATATTTACATAAATATTATTAGTAAATTAATTAATTTTGATTTAATTGTGTTATATTATGAATTTTACATAGAAAATAAAGATAGTGAGAGAAGAAGGGGTATAGATAAATTTAAATTAATAAATAGTAGAGATTAAAATTTTAAATTAGTTGAAAGAAAATAGGATAAATTTGTTGTCTATAGGGATAGTTTTTTCTGTTACGTACTTCATTCTTATAAAATGATTATTCTTACAAAATGATTTTTTGATGGTTTGTTTGCAACTAAAAGATCCATTTCATTCTTAATGTAAGTAGTTGTAAGTCTTTCTAATGTTATTTTTATGCATACTAGGATTAGGACATGGCAACGGGGTGAGGCGGGGACAGGTTTTGCCTTCTCGATCCCCGTCCCCAACTTTTTTAGTCGTCCCCGCTCTCGATTTCTGTCGGAGTTAAAAATTAAGTCTTCATCCCCGTCTCACTGGGTTTTGAGTTTCTCGTCCCGTCTCGTCCCTGATTTATATTATTTTTAAAAAGATAATTACATTTATAATAAATTAATTTTATTATGTATTTTTTATATATAAATAAATATTTATGATTTTATAATTTATAATTATTATTAATTAAATTTACATTTTAATTTATTATATTTATATTGAAATATGTATGGAAAAAAATATTTAATTATTTTTTATTTATATATATAGAGAGAATATTTATTATTATTATTATAATAACACTCAAATATTTGAATATTTATAATAATATTATTATTATAATACTGTATTTAAACATTTAATTATATATAAGTTAATTCATTTTTAAGTTTTATTTAAAAATATGAAATATATAGTTTATAAGAAAATATTTAATAAGTTAATTCTTATTTAATTAGTTCAAGTAATAAAAGTTTAAATTATCAATTTTTTTAATCCTTTAAAATATAATTATTTTATTAAGATAAAATTTGATATATGATAAATAAGAATAATAAGATAAAAAAATATGACATAATAAAACTTAATAAATATAAATTATAAATAAAATAATATTAGTTACTACTTGGATTTATGTAAAATATTTAGAAAAAGATAAAGAAGAATTTTATTTTTTACTATGTGTTCATTAAATTGATTGAAAAGATTAAAAAAAAATTGATGGGAAAAATTAGGAAAATGTAAAAAACAGAAAGGTAAGAGAGAATAATGTAATAAATTAATTAATATAAAAGATTAAAAAAGACAAAAAATTAAAAGTGGGTAGAAGAAAAATAAAAATTGGTGAAATATTAAAAAAAATAATCTTATATGTAATAGAAAAAGAAAAGAAAATATATTTAAAGTATTAATATTTTAAATTTTAAATTTAAATATAAAATCGGGGCGGGGATGAGGTCGGGGTCGGGGTTGGGGTGTGGATTGCATTACCCATCCCCGCCCCTCTCCCAACTTTTTAAAGCGGAAAAACCCGAACCCGCCCCGTCCCCGGTCAACTCCGGGTTTTCCCAGTCAAACTCGGGCGGGACGAGTCGGTTCCCACGAGTACGGGTTTAATTGTCATCCTTAATTAGGTATAAAATTTGGACTTATACATGTAAATTAATAATTTTCATTTCGAATCATATGAAATTAAAATTTATGTCTTATAAATGCTTTTTAACTTGTAAGTTGAAATAATAGATGTAGTCAGTTGTAAATGACAAGATAAACAAATAATAATAATAATAATAATAATGTAATAATAAAGAAACATAATCACACCATCATTGATTTAATTAAATTGTGTAGTTATTAATCTTCGATGAAGTTAAGAGTTTGATTGATCTTTACATTAAACTCGGAAGGTTCTCGATTGTACCTTTGAATATGATACATTCGAGCACGTTGTTCGCTTTTTCTAAGCAACATATATAGTAATATCTTTTGGATACTCGTGTTTAACTTGTAACATGTACTTTGCTATGATGTCTCTTTCCACAAACCATGATTTAGTTCTTTTAAACATTATTTTAACTAAGATACATATAGGTAAGACTTGTACTTCTGTTGGGAACAAAATTTTTCATAGACCCAACAATGAAATCTCATGTGAGTAAGACATTTGTTGTTCGAACTCAGACTTTAAAGCATATAGTTTTTTCTACAAGTGTTGGTTGTTTCATCTTATATCCTGCAAACAAAAATACAATTTCATAGATATGTTATTTAAAGAAATAGTTTTTTAAGGTTAGAAGATGTTACCTAAATTGATGACTTATTTTTTTAAATCAATATTTTTGAAAAAGAATTTGTTGAAGTTTGAGACACAATGACAAATATAGTACATTGAGATTAGAACATTTCAACCAAGATCTTCAGATTGTAAATGTGACAATAATTTTGTCATTCTATATGTTATTATACATAAGTTATTTTGAGGTGTAACATAATGTCTTAGAAGGTGGATGAACTATATTGTGCCTCTTTTGTCTCACATTCTACAATCGCAAATACAAGTAAAAATATGTTTTTATTATCATCTTGCGTAGTTGCAATTAATAACGTAATATGATATTTTCCTGTTAGAAATATATCGTTAACTTAAGCAATTGTCTTGTTATATTTGAAACCTTTTATACATAACTTAAATGGTAAGATACATTCTAATATAAATAATGGACTATGGACACCATGCATTGAATAAGGAGAATAAACATTCTAAACAATCGTGTCATGATTACTATGTTTAACAACTTACAACCATCTTGAAAGATCAATATATGACTCTCCTCAACTCCAAATATCATGACAAACACCTTTTGTGTTTGCTAGTCATGCTTTTATGTAAGTGACCATATAACTATGTTTGTCTTTTACTTTTACAATCAAAGTTTTGATTGGAATAAAAAGATTTGTTTTAACTAGTTCATTAATAATATGCAAACATTTATTAGGCTCATTTCTTCCGCAAGGTGTTTCACATTATAATTGAGGATCAACTGTCTTGTTATTAACATTAGAAGAAGTTGTGTGTTATTGCTTCAAACATAGGCATGTGACCATATTACATGCATCTTTGCTAAAATGAAAAACTTAATAAATGAGGACCAACTTTAAAATTTACTTAGTCAATTTCAATTTCGAAGATAGGTTCTAGATATATTTACTTCGTTTCCCTTTTATGTTAAGACTTTCGAGGAGAATTTATTTCACCAATAAGACATGAACTTATTTCAAGTAAGCAATTGATATCACCTTTAACCAAAAACCTTTAAAACATTGAATTATTAAGTTTTCTTTCTTATATCTTATTCAATTTTTTCATTCTTATTCAATGTAAGACTTAAACTCACACTAATTATCCAACATTTGAAACAAATATGTTTTCACCTCTTCATGATAATGATAATAGGAGAATGAACGTTCAACCCCAACTAGCACATGTTCATAAGCGTGTTACACAAGGACAACAAACGTCTACCCAGAACTAATTATGTAGACCATATGATAAATTAAAAAATTACTTTGGGGGAAAATATCTCATCATTAAATATTTTGTAATTTGTTTTATGTAATTATACGTGATTTTTTTTATTTAATGTAAATTTATTAATTTAAATTTATCCATATCCCTAATTTTGTCGATATTTTTATTTTCTATTTCAAATTAATAATATAACACAATTATACTGAAATTAATTAATTTATAAATAATATATTTATATAAATAATCAAATATTTATGTTTTTTGAAAAAAAATTCAGGTGACACAATTTTAATAATAGAAAAAAACTCTTAACGTAGTACAATAATAATAAAAAAAAAATCAACTACGCACGATTTAGAGTTGTAAAATTTATTAAACCCAACATTATCAGTACATATTTTTAACCCAGAAAGGTAAAAAAATCCGCGAAACATTATTATTTCATTTTGCTATGAATATTTTTGGACAATTTTTTTTACAAGTACTTTTATAAAAGAAAAGTAAATTAAAGTTAATTTTGTAAATTAAAATTAATTTATACGCCGACAAATTTTAGTAGGTTTTTCCATCCAAAAAAACTAAAATTAAAATATGCACAAATTAATTTGTATAAGTTTTTTTATCGAACATCTCTAATTTTTTTTAAATAACTTATAATAGGTTATTTCACGCCCAACCTAAACAATGGCACCTGATTTTGGTACCTTTCTTAATTTTTGGCACAAGTTTCTAGAATATACATTTAAGAGGTATTTAGGGAAAATATATATTTTGAAGTGTATATAACTTTAAATTTTCATGGTTTATTCTAAAGCATTTCATAATAAAATTTATCAATACAAAAATAACTTTTTGAAAAAAATTTAAAATTATTCTGAAATAATTTTTTAAATTGCAAAAGCATAAGCTTTTTGGAAAACTAAGTAGTAAAGATGAAGTTGTGAAAAAATTCTTTATCAAGGAATGTGGACAATTTTTTTAACTATAAGAACAAGAATAAATTACATTCAATTTAAGGGATTTAAAAATGTTTTCAAATTTGGGGATTAAAAATAAATAAATTTGGGAGATTAAAAAATTATTTTAAAATTTGGGAGAAAAAAGAGAAACTTTTGTGCAAGATTTTAGGGATAAAAAAGTACTTAAAATGCTAACATGTCATTGAAATTTCACGTGGTAATGATTGATGTGGTTTCTATAAACCATAGCAGCTTCCTTATTCACTCTAAATTTCTAAATATTTTGAACAGTTTTTTAGACTTGAGGTATATAGGAAAAGATGAAAACAATTTGATATAATGTTTGTACTAAGTATTTAATTATCATGACTAGTGAGTCCAGTGCTGCCTCTGTTTAAGAATGAATCCCTTACGTCTTTAAAAACTAGTGCGATAGACCAAAATAGAAAAAACAAACCTTAGCTGAGAATTCTCTCACAATTGTACAACATTCAAAATACAGTAATGAATGTGAAAAGTCACGGAAAAGGAACGCATCCCGACGGCTGCTCAATTGGTTTTTTCTCCCAAAATCTAAATGAAAATATAATAAGATTAATCAATTCAAATAAGCATTTAAAGCCTTGTTTATAATCAATTGTTTATAGTATCCTAAAATAAAATATATGGTCTTAAACGCAGATTTTGAACAAGAGATGGACAAAAAGAGAGAAGCAGAAAATAATACCAAATTCACTTCTTTAAAGTAAGCATGGTGTAGAGCAGCTGCAGCAGAAATCCTTTTCCTTGGGTCCATGCAAAGCATTCTCTGCAAAAAGGCTTATATTATCCATAATTACTTTCCATGGAAAGCCATAAGCAATTAAATTTAGGATTTACTTTTAATCAGGAGCCAATGTGAATATATATAGCACAAGAAGGTGGATTCTCTATCTAATGAAAGAAAGAGAAAAGAATGTGCACAGAATAATTAAAAAAAGCGAAAAATCCCAAATAATAAAATTAATTACAGGCACTGTGTAGCATCACCATGATTGCTTAATTTTGTAAGCTTTATAATACCAAATAGATTTTGTAAATGATAATTCACATATTAATATTTAAATGATAAATTATTAATTTGACCCTTAAATATGTGAAACTTTAACAATTTAAAAATAGTTGGAAAAAATTTAACAATAAGAGGTACATAAACTTTTATATATTCTAGGACTAAAATAAACAATACGTTGTTTTATAAACTACAAGGATAAATTAAGTATTTATCCTATTTAAAATAATAATTTTTTTCATTCATAACATAATTTTTGTTTTGAAATATTCTCTATTAATTTTTATTATTTCAATTTTTTTTTCAAGTCATGCTGGTTATATAACCAAAAGTGTTTATATAAATGCCACATTTGTTACTTTGGAAAATTTTATTAATCAGTATTTCTCAAAGTAACCTGCACTCGAGATGAACTAAATTCCTAAAATAACACACGTCTCCAATTTGCATCTTTGAAACTAAGGTACAGTTTTGCATTCTGAAGGTCCGTTCGTTGGACTATCTAGATCGCACCACACACCCAAAACCAAACTGTGGAGTAAAACTTACTGATAGAAGATTCAGGCCATTACGATCCAGACCAAGAACAAGTACTTCCAAACCCTGCAGAGTATAGTAGAGAGACACTGTAATTTTCTCATAACGTTCCAAGATATTATGAAAAAGAAAACTAGAAACTACCAATTGAGAATGAGAAGTTAGTACCAGTGGATCAAAATTCGGGTAGAGATGAAGATTAGGCAATAATTCAGTGATTCCTGACCATGTTTCCTCTGTGGGGGTACCTAAAAGTCTTCACAGATAAAAATTTCTTATTTCTATTTCAAACAAATCGGATACAAATGTCAAATGGATGGTTTTTGTGTGTCTCATCTAACCTGAAAATTGCCTCCAACTCATCCCGAGAATTAATAGCTTGGAATAAAGGTTGTCCAGTTACCATTTCAGCAAATATACAGCCAGCAGCCCACACATCAACTGGAGTCGAATATCGTTGGTCGTCACACAAGATTTCAGGTGCCCTGTACCAGGCAGTTCCTAACTGACAAGTGTATTAGTGAGGTGTCTACTATATGATAAGACCTTCAATTCTACACCAAGACCAAAGCTAAACCTAATCATTTAATGAGCATTATTATTTGATAATTAAGCTTTTATACCACACAAATGTCTACTATCAATCATAGTTGTAGAGGACTGTACTTTTCTAAATTTACATTTGAAAGAGGGACTGTACTTTCTTTCAACGAGTATAAACATATACTCTATCTCTATGTATATATGCAAATGAAATTATAATACCAGAAAAACATTACAATTAAGGGGGAAACAAAGATAGACGGGAAGATGTGATATTCATAATCATAGGATAAACATAAGAAAACACACTCCTGAAATTAGAAACCTGAAAATGTAGTATATAATTAAGCCAAAAATGCAAGAGAGAATCCCCAATTTGCTCTACTGCATACATATACATAAATTCTAAATTTGTTTATGATTATAATGTTGTCACTATATAACATTGTTTTGATGGTAAAATAGAGCCGTGCTAATACATATACTTTTGTGCATGTAACGTACTTATAATGTAATTATGAATGTAATCTAATTATAATGAAATTAAGAACCAACATGTGAGATAATGTTATATCTTGTGACTCTTAATAAAAATTTTGTTAAACTTGAAAAAGACATCCTATTGAATGTGAAAACCATAATACAAAAAATAGTTATAAAAGAATAAATAAATAAAAATATTTTAAATTAAAGATGATAATCAAACTCGTTCATATGAGATTTTCTCTGAATTTAGTAAGAAAAAATAATTTAGACTTAGATTTTCTCTTATTAAAATAATATTAGGTTTGCAATCGGGAATGTATACTTAATTTTCTGCCCCGTCCCTTCTTGCATATTTACATTTAATTTAAATCTTAAAATATTATTCTTATTTCCTATTTCTCTCTCAATTATATTGCAAATTATGTATTTATTATAATTATATTTAAACTTTTATATTTATTTAAATATATATTTTAAAATTAGGATAGGAGAGATGAGACCGGAAATTCAAACCCAACAAAAAATAGTTATAAAAACCCAATTTCTATCCCCAAAAAAATTGAAAACGGAATAGGAATAATCAAGAGAGTTAAGGGCACAAAGCAAAACTAATCCTAACCCGCCATGTCATACCCACTCTCAAGTCCATTATACCTTCTCAGTATATAATATGTCATCTCTACACTCTCTAGCCAAACCAAAATCAGCCAGCTTGATCAACCTTCTAGATTGATCCATCAGCACATTCTTTGGTTTCAAATCTCTATGCAGAATCTTACGGGAATGACAGAACTCCACGGCAGAGAGCATCTGGTACATGAAACTCTACAAGCAAAAAATATTTCAAAAGAAATTAATCACAGTCACAGGATTTTTAGGATTTGCGACTCATGTAACTCAATCTTAAAAGTATTCATGAGATAAAAATGATCTTATATATATATATATATATATATATTATTTTACACATATCATTCATTATTAGTAAGAGAGTGTGTGGTTGATTTGATAAATAATGAGAATTGATTTTCACTTCAATCAAATCTTATTTTACAAAAGGATAAACAGTCTAGTATTAATTAATATTCAACAAAAATATCTAAAAATATAATCTGTTTTCATATTCATATTCCCCTGCATGATATACTTTTTGTGAACACCTTTAATATCATTTTCTACCGAAACTTACTTGTTTACTATGATTTTATTTTACATAGACGTAACTCCTTACTACAATTTTAATCTCTAAACTTAATCATTTACTATTATTTTAATACTTAAATTTAAATAATTATTATTTTAATCTTGGAAGTACTTTTAGAATTTCAATTTACTTAGTCAAGTTTATGAGTTAGCGTGACAATAGTTAAATTCAATCACCAAATAATATAAAATAATTAATTTTGAGACTAAAATAATAGTAAGCGCGTGGAATAAGAGATTTTCTAATCATAAAATTAAATTAAAAATGGTAGAAATTGTTTTGAATTTTAATAATTGTAGAACTTAAATGACAGTACATTATACAATCTATAGGTAAAATAATTATTTGTTTATCGCTCTTAACAGTAATAAATGTTAGGTTATTTGTAACTAAAATTGATTTTACATCAATTTAATTAAAAGTGATTGTTGAAAATTTACATTCAATTTTATGACTAAAATATTCACACATAAATCACTTTATTAAAATTAATCCTAAATAAAATCAATTTAACAAAAATGCAGCCTCTAGTTTTGCTTTTAGAATTCATATTTAATGCAAAATTACTTTCAATTCAAAACAAAGGCAACCATCAGTTGCTCTGGATATCCCTTTCAACAATGCCTAATGATTCTGAACAAACTAAAACTCAATTTTCTAAACACCAGTTCAAACACACACTCATAAGCCAAGTACCTTTATGGTCAAGGCATCCCTGGGAAAAGGACTGCTCTGAATATAGTCATGAAGGTCGCAGTCGAGATGCTCGAAGACGAGATTGACATATCTTTTATCCGAGATTCCCACTTTGAGCAACTTGACGATGTTGTTGTGGTCGAGTTCCATGAGAAACGACACTTCACGGATGCTCGGAGCCGGAACACCCTGCCATGTGCCCATTATCCTGATCTGTTTCATGGCCACGAGTGCACCGGTCTCCAGGTCACGGCATTGGAACACTCGCCCGTAGCTGCCTACCGCTAGCAACTTCAGCACCTCCACGTCCATCCCCGCCGCGTCCCTGCTCCCCTCTGTGCCACGAGGGCAGATGTTGCACTCCATCAAACGCGCCAACCTACTCCACCACAAATATAACCATTAATCACTCACAGATGTCATACAAAGATTAAAACAGAAAAATGATGAACAATAATTAGGTTTTTTGGATCCAAAAATCGTTGTTCTTAATAATTTCCGATAACTAATTTGGTTGAGTATTACATTGAATCGAAGGAGCCGATCCAATCGATTTCTTCAGTCCACATTCTGAGAGAGGGTTTGATAGACAGAACGAGAGAGAGAGTTGATAGCTACTATAACGGAATTCGAACCTGAAACTTGTTAAGCACGGATAACTGAACCCACTCTATTTATTTGTTTCTTTGAGTTAGAATTTCCCGCCAAAAAGAATAACAAACTTTTCTGCAACTAATAGAGGTCTGCCACATGGCATATTAGTTGCTATTAGCTAATTGTTACTTAACCGGGTAAAATACTACACGGTTTATTTTTCTACTTGGTTAATTATTTTCCTGTCTTTATTCTGATTTTTTTTTGTTTATTTTGATATTTATGTGTATTAAGAATGACATGACTAATAGAGACTGGAAAACAAATATTACGCTTTTTAAATGAAAAAAAAACTAAAATAAATAATTTTCAATATAAGAGGAACGTATATGAAAGTAAATTACAATGTTATTGGGACAGGATTAAAGTCCTTAATAAAATTTTAGGAGCTAGAGACTTAGAAAATAATAAAATTTTAGGAGCTAGAGACTTAGAAAATAATAAAATGTTTTGAAATTTTCACCACAAAATTATAGACATTGTTCTTTATTTAGTCACTTTGACTGAATCATTGTCTTGATTTGCTTATATTCCTTTTATTACAAGAAAATTAAAAAAAAAAAAAACTCATTTATAAAGCACATCGTTGAAAAAGAAATGAAGTTGCTTAACACTAAATTTTAGCAAACAAGTCAAGTTCCGTCTAGAAGTAACTAAAATACCTGCATGGTTTGTAAATAACAAAGATTTTCAGATTCATCATTTGCTTATAACCACGGTTCATATTTACATGATAGTGTGTACATTTGGCAAAACTTCCTACACAAGGAACATCGCACCAAAACCAAAAGAATAAAATATTACATGTGAAAGGGAGACCTCAGAAAAATGAAATAAAATAATTTCAAATCAAAGTGCCAAGCATTCACAAATAATGTTCACAAGCTTTGATCATATTTGGCAGAGAAGGTTGCAGTTGTACTTGCAGCATATGACATGGTGTTACCCTGGCTGTCTGAAGCAGAGGATGCATTGTAGGAAGATGAACCCTTGGTATCATTATCCCCACCATTGTTTTCTCCTCTGATTTTAAGGTCCATGAAATCTGAAATCAAGCCTGGCTTTGTTATCTTACTTTCATCAATATCCATTTCTCCAGTGAGCATCTTCACTACAGAAGACATTGGTGGCCGGAGTTTTGAAGTGTCTTGAGTGCAAAGAAGTCCAACTTTCAGAAATTTACAGGCCTCCTCAGCGTCGAAATGCCCTTCTAGGGATATATCTACAAGCCCTACCAATTCCCTTTGCTTATAAAGTTCCCATGTCTGAAAGGAAAGCAAAAGCTTAAATTAAGAGCTGGTCAAAAAATATCATAATGCTGTAGAATGTGAGTACTGTTGTACAATGACATGCTCAAGTGTGTCAGGCTGAGAAAAAAATGGGTGATGTTTCCAATCAGATATACCTTATAGGGGGGGGTTATAACTTTATAATAATCAAATTGTAGACTACAAAAAAATAATTGAATGGAAAACGAAAGTAGAAAGATGATAAAGTGGAGTTTTATAACAAGAAAATTAGTGGAGACTACAACATTGCGCCTGTTTGAATGAACTTGTCTGTAAACACTTTCAGGGGAAACACATAAGAAGACAAATTAAGATTAGTTTCTCCATAAACTAAAATTAGCTTATACATTAGTTAATTAATTGATGTTTTCTCATATAGTTTTTAAAATTTTTATGTTTAACTTATGTATTAGCTAATTTTAGCTTATGAAGCTCATTTCATTTTAAAAGTGCTTATGGAGAAACTCGTTCAAGCAGACCCGTCAAGTGAAAAGAAAACATAATTCAGAAGATGTTGTTTAAACTCACTTATGTTCTGTACATAGAAACATATACATGCAGGAAACCATGAACAATATTTTAATTTCACTGGTTACAAGTGATTAAAATTCACAAAATTGGGTTTGTGAGAGACACAGTATACTGTTGTTGTATGAACTAATTACCACTGATGAGGTTGCAATTAAGGCAACCCCAAAGAAGCCACAATTAAAGCCAGGAATGACTAAAATTAAGGAGGTCTACCAACATTTTCAATACAACTTGAAAGCATCCAATAAAAGGTTATGTTATCACATACTTGGCAGTGAAAGTAACTTCATGTATTATACCCGAAGAATGTTCTTATTAATAAGGAGATGTGAACAAAAAACTAGTCTATTCTTTCCCCTCTTATTATGTATTTGTAAAAAGTAAAAGGTACAGCAATATAACTAGGGAAATAGAAATGGCATACCGTTTCTAAAAGATACTGCTCTCCTCTCGGTAGTCGTGTATTTGTGTGACATCTGCCACTTACTATCTCGACAAGGAGTACACCAAAGCTGTAAATATCTGCTTTACGTGTCAGGTGCCCCCTTATTGCATACTCTGGTGCCAAATAACCTCTGAAATAGAAGATGGAGGCATTAAATTCCTGATGTAAATAATTGGTGAGAAAAGGAAGTCAATAACATTAGCAGGAAAAGAGAAGTTTTCCTCTTTATCATGTGATAAGTGAAAGGTGATGAATGAAGAAACTGGACATAATACACAAAAAGAAAATACTCTTGCATCCACTAAAACATAAGTGAATATTAGTACTGCTTCCCAGGGCCAGACACAGGGTGGAATCAGACCAGTTCAGCCAAAATTTGCTAGGCCCAGAGTAATTCACAACTATTCCAGTTTGCACAAGTCAGAGGGGCAACGGCATAGGATGTTCTGTCCTCTTATAATTAACTAGATTGTTAGTTGTAGAGAGAATCTAAGGGTGTGCAGTTTGTAAAAAAGGGGACATAGCATGCGAGGGAGAGTAATCTTGCTATTTGAAATTTGCTTAGGCCTGAGAAGACTCATCTTCCAGGTGGAAGGGAATTGTTCTAGCAGTTTATTAACCAATTTATGTGAATTTCAATAATTGAATCTCTGATCCTATCAAGCACTATCAATGATCTCAGTTGAGTTGTGGTTGACGATGAATTTACAACAAAGAATATTTCGTGTGTGCTGCATTTAATGGACTACAAATCTTGCAGAGCAATGGCTCAACCAAAGGAATCCCTTCTGTCAGGAATAAAGCAAGATAATAAAAGATAAGCTAACAATATGAATATAAATTTCAATGTGACCAATTTACAACAAAATGAACTGATATAAAATATGAAATAGAATCAATATTCAATTATATTCAAATATTCTCAAAATTTTCAGTATTTGTTGGGAATATATGTTTATTAGATTTTATTATCTTTTAAGAGAAGAAAATATTGTATTATTATTTTGATTAAGGTAGTTATAATTGATATATTATTAATATTTGATATTTTGTCATATTTTTACTCTATATATAAATATAGTACATGAATAAAATATATAGATATATTTCATATATCAGAAATATGTATAGACAAAACCTTAAAAATTCTAATCAATATTATGGTGTACAATTCTGACCATTCAACATTATAATAGTGTTCTAGTTTAAAACTGGGATATTGAAGGGATAAAGTCTTACTTTTGGGAAGGCTACCCTGCCCATTGAACAGGATAAGTAATATAGAAGTTTCCAGATTATTTACAGGCTATTTACTAAAATACTTACATTGTTCCCGCCACACGCGTGCTGACATGAGTCATGTATGATGGAATAAGCTTTGCAAGACCAAAATCTGAAATCTTAGGTGTAAGGTTTTTGTCAAGGAGAATATTGCTTGCTTTTATATCCCTGTGAACAATATGCGGTCTTACTTCTTCATGCAGATAGGAGAGCCCACGTGCAATCCCAATGCAAATCCGAGATCGTGTTTTCCAATCAAAAACGATGTTACTGTGACCTGAACCTGCAAGTGAAGATAAAATAACATATTCAGAAAGAACTACAGTAAGAAAATTAAATTAATAGAACAACTTCATGATATTCTATATGAAACAATAGAATGCCTGTTCTCAAATTTTCTCAGAAAAGTTTACCACAAATTACAAAGCATTTACCTAGAAGGGTTTGCGCAAGACTATTGTTCTCAAGATAATTGTAGACTAATATTCGGTTATTCCCTTCCACACAACAACCATATAGCTTAACCAAATTTTCATGCTCTATTTCTGAGATCACATTAATTTCTGTCATAAATTCTCTCACCCCTTGACTTGATTCTGCTGAAAGAACTTTTATAGCAGCTAGTTTCCCATCTTTTAGCAACCCCTGATCATCCACCATAATATTGTTAAGGTTCACTGATAAGGAAAGGAAAGAGAAAAATAGTGATCAATCCAATGGATATGATGATGCAAGCAAAATTCGGAAGTTACTTAGTTACCTTATAAACAGATCCAAAGCCACCCTGCCCAATTTTATTGGCCGGACTGAAATTGTCTGATGCAACTTTTAATTCTTTGAAGGTAAAGATTCTTACATTTTGAATGCCTGATAGTTCTGTTCACAAACATTTCAGTCAAAGTCAAGCAATGCAAGTAGATTTTCTATGTATTTTATCATAGGTATCTTAATTCAACAACGATATTCTTAACATTGTTAAATTACCTTCATCAATATCTGGATTGTGTTTTGCCACGGAAGGCACTTTCTTACCAAATGAGAAAGGGAAACAAGTCATGACTGGAGGATGAACCACATAAAAGTGTCAGTATCTTAGAATAATAAAGTGAAATTCCTGCATACATTAAATGATAACCAACCATAATGCAAAACCTTCAGGTCTTACAATATGAGAGCAAACAAAGCACATTGATAGTATGTTATTTACCATATCAGATGAAACATATTAAAAGTAATAACTGATATCATGGTCATGGCTTCAACATTTTTTTTTTCAATATTCCAATGATATCAGTGCTATTAAACTAAACTTAATGCACAAATATCAATACTTTCTTTATAAGCAAAAACACGTTTGAAAAATTTATGAAAGAAGCAGGTGACAAAAAATAGATTATATTGATAGTTCCCAAAGCCATATAACTAAAACAAACAAGGATGCATCAATAATTCCCAAAATCATTCTTTTTGCTAGTTTCCAAGAGGGTTTCTGAAAATATATTATTTCTCCAAAATTAACCGGAAAAAAAAAACATGATAATCCACTCTCTCCTACGCTCTTACAACACCCCTTTTCACATCTACATTAAAATAAACTATTTATCTGTATCTCAACACTCGAATTAAGAATCCCCATATGCATCGATGCCGGAAAAAAGCATAATCTCAAATGAAAACCATTTTTTCAACTATATCCTATTATTCATACAGCTCTCTTGCTCGAAACTAAAAATTTGTGCGTTTAGGTGTTAATAAATTTCACTTCATCATTTGGTGCCGCTTTTCAAATAGCATTGAGAATAGAAAAGTGAATTGGGTTTCCTCTGGAACTAAAACAACTATAAGAGAGACAAATCAGGAGCCTAATCATAAATTTTTTTCAGCAAGTGAAAAAAAAAATAATAATAATAAACGAAAAGATTATTCATAAAAACAGCCATAACTGAAGCATAACCAAAACAAAGCTGCAATATATGGCAGAAACGGACCTTAGAAAGTGGTGAATACAAGAAATGGAATGAAACAAGAGGAGAAGTCCTTTCTGAGAGGGAAGATGAAAAGGTGAGAGAGATGGGTCGGCTGGGTTTGGTCAACAATGAACTGTGTCTGAGATGACGATGATGTTGTGTTGTGGGTTTCTATTCTGTGTGCTGCTTATTATTATCCTCACCACGTGGCGTGAAGAGCGCGCATATGTAATGTGAATCCCTTCTATCAATGCATTGACTTGACTTAGACTCATCAATATAAAATTGCAACCTCTTTTTAAATAACTATTAAATAATAAATTTAAGACAAATCATGACCAGTGTCTTTGAAATATTGGTTAAAAATTTAATATAAATTATTGTTAAGAATATAGTAAAAAAAAACACACACACATTCTGTAATTTTTAATACATATTTATTCTTACACAAAATAATTACATTCAAATTAAAAAAAAATTATAGATAATATTAAAAATAAATATTTAGTAGAATTATATATTTATTTACAACGCAAAGTAGAAATCAATAATTAATATTCACACATCAATAATAAAGTGGTGAAGAGGAAAGCTAGAAAATATTATTTAGATTGTTTATAATCATGCAACTAGTTGCCTAATACTTCTTTTTTTGAATTAGTGTTAGTGGATCTTAATTAGACATAAACCGTGTACGTGACTTTGTTTTGAAAATTTTAATAATATTATAAATAAAAAACTAATTACATAAGAATTTGTATTTTCTATTTGTAGTCACGATCCATCAATTAATAATTGAGTTATAATTTAATTATTTTCGAAGTGCGTGAATATTTTATCATCCAATGGCTCATTATATTCAACTTGCTTGAACCATACATTTGGTTTGGTGAGATAATTATTATGGACTTTTTGGCGCAGAATAGTCAATATTGAACATCAACAAGTATTTATTTTTATTTTTTAATCAAAATATGAACATGTTGAATGAAGATATCATTATAAATGAAAGGCTTATACATGGATTTAAGTTTAATAAGAAAATAAATTTTTATTTTAGTTTTAGTCTAGAAAGTATTGTAAATAACTTTTGAGCATTTAAATAAAATGACATCAATGGTACTTTTCGAAACTAAAAGTAATAATAATAAACAAAACTATTAAAAACGAAAAACAAAAAACTGACAATTTATTCGACACTAAGAACATATTTAATTTTTTTAGTTTATTTGGATAATTTTTTTTTTTAAGAAATGCTCAGCCACAACCTTTCCTTGGAGCTTCCGATCTTGAGATCCTTGTTGAACGTTCGTAGTTTAAATGAAAATACCTTGTAATTTTCGTATAAGTTATTACACTATTATTTATCATATTTTTTAAATTCATTTTAGTCTTTCATTTTTTTAAAGAATTTAATTCTTTACTTTTAAAATTTAAGTCAATTTAGTTATTTCAAAATATTGATTATTTTCAATTTTGGAACACGATTCAACCGGTGTCGTTTAGTGAATAATTAACTATGTATTTTGACTTGGGTAATTATAGTGATATGATAATTAATTATTTGATTTGTCTGAAAATCAAGTTTAATTATTTCAGGATAAAATAGTTTTCTTATTCAGGTTTTGACAGTTTTCAATATTTAGTACATGAACTTTTATAACAAGTAATGAGAGATTTTATTTTAAAGAATGAAGAATCAACTCTATTATATAAAAACCGATTTTCATAATTTAATGGCGAGAACAATGTTTGAAAAGTGTATAATATAAAATTCTATTGAGAATTAAAAGATATTCAAAGCAAACAAGGAAATCAAAGAAAACTGCTTTCGGATTTATAAATCACGTGTGAACATACTTTACACGTTGGAATTGAAACTTTCATCATTTCCATTATAGAGACAGTGTGAGATGAACAGGTTTAGTTTGGCTCAAAAGTTTCTAGCTTTTTCTTTTCAACTCAAAACATGATACCTTTCCTTAAAAGGTGATGGTATACATAAATATTTATTTGTATATGTTGAATATTTTATTCACTTTTTTTCTATTACATTACATTACTTTTCATACACTATACATTCTCTTTGCGAGTTAACATGTTGAATTAGGTAGTTTTGTGTATAAAAGAGGTATTAGCAATAATTGAGAACCAGATTGTATGATTTGGGACTAGGTGAACATTTTGAGTTGAAAATCAGTCCTTCAAAATCTTTTAAGTTTCACTGTTACCTTTTGTGCATGTCTCATGCCATCAGTTTCCTTAACATTTACCAATGGATCAAGATGGATGAGCCAATAAATAATGTGACCATCAGTGCCAACTCAACTTGCATTTGTTATGAAGAAAGAATTTCCCAGTTTCTGAAACCAACCAACCAAAAAAGCTATAAATTCCTTTGTCATTGACTTTCCTCAAATATATCTTCATCTTGATGTAGCACAGGACTGTTCTTCATGTGTGCAAGGCTTGTTTGGTTAGTTCCATCAACCAATGAAGACCGAACTGCCTGCACATAAATAAATGATTTTCTTCATGAATGCTATAATACCATCACATTCATCAAATTGTGACACATTCTTTCTGCATATGTCAGCACATATCAGTGTAATGATGAAAGAGTTTACAAAGTCGTTTGGTACAAGAGAAGTTTTTTAATTTCCAGGAATCATAACTCCCGAAAATTACAAATTTTAACTGTTATGATTCCTAAAATCTGTTTGACTATTCATAAATATTTTCCTGAAAATCAAAGACTAATTTGATATATTTACTCTTTTGTGCCAAGGTTACTTTAGTGTGACTATTTCCTACAACGGTTGTCATCCGTTATCTGTCATTGATCACTTCACCAACTAGACATTAAGTTTATGTTTGGATTGTGGTAGGGATTCGAAGAAGTGAATTTGAAGTGATTTAAATGGATTTGTGGGGCTGTTTGAATTTAGGGAAAGATAGTAAATTTAAAGAGATTTGAGTAAATTTATTATAGCTGTTGTTATGATTGAATATAAGATAATTGAATAATAGTATTTTTAGTGTAATAACCAAGTTATCCTTGTGAGGTAGAATAAGATATTAATGCAAATGAAAAAAAGAAAATAAAAACAATTCAGACATTTATTACTCAATCACCCATTTTCTCACTGTTAAAGTAGATTTGTGAGGGTGTGTGAGGGTGTGGAATCCACCTCCCCGTTACTCCAAATCCACATAAATCAGCCAAAGCAAACCAATGTATATCCCACAAGTCCCCTCCTTCAAATCCTCTACTACAATAAATCACTAGAAGCAATTAGAGCATAAGAGTGCCTTCCTACGTGATGATAAAAAATCTAATATTGGAGATGGTTAAAAATATAAGAGATATCTAAATATGTAATCCGATAATATTTTATAGCATGTTAGACAATTACTTAGGATTTTTTTCTTCATATTTTGATTTGTTTCTTTATTTAATTAGAATATTCGTAATTATAGGAATATTTTATTGGAATCAAATTTATTAGGAGTATGATTTATAGGCATATCAAATCATGCATATTTATTGTCACCAGCTTATAAAAATGGATTATGTTGTGTAATTCATACACATAGTTCATGTATGCGCTCATAACAAATTCTTGTAAATCTTTCTATAATCAAGATACAACATAATTTTGAATATTCTATAATATCTATGATCCTCGCAACAAAATCATTGTTTCTTGTTCAAACTCAAAAGAGAGAGACATAAGTAGTCCAGCATATATGTTCTAAACTTATTGTTTACCCAAAAGAAAAATAGTTGCTTGATCAAACGAAGATCAATCCTTACCATAAAAATGATAACTCCTTTGACCATGACTACATCAAACAAGTGAAACAACAATGACTAAAGATTTTGGCTTTAACTAAGACCTTGGATGACTCCAAACATGTGAAACAACAATTGCCAATCCTAGTAGGCTTCATTGCTCCGTGACCAGATGTATATGGAGACAAATAGATTATAAACAAAAAATGAAACTGGGTACCCAAATTATACCATGAAATTTTCTGGGTGAGATCATTTGATATTCCAAATCTCTACCAGATAGTAGAATGAACTGGTATAGAACCATAAACATGCAGCAAGCACATAGTGCAGTTTATAATTTTAAGAAAAGAATATACAGCATAAGATCTAATTTTAAAGTCAATAATTTAGCATATAATAGGTTCAGATAATGCAACCTTTTCAATTTCTTCTAAAAGATATGTATTCTCCTTTAAGTACTGTATTGCTTTGTCCCTTCCCTGTCCCAACCTGTTCCAAGACACCAATTGGATGGTTAACATTAAACCATACAAACTCACACATAAAACAACCCACCAGTCATTTGGAGGACAGTGAACGGGGAAGACAAAGTAAAGGGATAGAAAGAAGGCATAGGAGAAAAACCAACTTTTGTTTCACAAACTGAATAGCTAATCAATTTCACACTATATATAATTGCATTGTCAAGTTCTTAATTTGGAGGACAGACCCACATAGAGAACAATGAAAGAGACCATTAAATAAATAAAATATAAGTATTAAGATTCAGAAAGTAGAGACTGTACCGATGGTCTCCATAGCTGTACCAAGAGCCTTTCTTTGAGACAATATCCATCATTTCTGCACAATCCAAAATGCATCCCTGCATTCAAAAGGAAGAGTTAAAATAATGATATAATCTAACAGGTATAAATGCTTTTATCTGCAAGACTCACCAGCTTACTGATTCCCTCTCCAAATATAATTTCAAATTCAGCTAGTTTGTATGGCCTTGATACCTACAACAACTTATTGAGTTAAGGACCTCCAGAACATAGTTTAAAATCAGTGAAAATACAGCATAACATATATCTCTAAATATCTAGGTTTTGTCTTTAGAGTAATTTAGAGAACCTTAGATGAACTCAGGAATGATTTCCATATTTATTATATCTCCTAACTTGAAATTAGGGTTTAGTGCTTTGTATAAGAGTGATATATCTTAATGTTGTGTTGTATACCATACATATGCTATATTTACAATCTTATAATAGAGTACAAGAGAAAAAAATCATGGATACAAAGAACCAATTGATATCCCTAATTTGTAGTAACCTATATATCCAAATTTGCATGCAATAAATCTCCTTGTTCAAAATATTTTTATTGACACTCCCCTCAAGCTGGAGCATACATGTCATGAACCAAGCTTGTCAAATATAAACAGCACAAGAGCCTTTAAATGACTTAGTGAACATGTCAACCAATTAGTCAACAGAGCTAACAATGTCAGTTGTAATTTGCCTTCACAAAACCTTTCTTACAAACTCACAATCTATCTGATAGGAATGGGTTGGTTAATAAGGAGGAGGACATATTGGTTAACAAAGAAAATGTTGGGCCCATGGTTTGGCGTGTGTATGAGAGAAGAAATAAAAAAGGGGTCTCAAGGAAAGCTTGATAATGACGTGGCAATTCTGTTAGGCAATTCCCTTAATAAAAGCATAGTGGGAATTAGTATGAGTCAGTTTTGTATTTTCATATTTACCTTTACGGTTAGGCAGTGAGAGGTTGCTTCTCTACTATGGAGCTTTGCTCTGGGTTTGTGACAATTTTTTTTAATTCACACATTTAAGAAATACTTTCTCATCTATTCTTGATCTCTGCTCTATCAATTGGTCCAACCTGTCGTTGTTGATGCCCCAAGCCCTTAAAATGACTGATCGTGTTACTGCAGTGGAAGAACGTCTGACAGGTGTTGAGGCCAGTCTCGTTGCACTACGAGAGTTCATCAGTGCTAAGATTCAACGTGTCGTCGCTACACGTGACTCATCTCAATCGAGTGGTACAACTGTTACCTCAATGTTGGAGGAATTTCGTTTGTCTGCACTTAGCATGGAAGGTCCCACAATTCATTGGTTTAATCTGTGGCATGATTCCACAGAGGAGTTATCATGGGAAAATTTAAAGGAGGTGATGATGTTGCGCTTTGGAGGTGGACGATTGGCCAATTCGTTTGAAGAACTCAAGGAGTTAAAGCAAACTGCGTCAATGGAGGAGTACATTGCGGAATTCGAATTGTTCTCATCGCAATGCAGTCATTTACCGGGTTACTTCGTGGGCGGTTTGCGTCCTAATATTCGCCTCGCATGATCACGTTCACGCCACGCAATCGTTATTTAACAATGCAATTGGCACGTGACATGGAGCGTGATTTTGAAGAGATTCTGGGTCAGGATACCAGGTCACGCTATAAAACGGGTCAACATACTTGGACTCATCCTCAGAAACAGATTTGGGCTCAAAGGGAAGGAGATGGACATGGGCCTGCCAAACCGGCCCCATCTGGCGGAGTTTCTTCCCACATTAATCAATGGTTACTTCCTGCATCGAGTTCTACTGCACCCATTGGGTCGACTCGTTTTCCATTATTTCCTTCCAATTCTCGCATTAATCCCGGTGATAGGGGCCGACGCAACCCTCATGGAGTACGTCATTTACCAGTAGTGAAAGTGAATGAACGCCGTTCTAGGGGATTGTGTTTCCGATGCAATGAACAATGGGTCCATCAGTGTGCATCGAAGTAATTGCGGATTATTTTTTTGGGGGGACGATGAAGCAATCAATGATGATGGTGAAATTGTGACGATAGACATAACAACTGATGATGAAGAAGACGTGAGGGAGTTAGAATGCAAAGTGCTCAGCGTGTTCGGCGTCTCCTCCACCCCTTCTCAAGTTAGTACAATGAAATTAGAAGGTGGTTTACAAGGAGCAAATATCTTAGTGTTGATTGACAGTGGGACTACTCATAATTTCATCTCCCCTACAGTTGTGGAAGCATTGCGATTGTCAGTGGCTCCTTCCACACCTTTAGGGGTCAAGCTAGGTGATGGACATCGTGTTCTGACCATGGGCAAATGTGATGCGATTTCAATAGTACTGGGTCAAATGCAAACTACCTTTGATGCTTATATTCTGGAATTAGGAGGTGTGGATTTGATTTTGGGTGTCGTATGGCTAGAAACACTAGGTAAAGTCACCATGGATTGGAAAGAAATGTCTATGGTGTTCAATTATCAAGGGAGACTAGTGAAGTTGGTTGGACAACCTCTGAAGGAGAAGATAGCTACTTTTCAAAGCTTGATGACTACTTCCAAATTATTGGATAGTGATAGTGAACCTAAAGTGTAAGATGTCAAAGGGGCAGCTCAGCAGGGACTTAATGCGGAACAGAGTCAAACCTTACAAACTATATTAACAAGATTCGCAAATGTATTTTACGAGGTCAAGGGCTTACCCCTAGCAAGAAACACTAGCCATGCCATTGTGTTATCTCCAGGTGCTGGTCCTGTGAGTGTGCGACACATCACCACAAAGATGAAATTGAACGACAGATTAAGAGCTTATTGCAACAGGGAGTGATTCGGAAGAGTAATAATATTTTTTCTAGTCTGGTCATTTTGGTGAAAAAGAAGGACCATTCGTGGCGGATGTGCATTGACTACCGTGCCTTAAACAAGGTTACCATACAAGATAAGTATCCTATTCCAGTGGTTGGTGAGTTGCTCGATTAATTACATCGTTCGGCCTACTTTTCTAAGTTGGACTTGAAATCCAAGTACCACCAAATTAGAATGAAGGAGGAGGATATTCATAAAACAGCTTTTAAAACTCATGAAGGTCATTATGAGTATATGGTGATGTCGTTTGGGTTGACCAACGCGCCAGCTACCTTTCAATCCGTGATGAACGACATTTTTAAACCTTATTTGAGAAGGTTTGTCCTCATGTTCTTTGACAATATTTTAGTATATAGTGTCAATTCGCATACACATTTGGAACACTTAGCTAGAGTTTTACAAATCCTTCAGCAACATCAGTTTGTGGCAAACAAGAACAAGTGCGCTTTTGGCAAAGAGCATGTGGAATACTTGGGTCATGTTGTTTCCAAGGCCGGGGTGATGGTTGATCCAACAAAGGTGGAGAGTGTGTTACAATGGCCAACTCCCATTAATGTCAAAGGAGTGCATGGCTTTTTAGGTTTGATGGGATATTATAGGAAGTTTATTGCTAACTACGGCAAGATTGCTAAACCCCTGACCGAATTGACAAAGAAGGATGGGTTTAAGTGGAACGCGGCTGCTACTGAAGCATTCCAGAGGTCTTACCCAATTTCAAGTTACCTTTCGAGATCGAATGTGATGCATCTGGAAGAGGTATAGGTGTTGTGCTGATGTAGTTGAGACATCCTATTGCTTATTTTAGTAAGGCTTTTGCTCCCTCTAAACTCTCCAAATCTACGTATGAAAAGGAGCTAATGGCATTGGTTCTCGCTATCCAACATTGGCGGCATTATTTGTTGGGTAGGCGATTCATTGTATACTCGGATCAAAAGAGTTTGAAACATTTGTTACAGCAACGAATCACTACTGTAAACCAACAAGAATGGATGGCCAAATTGCTTGGGTTTGATTTTGAAATAATTTACAAGACAGGGGTGGAGAATAAGGTGGCAGACACATTATCTAGACAACACGAAGATGCAATGATAAATACAATGTTGTCCTTTCCCATATGGACTCAAAGGAAACAATTGCAACAAGAAGTGCTGCAAGACCCAACTCTCAAAGGAATCATTGTGGCCATTCAATCTAATCCGGCATCCAAACCTGGTTTTGTTTTGAAGAGGGGCGTCTTGCTCTACAAAAATCGACTGGTTATTCCGGCTAAATCTCCAATTATTGAGGAGTTGCTTAGAGAGTATCACTCATCACCCATGGGAGGGCACTCAGGGTATCTCCGGACATATCGAAGAATGTCGGGGACTTTATATTAGCAAGGAATGATGAAACAAGTTCAGGAATTTGTCAAGGCTTGTGATGTTTGCCAAAGACAAAAATACGCTGCTATTACACCAAGTGGACTGTTACAACCTTTGCCAATTCCCGTGCTGGTTTGGAGCGAAATCTCCATGGATTTTATCACCAAATTGCCCAAGAGTAATGGACCTGAAGCTATATTAGTAGTAGTTGACCGTCTTTCAAAATACAGTCATTTCATTCCTCTCAAACACCCTTTCACGGCTTGTTCCATTGCCTCCATTTTTGTGAAAGAAGTGGTTAGGTTGCATGGTGTACCGGAATCAATTCTCAGTGATTGTGACCCGCTTTTTATGAGCATTTTTTGGAAGGAATTGTTCAAATTGATAGGACAGTGCTTAAGATGTCATCAATCTACCATCCGCAAACCGACGGTCAAACGGAAGTGGTGAACAGGTGCCATGAAGCTTATCTCCGGTGCTTCATATCGGATCAACCCAAGTCATGGACACAGTGGATTCCCTGGGCAGAATTGTGGTATAACACAACATTTCATGCCCCTACAAGGTGTATGCCATTTGAGGTGGTCTATGGCCGAAAACCACCAATGCTGGTGCATTACGTTGAAGGTGAAACAAGAGTTGAAGCAATTGCACAAGAGTTAAGAGACAGAGATAAGGCACTGAGACAACTGAAATTTAATTTGCAAAATGCGTAGGAGCAAATGAAGTTACAGGCGGATAAGAAAAGGAAAGAAGTAAATTTTGAAGTTGTAGATTGGGTTTTTCTCAAGTTACGACCCCATCGACAGCAATCTGTGGTACAGAGAATTCATCAGAAGCTTGCTCTTAGGTTTTATGGTCCCTATCAGGTCATTAAAAAGATGGGAGCAGTGGCTTATAAATTGCAATTATCGACAACATCCAAAATTCATCCGATCTTTCATGTGTCGCAATTGAAGAAGGCAGTCAGTAATTACACAGTGACAAATGAGCTGCCAGACAGTTTGGAAGTGGAAAAAGGGGATGTGGTTCCTTATAAGTTGCTATCTTGGAGGGACAAGTTTACTGAGGGGAAGCACACTCGTGAATGGCTAGTGCAGTGGGAAGGTATGGACGTTGGAGATGCTACGTGGGAGGAGGAACTGTTACTTACGAGCCAATTTCCAGATTTCAACCTTGAGGACAAGGTTACTGTTGCAGGAGGGAGTGATGATAGGAATGGGTTGGTTAATAACGAGGAAGACATATTGGTTAACAAAGAAAATGTTGGGCCCATGGTTTGGCATGTGTATGAGAGAAGAAATAAAAAATGGGTCTTAAGGAAAGCTTGATAATGATGTGGCAGGCAATTCCCTTAATAAAAGCATAGTGGGAATTAGTATGAGTCAATTTTGTATTTTCAAATTTACCTTTACGGTTAGGCAGTGAGAGGTTGCTCTTCTACTGTGGAGCTTTGCTCTGTGTTTGTGACATTTTTCTTAATTCACACATTTAAGAAATACTTTCTCATCTATTCTTGATCTCTGCTCTATCACTATCTTTATGTGTTAGCTCATTCATGAAATATATGTTTTGATGCAATATGGAGAACAGCTTAAATGTCACAATTAACTTTAGCATCTTTAATGTCTCCAAACTTTAGTTTGTTGAAGGAATTGCCTAAGCAATGTAGATTAGCATGTACTTGCTACCAATAGTATCAAAACCACCAAAGCACTACCTTTATTGCTTCAGTTGCACACACTAGAACCTTCATCTAACCACATTTCTGGTAATTATTCGTTTTATCTACCTAGTATTACATCTGCCAATGGGACCTCATGCATGGACATTATTATATGTTGGGGTCATGCATGGACATTATTATATGTTGGTATGACCACTCTGTAATGACTCTCTTCAAGGTTGCTTGGTGGAACCTCGTGTTTATTTTTACTACAGGTGTTTCTAGGAAGGGTCTTTGTAAATTTGTATTGCTTATAGTATCACATGTATATTGGTTGTTGTTAACATATAATAATATGATATTTACTAAATGTGACAACAGTTTGAGTATATTTAATTAATGAATTTGATTTATTTTCAAAATTAATGGACTTAGACGTTTTTTTTGTAAGCTTACCGTTGTAACTAGTTGTTTGATGACTGCAATGTCATATTTCCCACCCAGGAGCATATGTTGAGATGTCAACAACTTGAAACTTCTCATCTTGAGTTTCTGGAGCCCAACAACACCTATCAAGGGATCATGAGCTGATTGATTCTCACAAAGAGTAAGCTATTCTTGGGATTTACTCATCATGTACGACCTAGTTCAGATGTCATCCAAGTGAGGAATCAGGTCCTAGCCACATTCCAACCATGGGAATTGATTATGATGAGGACGATCCTTCAAAAGAGTCTGATTCCTAAAATCAGGATGTATATGGGAATGATCAATTACTTTAGGATGCAATAAGTGTATTTTTTCTTATTTTAGAGTTGTAGAGCCACAGGGCACATTGTTTTTATTTATTACATGTTATGGACAACCAGTAGTATTTTATCAATAAAATATCTTTTTCCTTTTTAATTCTCTTATGTATTTGGATCTATCCTGTTTCAGTGGCACAAAGAAAAAATTACTCCCAATTTCACAAATAAATTAACGAGTTTTGTTTAAAACTGAAATCTTCCGTTAGTATATTTTATGCAGTGAAGATGACTTGTTACGTGAAGAATAAGTGGTAAGGTAGAGTTCAGTAAAGGAGTTGGGACGGGGGACGAATTTGGCATGGCCTCATAGGCAGGAACGGTGGCAGGTTCAGGCACCTCAATGGACTGTTGGTATCACTGGTATGTTTGAAGAGTTCACACAGCCAAGGAATCCTCGAGTTGAATTTTCTAGACAAGATACAAAAGGACTGGAGGAACAAGAACAACCATCGAAATAGACTTGGGAGATAATGTAGCAAACTCAGAGTCACACTGCTATCCAGTTTTTATACAGACTGTTACACTAAATTAGAACAAGAAACACAGAAACTGATGAATGACAGGAAAGAAAGAATCTTTTCTAACTTTGGAAAGTATAATAAATGCCAATTTTCAAGGGATTATGTTATGCAATACTACAAAAATGAATAGGAATGTTTTAAACATAAAATTTTAAAATTTACAAATACTGTCACTTACCTTACTCTTTTGTACTCTTAAACGAACTTTAAGGCCAATTTCTTCATCTCCTTTAGCCTAAAGGAAATTGAAACCAATATGAAAATGCAGTGATGGTTCATTCAAACAACTTTGACATCATAGTCAAAAAGACAATTTCAGTAACAAGTAATTCTATCAATTTAAAAGCTGCTGCTGGTTTGAAGTAGAGATGCCACTGGGAAAGCAAGGTTTACGATGATATGAAAGATTACGCCATGACAATGTTATTGAACTTACAGACTTTATCTTCCCTATAGGACGAACTTCTAGCCGAAGTGATGCAAAGAACTTCAACGCAATTCCACCACTGGTCACTTCTGGATTTCCATAATAGACACCAATCTACAGATGTAAATAAAAATAAATAAATCATATTAACAAAAGCTAGAGATTTAGAAAGACCAAATATAAACATTGAACTCCATTGATTGAGTAAGAAATTGGAATTCATGGTACTCAATGAAATTTATGCAGTCTTCCAATTGGAAAGTTAGACTAATCAAGCATAAATACCTTATATCTTATTTGATTCAAAAATATAAGAGTACAACCAGCTTTAGATGCATTTCCAGACATCTTCCGCAAAGCTTGGCTCATAAGACGGGCTTGCAATCCAATTTGTTGCATTCCAATCTCCCCCTATGCATTTATATGAAAAAATGTAGTTAGACAAAAATGCACTCCTTAAATTTATAAAACAGGAGTACCTAAAATCAAGAATAGTAATTGTTTACTTCAATTTCAGCTCGTGGAGTGAGAGCTGAGACAGAATCCACACAAATGAGATCTATGGCACCAGATCTACACATCCGGTCTGCAACTATAATAAGGAAATTTCAATCAATTCATAGACACCAAACAGCACCCTCAGCGCAAATATTATTTTTCCATTCTAACAGAATCACATTGAAGGCAAATATATTACTCTCAAGAGCCATCTCTCCATGATCAGGTTGGCATACAATTAAATTTTCCACATCCACTCCTAATGCTTTAGAATATGCAGGATCAAATGCATGCTCTGCATCCACAAGCATCGCATTGCCTCCTAACTTCTGCACATCATAACAATATAGCATATTGATCCCAGAAACTTGTTTATAAAAAGTGATTCTTCATGATCAATAATTAATGATTTGAAAAAGTCCTATAGATGAGTTACCTGAACTTCTGCAATAGCATGAAGAGCTAGGGTGGTTTTTCCACTACTTTCTTGTCCAAATATCTGGAAAAATACGTAGTAAATAATATCAGCTTGAACATGACAGAACATATATGTTAAAGTGGGAAATAGAATTACCAGGAATTCTATCACATACTGCAAAACGAAGCATGAAGAATTAAGTCAATTTTAATGCTTAAATCAGTTTTCTCTGGTTGTTTGTATCAAATGCCTCACAAACTAGTATTAACTGGCTCCAATATAGCTCAAGCACCGTTCAAACAAACTGACATGAAAACAAAAAGGCCCAGAAACCAGTAAGAGAAATTGACAGGGAAAAAGATAAAACAGAGATGAAAATCAGGGACAGGCAGACCAATGAGGGAGAAATTGAATTTCAGCACCAGTCTCAATGCAATATTAGGTATAAGAGTATGTTTGGCTCAGCTTTTTTTAAACTTATAGGTTACTTTTTATGTAAATTAGAAAATAAAAGATTAAAGGAAAAAACAAAATTTGTTCATCAGTTTCTATCTTTTTTAGACTAAAAGTTAATTTTAAACTCAAAGTTATTTAGTAATTTTTTTAAAAGGCTTAGTTTTATTAAAACCAATCATCTTATCCAATGAAAAAAGTACAGTGTAAATTAATTTAAATATTTATTTAACAGACTAATGTATTAGATGTATATGAAAAACCATGATAGAAAAGCACCACTATGTGGTGTTAGTATAGTATCAAATTAGAAGATGAGTCACACTTTGTTGAAAGGAAGGCTTTTTCTATGAACCAAATGCATCAAGGGGAATTAAATTGTCCAAAAACAAAAAGCAAAAGGAAAAGCAATAGCATATGGTGCTTAAAAGCAAAGAAAGCCACCTACAAGTGGTAGCAACAATCCTTGGAGCTGCACCAATTGTGAAGGACATTGAGCAAACATCATTTCAATGCATAATTATCATTGAGGACCAATGCTGACTTTTAGAACTAAATAAAGTTGTAATAAGTTTTTTTTTTTTTTTTTAATTATGGTCATTAGGGAAGTTGCTTAACTTGTGGCTTTTGCTTTCCGTGCATCATTAAGGAGGTTATGAGCATTCAAACTTGATTACCTTGTGTTTGGACGGGAAATTTATAGAGGATAATTCATTTTAATAAAGTATTTGAAATGTTTCATGACAAAATTAGCTGTTTGATTAAAGAATTTGGAAACTAATTGAAATTCTAGAAATTGATGAGTATTTTGATTACTAAAAATACGAGAATTTCAAATCAACCTAAAAAACAAGAATTTGAAATGCTGCATCTTTTTTCCTTTCTCAAATTTATTTCTTTCCTTTTTATATTTTCCCTTTGACCTAATCTCAATTGATATTTTCGACTCATCTCAACCCATTTAAACATGGATTGACTTGATCCAAATAAACATGACTTAACCTAGTCCAACCCAATCCATCTTGGCTTAGTTTGAACCAACCAAACACGTTCTAACCATACTTAAGCCATCCCAACCTGACTATTCTCAACTTGGTTCATCCTCTATTGATCTGACGCAAACCAACCCATCTTGACCCAATCCAACTCATCCTGACCTAACCTGTCTTAACCTAATTCAACCTTTTTTATCATGTTTGACCCAACTATCCAAAGTAGACCTGAATCACCCCAACTCAACCTATACCACCTTGACTCATCTTAGTCTAGTTTGATTTATCTTGATCAAACCTCTCCTGACCCAACACATCTTGTTCTAGCCTTATCTTAATTTTCCCTATTCAGTTATGACAAGACCTAACCTAACTCAACTCGACATAGTCTGATTCATCCTGATCTCGTCTAACTCATCTCAACACAGTCTAACACAACTTGACTCATCCTAACCTACCAGCCTAACCCGACTTGATCTAAACCAATACAATTTGTCTTTTCCAAACCCAACCTTACCAATCTAGTTTATCCCAATTTAGCTTGACTCGATCTAGCTTGTCATGATCTATCTTGATCCAACCTAATCGATATGGAGAAAGGTTAAATATTGTGAGTTAGACCACTAATCTAGTAATGATAATTTTTATATTTGAAAAATAATTGAAATACTTTATCCAAACAAGAAAATTAAAACTAAATAAATTTGAATTACCTTATCCAAACAAATAATTTAAAACAAAAGGAATTCAAATCCAATGTATTTGAATTTCCTAGAAATTACAAAATACCTTATCCAAATTATGTATTAGTAAATGACACATTCCCTAGCTGCATTCAGCTATTTGTACACATCTTCCCACACAATGAAGGATAGACCAGAATGTTTTTATCAAGCTGATTTTGTGAGAAGTATTTCTCCTATGTTCTTAGCTGAACCACATCCCGTACTTCTTAGGGGATTTCCACCACCCTTGTGGTGTCTTCCCAGACTTATCTTCTAGTACTGGAAGTGGCATCTTCCACACCTGACCTAAATCTGTACATCAGGTGGAGCTTGGATGGGTTGAATAAGGCCTCCTTTGAAAAGTGAGCAAGGGAGAAACGGAGACAAGTATGGGAGCAATCAGAGTGAAAGAATGACTAAGTGGTATCATATTATCAGGAAGGTCATCGTGAACTCAAATAATAGAGAAGAAAGGACGGGTCTCAAAGAAGCTGACATAAGAGGAATAGCAATCAACAAAGTAGTATTAGTAGCCTGTCAAGGAAAGGGAGAACAGACGTGTGACAATTTGGCAGCTAACTCATCTTTTCTTAAGTATGGTCATGAACAATGCATGTACATCCAAAGACCTGGAAAGGGAGAGAATAATTATCTTGTTTAGGGAAAAATATAGATTGAAGCACCTAATTTTGGAGGACTGAGGAAGGAATTCAATTGGATGTTTTGGATGAATTTTGATTTAGATTACAATTTACAACCAATGGATCCAGATAACCAATTAATCTATTTATGATCCGTTCTAAACATGCATAATTCTAAAAAAAAAAAAAGAAATATATAATCCAACTTGATAACTCAGCAGCCCTAAATAAATCTTCAAATAACACAAATTTGTTAAAGAAACCCTACAAAAACTAAATCATTTAATACATACCCAAATTCAACCCTAACAATAAATATATATGTCATTCTTTAAATCCATAAAATAAATAGGTTATATAATCACAAAAAGAAATTAACCACAACAACATGTATACAGGCAATACCTCTACAATTCTTCCTTTAGGAAGACCACCACCTAACGCACAGTCCAATGTCAAACAACCACTGGGAAAAGTTTCACTGCAACATTCAAGATGGTATACAAATAATGTCATGCCATCTGATTCACAGAAAATAGTGACAAGGTATATAAACTGATGTTTCTCAACAATTTAGGTGAGACAGAGAGCATAAAATGTGAAGAAAATACATACACCAAAGCTCCACCAGCACTGCCCAGTCTTGTAACACTACCCTTTCCAAAGGAGTTGTTTATATCATTCATTGCTGCTTCCAGTGCTTTTTGCTAGAATGGAAATTTCATTGTCAGATTGAATACAATTAAAATTTGAAACATACTTCACCACAACACAGAAAGGGAAGGCAAAGCAGGCAAAGAAGGAATGCATGGGATGTTAAAGAAGGGTATGTGACTAAATGAGGAAACAGAAGGAGGATGGTGTAAAACTGAGCCCCATGGAGACCAACTGAGACCATGGTATCTTGACTGATTTAAGAACCATATTATGAAAATGGTAAAATCGCAATGCACATTTCACAAGTCAAAACATTTTCTATGCAAGGATGTGAGAATTTTCAGAAGCATACCCCTCTCCCCTTCTGTTAACAGAAAAAGGAACACATGAACAACAGCATACAAAACCATACCTTTGTAAGCTGTCAGTATGGATTCCACCTTCAAATTCATTTACTGGCTTTGAATTTGGTGTCATATTAATGTTGCGAGAGAGAATGAAGAAGGAATTTAGATTTAATGTAAAAGGAACTTTTAACCCCAAAACTGAGTATAATCAAGTATATATAGCTAACTAATTTAACTGAGTACAGTCAAGTATATAGATCTCTAACTAGCCCGTAATAAATCAAGCATATAGAGATAGTTAGAAGTTTAGAAGAGACAACTGCACTACTATAGCGGCAGTTACACCTATACTACTGCTGTACAGAAATAGAAAAGAAAACTATAATTTTGCAGACTAACTATCTCCAACCTCTTGAGCTAGCTTTTGAGGGATGGTTCCCCTCTTAGCCTTATGGTTGTTACATTGGTGCTTTCATTGAGAGTCAGCCAACTCAAGAAGGGCTACCCACGGAGGGTTCTGACCACTGGAGGGTTCTGACCGGTAAGAAGGCCGAGTAAAGTGCCGGTGAGTGAAGTGTCGTGGAGTGCAGCCATCGAGGACGCTGGCTTTCGAACGTCCCACATTGGGGAGGTCTCCTTACCAGGGAGGCCTTATAAGGTAGGAGGTTCTCCAACCTCTTAAGCTAGCTTTTGAGGGATGGTTCCCCTCTTAGCCTTATGGTTGTTACATTGGTGCTTTCATTGAGAGTCAGCCAACTCGAGAAGGGCTACCCACGGAGGGTTCTGACCGCCGGAGGGTTCTGACCGGTAAGAAGGCCGAGTAAAGTGCCAATGAGTGAAGTGTCGTGGAGTGCAGTCATCGAGGACACTGGCTTTCGAACGTATTGTAACAAGTCCCACATTGGAGAGGTCTCCTTACCAGGGAGGCCTTATAAGGTAGGAGGTTCTCCAACCTCTTGAGAACCTCTTGAGCTAGCTTTTGAGGGATGGTTCCCCTTTTAGCCTTATGGTTGTTACATTGGTGTTTTCATTGAGAGTCAGCCAACTCGAGAAGGGCTACCCACGGAGGGTTCTGACCGCCGGAGGGTTCTGACCGCTGACCGGTAAGAAGGCTGAGTGAAGTGTCGTGGAGTGCAGTTATCGAGGACGCTGGCTTTCGAACGTACTGTAACAAGTCCCATTGGAGAGGCCTTATAAGGTAGGAGGCTCTCCAACCTCTTGAGCTAGCTTTTGAGGGATGATTCCCTCTTAGCCTTATGGTTGTTACATAAACACACCCATAGAATAAATCAAATACATATATCCAACAGTCACTGAAACAAGCACTCAGTAATGCGACTCAAAATATTACAATAAACAAATAAATAAATATATCTTTCAGCGTAAACAAACCATAAAAATCACAAAAATAGTCCTAAAATAAGTGATTTTTTTTTTCCATAAGGAAAATTCTTTATCACTCTAGACAAGTGAAAGTACCAACAAGTGCGCAAACGCAACAACTCACTTCAAAAGCAGAGTGAAGGCTTGATGAATGAAATGTAACCAAAACCCAGAAAAGTAAAAGGGTTCACAAACAATAAGAACAACAGAAAAATGGGGGCATACCCTGTCAATGAAGCGAGGGTCGAAGTCACCGGAGAGAGCACCATTGTTTCGACCTTCAAGTTCGCATTGAATATTGGCATGCCTGAAAGCCGTGACAGCACGAAACCTGAGAGGAATAGGGAACAATAGAGAAGAACAGAGTGGTGCTTTGAGAATAACACCGTGGGGTTTCAGAGGGAACATCAAATCCATAATTGCAGGAACAAAAATGAAGATACAAAACTTTTTTTTTTTTTTATGAAAGAGAAAACCTGCTCAGACAAAAATCTATATTTTGGTCGTTGGCTGTTAATTATAAAATAAACAAACATATAAACAGGGTAATAGAAAACAAATTTTGAAAGCTTAATTAAGTTGGTATTTTTTAATTATATTTAAATTTTTATTTTGATAACATATCATGGATTAAATAATATTTATATCATCAAGACGAAATAAAATATATTTTTATAAGTGATACAATATATAATTTTTTTTTCAATTTTTAGAGGAATAAAAAAAGTTATAAGGACCAAATTTTGTTATTACCAAATTTTGTTATTCCTAATATGATTAAAAACCTATCTACGGTTTTAATAATTTAAATATAAATTATAAATTAAAATATATAGAAAATGAGTATTAGACTAAAATTATAAATTGTCGAACATCTATAAACTAAAGTAACATAAAAAGGAACCACTTGGAACATAGTTGGCTCGTATCAATGTAAGGTCCAAGCTAAGTGGAGCCAATATGTTGTTTTGGTCCTTCGAACTTAATTTAAAATAAAAAATTAAAAATATATTTTAAAATTTAAATAATATCATTGAAATTAATTTTAATATATATATTAATAAAATAATATTATTTTATTTTATTAAATATAATTATTATTTTATAAACTTATATATAAAAAATATCTAACTTCAATTTAGATTTTTTTTTCTAATCTATTTTAAGTTTTTAACTTTTAGAAAATTTTGACCGTTCTATTTAATAAAGTTCGACTGGATTGTTTTGTCAAACATTATTATAGAAATTAATACATAGAGATATAAATTGTAAAAAATAACTGGAAAATATTATTAATATACTGTCTTGATTTTAATAAATTATTTTTTATTTTTTAATCATAGTTATTTACACAATATCATGTATTTATGAAAATTAGAGAAAGAAATAAAAAAAATAAACATATAGGTAATACATAAATAAATAAGAAAAATTAAAAATATATTACTATTATTAGTTTCAATAAGCAAATATTAAATACTAATTATTAATATATTTGTTTTTATTATAAGAAAATCAAAATTTATAACCAAATTAGTCACCGTCTTTCCTTTTATATATATAATAAAATCAAATTATTATTATTATTATTATTATTATTATTATTATTATTATTATTATTATTATTATTATTATTATTATTGTTGGTGTCTTTCACGTGTTTATATTTGTTTTGAAGTCATCAAAATAAAAAGAATAGTGATATGATTATAGACTTTTTTTTCATAAATAATATTATTTTAAAAAATATTTCCCAAAATAATATATTTGGAACATTATTTATCCAATTAGTATTCTTTATTGTTCACGGTATTTTCGCTCAAGCGAGAAATGTATCGCTTGAGCAAGGAGACCTGAAACTAACGGGTATTGTGGGGTTTAATTTCGCTCAAACGATGTAATTCTTGTTCGAGTGAGAAATCATTCACTTGAGCGAAGAGACTCGAAACTAATGGGTAATCCTGGGTGTTTTTTCGCTCAAGCGATGGATAATTTCGCTCGAGCAGAAGTAATTAAAATATGTAGTGATCCAAGTTGCATCTAACTGCGCTGAACCTTTAGCATGTGGTCAATTCTCACTCAAGCGATGGGTAATTTCGCTCGAGCGAGAAGTAATTGGTTAACTGTGTTGGACCTTTAGCCTGTAGTCAATTCTCACTCAAGGGAGAAATTCATTGCTTGAGCAAGGTAATTTATAATCGATTATAATTTAAACTAATCAATCATAATTTTTAAATAATCGAATATTTAAAATTATGATTGATTATTTCTCTTTCGCTCAAACCAAGTATTCCTATTATGATTTGTTGTCAATATAGTTATCTTCACTGTAAGAACAGATGAACCCATGAGTTACTACATTATAGGTAATCCCCACTCTGCAAAGAAGAAATTTTATTAATTGAAAAACTCCTAAGTTTTATACATTGGGGCATTTCTTAACTAACACAATCTAACGATGCGAAGTAGATGCACATGCAACATTGGGGCATGTTCTTATGTTATGATCAGGGGTATAACAATATGAACATTTTTTAATTCTACTTTAATTTTCCGTAATATCCATCTCAGTTCTTATACGGCTTGATTTTGGTTGACCCTTTAAAGTTCTTTTCATTTATGGATTTTCACATAAAGTAGGTCCTCTGTATGTTGGCCAATATTCTTCATTTCACAACAACCCAAGTTGTGTTTCGTATATATTTGAAACTTGTTGTAAGGTATACACTGGATGAATGTAGTTGTTGAAGTCATGGTGTGCATGCTTGCATGCAGTAAGAACATGTGAACAAGGCATGTGAAATTTTTGGAATTTTTCACAGTCACACCACAACTCATCAAGGCGAACTACAAACTTCCCTGCTGGTCAAACTTCACGTGGATTTTGTGTTTCTTCTACTACAAATTTTGTGGTAGATCTGTCAAAATTTATGGTCCTATGCGTGTTTGTCTGTGTTTGTGCTTCCTCTAAATTTGTGACCAAAATATCAGAGTATACATGACCAGCATTGATCATGGCATCTATCTGCCTCACCTCCCAAGAAGATCCGCACTGGTCATGTGGCCCCAACGCCGTCCATTGTCCCATGCAAGTGCTCATTTTTCTCTAGGTATCTCATTCAACCAATTAGCTACTTTTATGTCACATTGTCTCAAGATGTTGTAATAATAGTAGAATCGTGGTTCAATCATCCCATATGCTATAACAATATTAAAAAAACATAGTTAATATAAATATTTATTAGCAACAGTTAAATAATGAATAAATTGTAACAAATTTGAAGCAAAGAAATTACACATATTTACAACATCTTTCCTTAGTGCGGTGTTTTTGAAATGTCGCATAAAATTCTGTGCAATGTGTCTAATGCAGTAGACATGCACTGAATTATTTTTTGTCCATCCACTTTCATTTTTCATGTATGCACTTCTAATGGATTCATGTTGGTCTGATATGAGGCATAATCTTTGCTGGGGTGTGATATATCTTTAGAGGTTTTTTAAGAAAAAAAACTAGGCATCACTTGTTTACATTCAACCACTGCAAACGCAATGAGGATGATGTTGTTGCGGTCATCTTGTGCTACTGCAACCAACAAAGTACCTCTATATTTTTTGTACAAAAAAGTTTCATCCACTTGAACAATGGGCTTGTAGTGAACAAATCCATTTATGCATGGCCTAAACGTCCAAAATACACGCTTAAAAATATTTCAATTTTGTTCAAGGATCTCACCTTGGTAAGCTGGTTGTGACTGCAGTTTGTAGATGAATCCGAGAACAAATTGTTGCATGGCTTTAGGCATGGCAACAGGGCGGAGCGGGGGCAGGTTTTGCCTCCCCAATCCCCGCCTCCGACTTTTTTAATCATCCTTGTCCCCGATTCCCGCCGGGGTTAGAAATTAAGTCTCAATCCTCGTCCCCGCTGGGTTTCGGGTTCCCCGCCCCTGCCCTCGTCCCCGATTTATATTATTTTTAAAAAGATAATTACATTTATAATAAATTAATTTTACTATGTATTTTTTATATATAAATAAATATTTATAATTTTATAATTTATAATTATTATTAATTAAATATATATTTTTTAATTTATTATATTTATATTAAAATATGTATGTAAAATAAAAATTTAATTATTCATATATATAGAATATTTATAACATTATTATTATTATAACACTCGTATTCAAATATTTGAATACTTATAACATTATTATTATTATTATAATATTGTATTCAAACATTTGATTACATATATAAGTTAATTTGTTTTTAAGTTGTCATTTAAAAATATGAAATATATAGTTTATAAGAAAATATTTAATAAGTTAATTCTTATTTAATTAGTTCAAAGTAATAAAAGTTTAAATTATCAATTCCTTTTAATATTTTAAAATATAATTATTTTATTAAGATAAAATTTGATATATGATAAATAAGAATAATAAGATAAAAAAAGTATAACATAATAAAACCTAGTAAATATAAATTATAAATGAAATAATATTAGTTATTACTAAGATTTATGTAAAATATTTAGAAAAAAGGTAAAGAAAAAAAATTAATTTTGTGTTCATCAAATTGGTTGAAAAGATTTAAAAAAAAATAAATTGATGGGAGAGAGATTTTAAGAAAATATGAAAAAACAAAAAGATAAAAGAAAATAATGTAATAAATTAATTGATATAAAAGATTAAAAAAGATAAAAAAAATTAAAAAGTGGATAAAATAAAAATGGTGAAATATAAAAAAATGACTTTATACGTAATAGAAATAAGAAAGAAAATACTTTTAAAATATTAATATTTTAAAATTTAAATTTAAATATAAAGTTGGGGTGAGGATGGGACGGGGTCGGGGTGGGGATTGCATTACCCATCCCCGCCCCCGACTTTTTAAAGCGGGGAAAACCCGAACCCCCCGGTCAACTCAGGTTTTCTCCGTTAAACTCGGGGCAGAGATGGATCGGTCTCTACGGATATGGGTTTAATTGTCATCCCTACATGGCTTGTAACAAACAAGACAACTTCTTATACAAATCCTCCCAATTGCTGTAGATGGTCTCCACTACCTTTTGTTTGGTCAATCAGGCCTTCCTGTACGTTATAGTGTAATCCGTTGTTAATTGGATGTGGGCTATGATTGTGGAGATTGGTGTTGATGAATCAGCATCAATTATTTGACCAATTGTTTGGGAAATCATTTTATATCCCAACTTGTTGTGGTCCTGGCTGATTAATGGCGAAGCGCATGTATGGTGTCCTTCAAGCTTCATAATCTCTCAATATTGCTCTCTTGTGCGCAATATTACTCGACATCTCCAATTGCATTGGTTACCAACACATTTAACAACATATCTACTTTGATATGAAATTTTCACCTTGTATATGCAGTGATTGACAATGTGAAAGCGGTGGATGGCATCTTGAACTTATTCTTTTGTTATGAAACATTGTCTAAGAAACAGAGTTCCTGTCGGAGAAACAAAAGACTTTCTGTCCAACGCATGACCATACTCTGAGTCTTGTTTTTTAATGTGACTTTCAAAGTTAAGAAAATGTTGTGGTGGGTTGTATGGTTCCATGAAGTTTGGTGCATGTGTAGGGATATGTGGTTGTTCGTCCTCTGAATCATCTTGGTATTGGCTGAGAATTTCATCTTCATCCTCACTAAAAGGATCAACGAATTTAATTGGGAGGGCAACAATTTCGTTCTCTTATGTGGGTAGTTCTTCGTTAATGTTGGTGGAAGACCCAGTTAGAAGTTGGGTAAAAGGGATGTAGTCATTATGTGTAGATATTTCTGGGTCAGTGTTTGGGAAAGTTTGGTAGGGTGAGGGTGAGATTTCAGGTGAGTGTGTGTCTGGGTATGAAGAAGAAAAAGTTTTAAATATAACAAAAATTTCAATACCACATAAACTTGAGTTTGAATCATGAACATCGAACATGACCTCCACGTCGTCATCATCTTTCAACTCAACTGCAATGAAGTTGTTGATCCCAACTCCAAGTCTAGTTGGGCAGCAAAAATGGATGGTTGCTATATTTTTGTGGGGTTTTTTCTCCAATTTCCTATGGATCAACTTCTCCAACATTTATAGAGAAATTCCTCTCTTTAAAAGAACAAGTTTTGCAGTCCCAGTATTGAAGGTAACTCCTTCCATGGGACATGGGTTCATGGAACCATCATAGTGGACAATAGTAGACACTACACCCATTTTAGGAGTGTGGAACAAAAAGAAGACTAAAGGTAAGAAGAAGAAAGAATGCAAAGAACTTCAGAGATTTAGGAGTGTGCAATGTGAGAACTTCAAAGAATGAAAGTGGTTTATTTATAATGAAGTCCAATGGTTTGAATCCAAGGCTCCCTCACATGGCTTCTGACGCACACAAAATCCAAGCAAAGTGGGTGGGCCAACATCTCTTTAAATGTGTTTGGATTCTTCTGCTTTTGTCTAACCCAATGCAGGGAATCCAAGATTAGAATCCTGACTTGGGTGGGTGACTCAACATTAGATTCCTGACTTGTGTGCATCAGAAAGGCATAAGAATCCTGACTTGGGTGGGTGACTTAACATTGGATTTCTGACTTGTGTGCGTTAGAAATTATATTGGGAGGTGCTATTTTGGGAAATATTTTAAAAAAATTATTAATTATGTAAAAAAGTCACAAAATAATCAATCATAATTTAAAATAATCGATTGTTTTAAAATTATAATTGATTAGTTTAGTTTATAATCGATTATAAATAGTTACAGGTTTTCTCGCTCAAGCGATGAATTTCTCGCTTGAGCGAAAGTTGACCACAAGCTAAAGCTCCAACGCAGTTAGCCACTTAATGCAATTTGGGTCACCACATATTTCAATCACTTCTCGCTCGAGCGAAATTACTCATTACTTGAGCGAAAAAACACTCGAGATTACCCATTAGTTTTAGGTCTCCTCGCTCAAGCAAAGGGTTTCTCGCTGAGCGAGAGAGAAATAATGGATCATAATTTAAAATATTCGATTATTTTAAAATTATGATCGATTTGTTTAAATTATAATCGATTATAAATTACCTCGCTCAAATGATGAATTTCTTGCTTTAGCGAGAATTGACCACGGACTAAAGATCCAATGCAGTTAGCCAATCACTTCTCGCTCGAGCGAAATTATCCATTGCTTGAGCGAGAATTGACCCAAGATTACCCATCAGTTTCAGATCTCCTCACTCAAACGATGGATTTCTCGCTTGAGCGAGAGAAAATTAATCGATCATAATTTTATATATTCGATTATTTTAAAATTATAATCGATTAGTTTAAATTATAATCGATTATAAATTTCCTCGCTCAAGCGATGAATTTCTCGCTTAAGTGAAAATTTACCACAGGTTAATGGTCCACCGCAATTAGCCAATCAGTTCTTGCTCGAGCGAAATTACCCATCTCTTGAGCGAGAATTGACCACGAACTAAAGATCCAACACAGTTAGCCACATAATGTAAATTGGGTCACCACATATTTCAATCACTTCTCACTTGAGCGAAATTACCCGTCGCTTGAGCGAAAAAACACCCGAGATTACCCATTAGTTTTAAGCCTCCTCGCTCAAGCGAAGGATTTCTCGCTTGAGCGAGAATTACATCGCTTAAGCGAAATTAAACCTCACAATACCTGTTAGTTTTAGGTCTCTTCGCTCAAATATGTTATTTTAGGAAATATTTTTTAAAATAGTATTATTTATGAAAAAAAGTCTACGATTTTATATATATATATATATATATATATATATATATATATATATATAATTAAAATATTGTGAGAGTAAGATAACATTAAACAATTATAAAAAATAAAATAAATTGTATTTCTTTATATAATTCTAAAAAATTATATCTCCTTAACATAATACTGTCTATTTTGTAAAGATAAGGATAAAATTATAAAAATTTAAAAAATTATATCTCCTTAACATAATACTGTGTATTTTTATTATAATTAATAAAAATACAAACATAGTTCTACACGTCGTATCTGTATTTTTATAATAATATAAAATAAACCACACAATTCAAAAAATAGTTATCATAACTGTAATATGTTTTCATATTACAAAATAAATGTTATTTTCAATTTTCTTCGGAGTACTAAAACTATAAAAATAATTATCATAAATTTGAAATAAAATAATAAAAAAAATGTGTACACGAAAGGACTTACAATAATGCATGTTTTTTTTATTAATTTTTAAGAATAAATATTTAATTTAAAGCTTAAATTTTTTAACTGAATAATTATTATAATAGATTAAAATTGTAAATTTTATAAAATATAAAGACCAAAATTATAAATAAGTTTATTATTATTATTAATAAATGAAAATAGATAAACATATTAAAAACTGAGAAAAAAATAATATAAAAATAAAATAATCTCATAATAATTAGATGATTAATATTTAAATTTATTAATTTATTTTAATCTTTTTTATTTAATCCGTGAATTCAATATGTCAAGAGGATAAGATGAACTGATATTTTGGTTTATTTTAAAAAATATCTATATGTTAAAATAAACATAAAAAATATTATAATTAAAAATTTTAAATATTTTATATTATTAAAAAATATATAAATATATTATAATTTAAATTATAAAAATTAATTAATTATATTTAAATTATTATTTATATTTAATTATTTTCACATATAAATATAAACAAAAATTTCATTTAATAAAATGTTAAAAATATTTTATATAATTAAAGATATATTTATAAAAATATATAAAAAATTATTAAAATACTAACTTGATCGATTTTTTATAGAACAAATTAAAATTTATAATCTATGTTAATTACGATTCAACAACTTTTCTAATATATTTTTATTGATTTTGGCAAGTGGATAAATGATAGATACGGTGAGAATGAAAAGATAAATAAAGTAAAAAGTAATAAACAGATACTCATGACATAAGTAGGAGCTTTATTCTATGAATCAAATACAGAATAAGGAATACAAGTATATTATTTGATTTAATATATAGGTCATGGTCTCTTATTTGCTCTCTATTTACCATGAAAGGAACTAGTTAGGAACAACATCAAAACAATGACATGAACACGATCTTCAATCTTGGATCTTCAAATGAATCAATCATCTTTTTTCTGAAACACAACTGGGAGTGGAGTAGCAGCATCCAAGGCAAACAAAATCTTTCCATTCTCCCGCAGAATGCCAGCGCTGCTACAGACGAATCCACAGGTGGAGCAAAGTTCCGTAGGACACCACTGAAAGTTATAGATTCCTGCACTTTCTGTTTCCACAATTCTGAAATAGTTACCATACAATCCTGCGCTATCATCTTGCCCAGTGATAATGGGTCTCCTTCCACTCCTCGTTTCATTCTCACCCACCCTCCACTCCGTCGATTGCACACACGTCGATGAAACTTCCTTGAACTCCACTTTCAAGTCCCTGTTCACCCCAATATCCTCATCTTGAATATTGACCGCAAAATGAGTGAATTTCACTGGATAACCGAGTGGCAAGTCTGTGTTTTCAAGACCAACGTACAAAGGACACGTCTCGTTTCTGTTGATCAAGGTGAAACGCCCTCCGTTGTCTGTTATGGCTGGTTTGATGTAATATTCTTCATCATTGTCAACTTGTTCGCCATTTGTGTCGATGACGTACTGGGCTAGTGATGGTGTGGCCGTGGAAAGCCACACCAAAAGGATGAGGGAAGCAAGGAACTTCATCCACATGGTTAATGGTGTAATGGAAGGTGAAAGGGTTTGTGGATTTTGCAGGTAACAATGTGTGGTTTCTTAGGTTGTAAGAGAAAGCTATTTATAGGAAGCACTTACGTAGATTATAATGTATGTTTAAATTTTGAAACTCTCTATTCTATGGATTATTTATCTTGAAAATGATGAGAACATTGAAAGTTAAGATGAACTTTAGGTTAAACTCTCTTATTGCCATTAACCCCGAAGAGCAGGATGATGAATAAAAGTCCAACATTAGTTATCCAATTAAACATAACTTGTACCTTAAGAAGGTGATAGTAGTATGAAGACAAATTTTGCCTCCAGGATGAGTTACCTACTTTGAAGGATAAAGCTTTGGTTTGAATATATCAATTTTGTATAACTTTTTCCTCCACTCATACCAACACCATCAAAATTTGAATTTTCGTTATTAGACTAGGGTTCCATTTAGACTGTCAGATTCAGACGAATAATCAGGAAAAAAAAAACTGCTATTTATTACGAATAGCTTGTTTCGTCAAAGACGGCATCATTGTGTTTTGTGTCAGAATTCTTCTTATATTTTTTTCAAGTTTATCTAAAGAAAAATGTATATAGACAACTGTTTTTTTTTTCATACAATTATCTTTATTTTGATAATACAATAATAATAACTTACATTTTTATATTTATAATCATATTATTAAATAAAGAAATATATATATATATATATATAAAGAAATTTATTGTTTATATATTATTATTATTATAATTAAATTTTACATAATTGGGGGACACAATTTATATATATTCGCTGATATAAAATATATTTTTGTAAGTTACCCAATATTTATTGGATCAGAAAATATTCGACATAAAAAAAAGTAATATTATGTTTGTAAATAAGAGTATCATTATCTTGGATCTTATTTTAATTATTTGAGGGTTTTTTTTACATAAGGATTTTTGAGTGACGATGATGACAACGATCAAATTAGCTCCTCTCAAGATACAATAAGATGAAAAGAAAATAGAAAATATTTGGAAAATGATAAATTTTGACTCCAATATCGGATTCAAAAGTACAATATATGAAAATTTGTTCAAAATATACTTCTAAGTACATGTAATAGACAAAATTAGTGAAAAAGATAAAAATATTATATTATTATAATATTTATACTCTTGTATTTAAATTTTAAAAATAATATTATGTTTTGTCTTTCGATTCAGTGTCATTTGGATAAGAGTCATAATTTGTGCGGGTATAACTGATTCTTGGACGAGGGTAATTACTTTCAACATTTGTTAAGTTCATTTACCTTTATACATATTGTCAAATTAATGTTTCAGGTATTTTAATATTCATCTATCTCCACTATCAGAACATGATATTACACAAATTAGAGAGCAATGAATAAAGTTTTTCGTTTAACATTTCTAGTACTTAGTTTGGAGGTTATTGTTTGTATTGTATTATATAGTTTAACATTTATATAATTTAATTTGTGTACTAGTTTTTAAGTATTTTAATCTTTGTAATAATTTAGCTTTGTAAAATAACATACGGAAAAGTTTCATTTTGTATTAGTGACTCTTTTCTTTTAATCTATTGTCTATTAAGGATAAAACTATAACACAATAGAGTTAAAAAAAATATCTATGATAAACCCTAATGACATCTTCTCTTCTTAACCCACTTAACTATTTTTTTAAAAGACAAAATTATGGCAGATTAAAATTTTAAAACAAATAATAATTTGGATGTAATAATAATTCGTAACGATATTATCATGACAAATATTACCATGATAAAGGAGTTTATTTGGAAGAGAATTTATATATATATATATATATATATATATATATTAAAGTTTTAAATATTTCTAAAATATTATTATTTTGTCAACATTATCAAAATTTATAAAAAAGCTTAATAAATATAAATTTTAAAAATTGAAGTTAAATAATGATAATTAGTCTAATATCCACACAAAAATAGTTGGTGCTCAAGAAAAATAATACATAAACCAATTTTTTTCTTTTATTTAGGTTATTAAATATCTTCTAAAAACATTTGCATATATGTTAAGAATAAAATGTGTAATGTTAGGTGTAGGATATTTTTTTTTGGAGTGATGATATTTTGACACTAAAAAGGGACAAAATCATTCCTTTAATAACTATTTTTACATTTTTATATTATTATTTTTCTATTTTACTTTATTCTTTCTCCATCAATCAACAAAAAATAATATTTTAAAGTTGTCGATGGGATGTTTGTAAAAATGGGTTGTCAAACAATCTTTTTCCATTTTAAGTAATGGTACAACTAAACTATAATTGAAAAAAATCCAATATGTGGTTGATATATCGCAAACAAATATAACCATCACAAACAAATTAAACAAGAGGTTAATTATGATAACCTTGAGACACAAGATATCATTACACACTTTGAATCAAATTTATAAGGGTGTATTGGGTAAAGTTGAGTACAATAAAAGATATTAAAAACAAGACATTTTTAACACTTAAAGATGATGATTTACCCTCTAATATTTCATACAACTCTCGTCATGATCCCACCTTAAGAAATTTTGAGTTACATCTAGTCAGTCATATAAGTATTACAAAGTGGTAAGAAGACAAAGTAATTTTAAGTCCATCTTATCATAAAGCTACTAATTACATCCCTTACTAAGTGAGCGTTAAAGTATTTTTTATGGTTACCTTTCACTTTTGGTTTCCCCACTCTTAATCTCAAAAGCCGAGTATCGAAAATCAGAGTAAAAAACTACAAGACAGACGCTCAAGAAGATCATTGTTCACATAGAAGACATGTTTGTGTTCGGTGATGTAAGAACTTATACTTCTTTAATATTAATGATATCTCTATATCTAATATTTTGTATAAACAATTATGAAATAAATATAAGAGATACAAATATTAAGGTTTTTCATTATCACGAATCCCTTTCTATAAATATATATAGATTGAAACTCTTACTCCTTTCATATTTATATAACATCAAATCATGCATTGTGCCTAGTTATCATATTGTCAAATAAAATGGAATATATCAAATATTAGTCGGTTTAAATAAAGAAAAAAAAAATCCTTCATTTATGATTTCCAAGTGTTCAACTATGGACCTTCTCCAATTTCTTGTGGTGAACACATTACTTTAAATGTCCAATATGATGTCCTTTTCCAAATATTCATTAGAGAACATTCCACTGAAACCCAAATCTAGAGACAATTTATACATCTAAAAATAGTGATTTTCCTTGTTGTCATATATATCTAGTGAATGATATTACCTCTACATTTAATTGCTTCCCAATTTTACCAATGCTTATAGTCTTAGGAGATTCTTTTTGAAAATTTTGTATATAAACACTAGCATTTATGAAACAAAAAGATGACAATAATCTTATACAAATTCTTCTTTGAAACCAAGCTTTATTAAAAAATGTTTTGCTATCTCTTTGAGTGATCCACTAGATGTTGGAGTTTAATTTTCATATTTAAACCTATTTAAGACATTATGTTTTGTAAAGCTTTCTTTTATTTATCTATTTAAGACATTATTGTTTAACGAATACTTGAAAAATTGATTGAGGGAGCAAGCAAAAATACAAAGAACAACCATTTGCATTAATTTATTTTGAAACAATCCTATATTTATTGATGTTTTCAATTGAGAACCATAAAAAGAAGTCACACACTAGTGTTCTTATTATTTGTTACAACATCCTTCCATCATGTTGTAGAACATGATTCCATTTGCAAGAAAATGATCACAATCAAACTAATCAATAGGTTGATTAGGAGAAATCCTAATAACTTTGAAACAAGGGTGTATTGAGTAAAGTTAAATGTACTCAAAAAATATTAAAATCAATAGATTACCAAGTCTTAAATGTGTTGGACTCTAAAATTTGAAAACACATCAACCCATGTATTAACTAAGAATCACCATCTGATATTACATGATACTTCTTTACTCCCAACATATAATAATTATATCTCTCATATTGCTGAGATTATTATTATTATTATTATTATTATTATTATTATTATTATTATTATTATATCCAATATTTTACATAAATAATTATGAAACAAATATAATAAATTGTTTAATATTTCTAAATACATAAATATTGTGATTTTTCAGAACCCGTTTATTCGTAAGGCCTTGACTTTTCTTAATCTATTAGGAGGGTTGGTCTCAATTATTATTGACTTTATTTCGTTTCAAAAGAGCAAAAGTTGGACCAAACACCTTTTAGACAAAAGCTCTTAAAATAAAATACTTTAGAAAGAATAATAATAATAAACTTTCGAAAAAGTTAATAACGAGCTTGAGTACATTATGCATTCCATTCAAATCTTAGCGCATATTTTATGCTACTCTTTATTATTTTAACGCCTTCTATTTTATTGTTTTTTTGGAAGATTTTTTGATGCTGTATTTCTTTATATTTTTTTATAGATGTCAACAATTTATTTAACCCTACAAAATAAATGGCACAGTGAGAGTGAAAAGATAGATAAAATGAAAACAAAGGTAAGAATGAAAAGAAACAAAAAATAAATATATATAAAATAACTTAAAACATCCAAAGTAGTGAAATGAATAAGGTAACATAACAATTAGGAGCTTTTTATTCTACAAATCAAGAACAGAATGCTGAAGACATGTATCTTTTATTCATCTCATATATAAAAATGGATGATAGCTCCCACACATAAATAGAACCTATTAATCTTCAAACTTTTGGCTTCAAATTAATCATCTTTTTTCTGGAACTCAACTGGGAGCGCAGAACCATCCAAAACAAACAAAATCTTGCCATTTTCACGCAGAATTCCACCAGTCCCACAAATGAATCTGCAAGTGGGGCACACTTCAGTAGGGCACCACCTGATGTTATAGATTCTCGCGTTTTGTGTTTCATCAATTCTGAAATAGTTTCCTGCACTTCGTGTTCCATCATCTCGACCAGTGATAATAACCCTCCTTCCAACACTCGTATCATTCTCACCCAACTTCCATTCTGTGGATTGCACACACGTTGAAGAAACTTCAACGAATTCCACTTTCAAGTCCCTATTCAACCTCACTTCATCGTCATCGTGGTCGTTGGCAAAAGGGGTGAATCTCACAGGGTATCCCTGTGGCAAGTCGGTGTTTTCAAGACCAACGTACAAAGGGCATGACTGGTTCCTGTTGATCAAGGTGAAACGTCCTCCGTTGTCTGTAATGGCTGGCCTGATGAAGTATTCCTCGTCGGATTCAAGAGGGTCGCCATTTGTGTCGAGCACATAGTCGTTGTTGGATTGGGATAGTGTTGATGTGGCCGTGAAAAGCCACACCGCAAGAGTGAGCAAAGTGAACAACTTCATCGACATGGTTAAACTTCAGTCTCAGAATATTAAGGTTTGTGTGTTTAGGAATGGTGTGTGTGGTTTTAAGGTTGCAAGGAGAAGGTATTTATAGGATATGGTGTTGTTGGAGGCATTGCCGTACGTGGTGATGAATAAAAGTCAAACATGATTTATCCAATTAGACATTGCTTGTACCTTAAGCATGTGATACTGATGCGCACCAACACCATGAATGTTTGCATCCATGAGTTACCTTACCAACCTTCAAAAAGATATAATTTTTTTTGTTTGAAAAAATAACTTGGAATAATACACATGCCCTATATATTACAAAGTCATAGTTAACATAATTTAATATGCGAAGAAAATGCCCTATTATCAGTTATTGTTTTAATTTTGACAGTTAATAAGTAGATTCATGCAAAGAAAAATATATCAATGTTCGGCAATAATATTTATAATTTACTTTGTACCTTTTCCTCACTATTGATGGACTTTGGTATGTAACCTACTAGAAGAATATGACCCTTTCATTTAATAGTGTTACAATTTTAATTATTTTCTTTTATGAGATAGTTTTATAGGGTAGGTTTTAAAAACGCAATGGATGTATTCTGAAGGGATTGACAGTACCTATCGTCATCACCCCTCTCAAATAAAACAAATAATAACAAAGACTAGGTCAAGTTTAAGTTTTTGAGCTTATTTTAAATGTGACCTAGTATTTATTTTGAACAACAAACTTGATGATGTTATAACGTTGAAAAAGGGGATTTTATATTTTTCATAGCTTAAAAGGACATTGTTTTCAAGCATACAGCCCAAAAACTAATGCTAGTTCAAACATTTAAGTTTAATGCGGAAACCCAAATCAACTTGAAAACATGCATTGAAATTTTCTGAGCGAGTGGTATCTAACTTGAAACGAAATATTGAATAATCTTACTCTTTATCATTTTCCCAAAGATAGACTTCAGAAATTTCCATAGGTGTGCTTGAAGGCACTACAAGGAGATTGTTGTTTACATCAGACCAAACAATTGTGACATTTAAAAAAACAAAAAAGATTCTTAGTCTTTACATGAACAATATATTTTTACAGATTGTTTCCTTTAGGTATTGTTAGAAGCATATCCAACATTGATTTTAGTCACAAAAGATATACTACTTATTAGGGTAATTGTAAAAAAAAATCCTTTTCTCCTTTGTCTCTAACATGACAGTATCCTGCATTTCTTGACAGCTAAACAAGGCACTCTTACAGTGAAGAGAATTCACATAGCAGCCATGTTATGTGAACAGAGAAAATATAAGGAATAAATGAATAAGTTATTTCATAGACCTAGGTGACGAAAAAAACTGCAACTCAAACCTTAAATTAGAGCTTTTTGAAAAAAGATACTAACACCGGAATGTAATTTAATATTATGGGAGAAAGACCAGGGCATTATGATAAATTGTAATTTAGTTAGGAGGATTTGTTCATCCCATTAAAACAATGTATATATATATATATATAGATAGATAGATAGATAGATAGGGAGAGAGAGAGAGAGAAACATCTTGGTGGAGACAACAGACAAGAAAACTGTTCATATATGTGTACTCGAGTTTGTAACAATTGAACAGTTATTGTTAATATAATTTAACACGATATCACATACTGTGGTCAACAAACTTCATCTGAAGATATAGAACACTTACAGAAAACACAAAAGCTATCAACTATGGAAAGTAAAATTACAAACAAATTCAAAATGATCACAAAATAACTAACTGAGTTTGTCTAAGATTGGTTAATTAGCTAACATAAGTTTAGAAAAGAAAAAAAAATACAGACTTTTGCTATTTTTCATTTTCAACAGGTACGATTTTGTACTTCCCAGATTGCTGTTGCTGCGTCAAAACAAGAAAACTTTAGTTAAACTTGTTTACAAAATACCATTTTGTCACAAACCAAAAACTAATCATAATTTGTCAATTCTCTAGATACACTCTGCAAATTTTAACACACTTCATAACTTAAGCAATATTACACTATACTCTAACTTCTTTCTTCTTAAGAAAGAATAAGAAATATATATAAACTGTAACAATAGTTCTGTATTTCCAAGTTAATTAATTTACAAAATTGGTATTAAAGTAATTTCAGTACTATCTCAAGCATCGCAAACATACGAATTACTATTTCTGAGAGTAATTGAAATAAAACCAACTCTGAAAAAAAAAATGTTATCAAATATAAGTTTTTATCACTTAAGTTCTCAAAATATAAATATTTAATTAAAAAAATTGATTTGTTTTCACCTTAATTTTACCTTATGAAATCCTTAGATGATATACTTATCGTCATAGTCTACAAATTTATCAAATAAGCACTCATTTTTTAAAAAAAAAAAATGAAACACAAACAGAGCAGTCCTTATTGTTTAAAACATAAAATGGTGATGAGCGATTAAACTTAAAACTCAAAACCACAGTAAATGTATTGTGTAAGAATTTGTAACTTTAGAATTAAAAAACAACAATTTTTTAAGACATTCAAAATCTAAACAAGGTTAAATTTGATTTCCAATTACTAAAGTGACAATTGAAGGTGGAAAAAAGAACGAATAAAAAATGAAATTACCTTTTCCCATACTTGGGTGTGGGTTTTGCAGAATCCAGCAACAATGGTGCCCCCTTTCTTCCCTTCCTTGTACTCAATCCAAAGCTCCTCCTTCAGCGCACACGTCACATGGAACGCCAATCCACACTTTGGCTCAGAACACACCAGAGCACACCCGTCACAACACTCGCAAAGGTAGCACCTTTGCGACCACCTCTTCTTCGGAACCATGGAGCAGTCGATTCCCTCCCTTCCTTCGGGGTCCAGAAAGAACACCTCCGGCACGAACAGCGCGCACACCACGTGCGCCCACGCGCCGTCTGCGGTACGCTTCAGCGCGCCGTAACTCGCGGGGCACAACGAGCAGCGCGTGATGCTTTTGTTATTGTCGTTGGATTCTTCGAAACGACACCGTTCGCAGAACCAGTCTCCGTCGGGGATGGCTTTGGATAAAGGGTGGCCGTAGCAGGAGGCATGCACCGTGAGGTCGCACCCGTCGCAGAACACGATTGGGTCCGCAGGGTCCCCGTCCGTGCTCTGGCACACACAGCATAAAACCCCGTCGTCGTCATCGGATTCTCCGAGGCTGGGGTTGTATTCGACGTTCAGGTCGAAGGGAGGATCGGCGTCGGTTGATGGTGAGGTTTCGAAAGGGGGAACGGTGTCGTTTGGGGAGGGGGGACTTTGGGGTTGTGGAGCCCACACTCTTTTCTTGGCGGGGAGGGAAAAATTATGAATGGTTCGAGACTCCTTGCGTTTTTTGGCGGGTAAAGGTGAAGAGTGATGACAATGATTTAGGTGTTGTTGTTGTTGTTGTTGAATGAGTCTGAGTCTCTTGAGGGGAGGAAGGTCGTTGAGGAAGGTGGTGGAGGAGTGCATTTTGGGGTTCTTGGGTTGAGAGATTAGGAAGGAAGAAAAGGAAGATTAAGATTTGGAAGAGAGAGTGAAAATGTTGAGATGGGAAATAAAAGTGAGGTTTGGGTTTTGAATTGCGAGTGGGAGGGGGAAGGAGAGCGGGGTGAGTGAAAAGGAGAAGGTGGGAGAAAAAAATTGGAACTAAATTTTCGAGGGGACGGGAATTCAAATGAGGCGGGAGATTGAAACGGGGTCGTTTAGAGTTTCACTGATGAAATAACGAACCGCGCTGTGTTCAGTTATTAGGCGGCAATATTTGTCAGCGTTAATTTTACTGACAAAGCGGCAATGTGGCTTCCAAAATTTTATCAATTTTATGGAGGGAGTCTAATTTCACTCGAGAGGTACTAGATAATAATAATAATAACATCTGTTTATTAGCAAATGTTGACATATTAAATATTATTTCACATTAGAATAATTTTTTGTTTTACATATCAAAAAACAAATAAATTTCAATTAATTTATCTAAACAAAATATTTTAAAAAAATAAATAATTTAAAATAAAAATAATTTAAATTGAATGTATATTAATTATAATATTTCCTACCCAAAACACATGCTTAAAGAAACTTTGCCATTTTTTTTTCCTCTTTATGATTTCTTAATTAAGTACAACACAACATATATGGTATAGGAACCTGAGAGGCTCCACCCTTGTACAGAATAGAAGGTTAACCAAATGAAGCACTGATATACAACTGTTAATTCGACTAGAAAACCTACGTTCTTTCTTTATCTTCGAATTGGAGATCAGCATCAACCTTCTATGTGTATGTTTTTCTCTTATAAAACTTTATTCTCGTTCCATCACTTGCATTGTACAAGTTAGAAGTCTTTTGGAATGGGAGTGAAGGGTGTGCCAAATTGGGATTTTTTCTTCTCAGACGCACTCATTCATTGAACCGTCGAATGAGGTTCTGATGAGTCATATTTCATAAGCAGACCGATGTAATATATTCAAGATATTAACCGTCTGAATTTCACGCAAAAGTGATGAATGCGTGGAAGAGTAACTGCACTGAATTGGCCTCTACTGAATTCTCCCTGTGCCAAGGTAAAGAATTTTGACTCAGTGGTAAATTCGGGAAGAAGCACCAGCTAGTTCCTTCAGAAATGAAACAACATCGTCCGATGAATCAAGCGTATACCGAGCATTTGTTCGGGTTCGTCCAACGGCACAAGAGAAGTAATTCTCTTTCTTAAGGTCAAGGACGTTACATGAAACCTTTTCAGGTGCTGGCCTTCGTTGTGTAGGGCAGATATGGTTGTTTGTTTTCTTCTCAGAATTTGACACTGGTCGTGCTGTCTTAGTTTGAGATGACTTTGGTCCACTCTTAGTTGCTGGGACCGTCAAAGATGGTTTCCTTTCAACAGAAAACTTAACTCCATCTGTTGCTACCTTGCTTCGTGGAAGACCCACTCCAATAGAGGGAAGATCTGGCTCGAAAAATGAATAAATATCTTCATCCTGTTACAATTAATAATGTCAAATTTGGAGCTCCAAATATTCAACTATATGGTTAAAGCTAAAATATGTAAATACTGACTAGTAGTACTTCAAAAACTTTCTGTTAATGCTTTTAAGACATGGACAAGTCATACCCATTAAAATAATAACCAACTGTACAACAGTTCATATGATTTTTTAACAACATCCTTTCAATTAATAACGTAAAAAGTGGAGTGTTGGTAATAGTAGCAGTGGTAGCGACACTTTCTCTAACACCAATTTTATTGTAGGTTAAAATTTATTGAAGGTATTAGAAAAGATAATTTCATTAAATAAGTTGTGAGACCAGCAAAAACTTGTAATTAATAGTGTAATCAAAAGAGTGTACTATAAATTATGTTACTGCAGAGAACTTTGAATTGTATGCTAAGAACTTCACATTTTAAACCTCCACATAATTTTTTTCCCAAAAGAAAAGTTTGTGCATCACACAGTTTTATATATATATAAGGAGGAAGCTATTCTTTTCAAGAACAAAAATCAGATATTTAATCTTTATTCTTGTCATTTATTTTTTAATAATTTAAAATAATAATTTATCTTATCCATTAGTTTATAAAAATATAAAAATAATAAATTTTTAATTTTTAATCTTAAAATGAATGGATTTTTTTTATATAAAGAGAGTATTACCAATCTATTAACACATTATCCTAACTACGTCAGAAGCTAGACAGTATTGCATGTCATTCGAAAAATTTACAGCATGCTAAAAAATACAGAAACATGAGAAAATAAAATAAAATCACATTAACGATATATAAAATTTTAATTTACCTTCGCCAGAAAATGTCCTATGCATAGAACATAATCAATTGGTGATGTCATGGATTTACTGTGCACTATCTCACCCAAGATGCGGTCAATGGCTGCTCCCTGATTAGGAAAGGAATTTAGTGTAGACGTTTAAATATGTATGATTCAAGTGCAAATATAACTGAGAGAGGTCAATTATGGGAAACAAGAGGTCACCTTGGTAACACCAACAGCTCGCACCTCAACAGATCGGCTCCCTTGAACAACTTCAACTGATGCATTAGAAATTGGACCCGTCCAGAGATGCTGCAGCATGTCCCTTGCTTGAAGTTTTCCAAACTCAACATCTAGTTGAGATCACAAGATAAGTAACCAGAAAGGAAGCTGGAAAAGGAAAAATCTCCATAAAAACATTTAAGCACCTGCATATTTGTAATTCCATACAAGTGATGTTTCTCTTTCTTCAAAATCAAAATGTGACCGAGGTGTTCTTTCCGTGAAGTACTCAAAAACATGCTGCAGTGCAGGACCGGCAATGTAAGCAAGGACATCAAACATCAAATAAATTGAAACAACAAACTGAGAGTACCTTCACACTATCAAGCCATTCTATATTCAGATGCTCTGGCATTGTTGTCATCCACTCACCCTTTGAAGGATGTAAAAACATTCCATTCTCAGCCGCCAACCACATGTCATATTCTTTGAAGTTCTGTTACAGGAAATATGTTAAAAGTGGACCGATGTAATATTTCACAAAGAAAAGAAGCATTGTGCCAAGAATTACATCATCTAGGACTTGTCTACCGCTTCCACTGAGCACAACAACTGTGGTATTTGGATCACTGCATAGCTCTGTCAAGGGTTGTTTCAATTTTGGATGCACCTTAAGTTCCATTTCTTTAATCTGATCGCCTGTTTTCTCGACTGGTTCAGTTAAAGTTCCACTGAATCCCTGTAGTGTGTATAAACAGTGTTGAAAGAAAATGTTAACACAAAAATATTAAACAGTGTTGAAAGAAAATGTTAAGACAATGCTGAAAGAAAATGTTAACACTGAATCCCTGTAATGTCACCATATTTTTAAAATAAAAAAATTAAATTTCACACAAGGTTTTAATAAAATGGTAGTGCCAAAGATCGCAATGTTAATTGTCATCCCAATTATGTTGGCACCATAATTAACAACAATCATCGGCAGAACCACAATCCATAAAATAAAGGATAAAAAAAAAAGTGAAGAGACTAGACCAAAATCCACTAAGAAAACTGTAACAAGGAAGTTGACATCTATCTCTAAAAAAATCAGAATTTACACAAGAAAGTATATATTATCCCACCATGTATAGCAGTGTGCACTAATACTAAAATTCGCTAACTTGTCCGCACAATAGTTCCCTTCGCTAAGTTCTCCATCCATACACCATTCAAGTTGGTCCCTCCACCTCTTGAAAAGGTAAGCTCAGCTTTATGGTTGCCTCCTCCAATGCCTGATGATTGTTTATAATATATTCAGGTAAGTTCCACACCTCATTTTCAATACAATCAGAGACCTTCGCTTGTAGCTTAATGTTTGACACCCCCAGTTCTAACTTTGGCTTCCCAATTGTGCATTTCATCCTGTTGAGATTGAAAGGTGGAATGTGCTTCCTTGCAATTCTAGTCTACTAAACTCATGACCTAGCACTGCTTGTTCTTCCCAACATGATCTGAACTATATTTTTCAACATATCTAAAACAATCCCTTTATGATCTCCCTTGAAACTCAGCCTCTTAAACCCTCCCATACTGATTCTGAAAGTCCCACTATTAGCGTTGAATTTACCATCACTACACATGGTTTAATTAGGGGTGGAGCTTCCTTGTAGTTGTGATATCCCCTCCAATTTGGAAATTTTTGTTTCTAGAGCACCCATTCAACTCCCACCTAACCCCAGCAAATTTGTTTCCCGTGATTTGACAATCTTCATCTCCTTCTATACTTAATGAGGCATGTGAAACCTGACCCCGATCCCAATGAATTCCTTAAACCTCCCAAAATCTACTGAAAGGCAGTAGGCCTGCCCTTACAAGCCCAAGCCACGAACTCATCAAAATCCTCCATGTAATCCATTAAAGCCCAACTCTAACAATCTTGTTAGCTCCAATAATGGGTCATTGTAATTTCCATCATAAAAGCTGCACCCGTAAAGAATCTATTGTAAAATCAAATTCTCCTACATAAAAAGGTTATGCCGCACAAATGCCTTGCATTGCATTACCATTAATCTGTGTGTTGAAAGGATGAGTAACAAAACAGGTAACTGAGGACAGTGCTAGTGTTACTTTGCTATCATGTTGGGAAGAAAATAACCAAGAAATATAATGAATTTCATGTGTTGCGTACATACGAGTATTCATTATAAAATCATACATTTAGCATAATCAAATCATACATCTAACAATGAGATTCACCTTTTGTTCGATGTTGGTTAAACCTAGCTCTAAGGTCAGTTCTGTCAAAGATCGGAAATAGAATAGTAGGCTTTTTGGCTTCACCTCTTCTTCCATATAACCTCCTCATGCATGCACCCTTGAACTGCACAAAATTTCTGAGTCACCCTCATTGCGTGTTTCCGACTTCTCCGTTGAATTTCTGAGTCACGCTTGGACTTGCTTTGTCCGTTCTACCTCTAGAGGCTGTTACGATAATTGTTGTAACTAAATACACGTGCAGTAACAGAAAAAAAGGATGGCAGTTGTTTCCATTACTGTGTATAGAAGGGTAATTGAATGAGAAAAAACAGAGAATTGAATTAGATTGTATTCTGTTTATATCAATCTTGAATGAATCTCGGAATGTTTCTGTAATATACATTCCCTGTGTTTGTATTATTCGAGTGTTTCCTAGAATACGGGTTTTAAACAACAGAGGCTTTGTCCGTCCTGGCTCTGGGTCTCATTCATCCACGTCTCTAATTGTAATTCAACACCACAAGTAGTGCTGTCAAGAATTGACCATTCACCACCGACTGTTTCTCAATCATATTCCTTAACTTTTGTGGTACCCACAAGCTTCTGGATGAAGCTCTAATACCAGTTAATACAACTGGAATCAATAGAAAAACACACAAGAAATTCCTTATCATGAAATCTACCCAAATGAAAACAGAGACCGATACAATTTCACTGAATCCAAGAGTTCCGGCAATTTTGTTATCATCTTGACCCATTTCAGTATGCCTTGCATAAAACTGTGATTAGGATCTTTACCTATCCAAATATTCTAGTCTTGTTGGGTTGCACAATAGATTTCACTGTATCTATTCAGCAAATAAAGCAGTATCTTGTAGAAAGCACTCAGATAAGGAGAAAAAGACAAGGAGAAACAAAAAGACGTATTCAGAGTAGTCTCGGGCTTCATTGTGAGACATCATACCAAAATGAGCAATCGATTAGTTGATTGCTGATAACTTTCAATTGCAGTCTTGGTTGGAAGCGGGGGTGGACCTTGTCTTGTCCTTAGTTGTGCCTCAATAACAGTATCATTTAGTTCACTGCAAATATTCAAATATTCATCATATATGCATCTCTCCTAAAAAGCAAAGCAAGAGATACATTATTTACTAACATATTTTGGTTGATAAATTACAATTGCAAATCGTGTCTTAATTAACTAACCACCATAATTTAGCATGAAATAGTTGTAGTGATGTGGTTGAGATTGGAATCTTGTATAATGATGTCTTTGCATGCTTTTATTAAAAAATTCGGCATCGCAATATTTGTAAAGCCCACAACCGAACCATGATCATGTGCATAAAAGTTGCAAGATCTAAAAGGATGACTTACATTACATCCATTATAAATGACAAACTCCTAAAAAATAAAAAATGATATTCAAAATACCAAGGGTTTTCTTAAGAAGGAGAGAATGGAAGCTATGAAATAAGTATTTAACATTTTGAAATAAAAAAAAGATTATTTTTTTCTTCTTTGAGGAATTAGGATAAGTGATGATACATGCTCTACTTTTATTCCTTCACATTTGATTTTAGGGCCCAGCTCAAATAAATCCTAAACTACATACCTTACGAAAGTTCCTGCCCATTCTTGAGCAGTGTGGGATTTTACATGAAGAAAATTATGCTTATGTCTCTTTTCTCTTTCTGCAGATGGCATCTTCAGAGCCCTGGCAATTGCAGCAGCAACTTCCGTAATGTTCCAGGGGTTGACAAGAATGGCCCCGGCACCAAGAGACTGTGCTGCACCAGCAAACTTCGACAAGCATACCAAATATCAGGATCAGATCAGCATAATACATATCTGATTAAAGAAATCAACATGCAATAATTGATTTATCCACACAACACATAAAAGCTTTCTATAAACCAAGTTAGGAACTAAAAATCTATGATCTAGAAAGGAATAAAGAAATGAAACATTGATATCTATCAAACTACTTTAAATGGTAAAAATTTAAGCAAGGTGCAGAGTGTGTTGTAAGATGCTCAATAATGGAATTAAAATAATATTGGATGTTATATTTTGATTGATGAGTGTGATTATAAAATGGTTACTGTAATACAACTCAAACTTGTGAAAAAGAACACACTAGAAGGGAGTGTTTTACCGTAGAACTGAAAACTTTTGCCATTTGAAAACCTTTTTGAAATCACAGATATAAATTTTAAAACATGTAACTTTCATTCAGAGGTTTTAAAACAAGGATAGAAAGTGAAAGCACAAAATAAAATGTTTTATACTAGTTCACTTAAATTGAGTTACATTCTTTCATTATGAGAAGGTTTCCACTAATCAAAATTGATTACAGAGCAAGTATTATTTACTACTGCTGCTTCTGACTTACAAGCCTTCACAAACATAAAGTTTGATCAAATTTATAATTCACAAGCTGAGAATATACAATAAAGGACAGAACTACACGTCTCCTCCAACGAAGTTCGCCGAACCAGGCAAAGGGTACTGTTGACCCACAATGAAAGGGAAACTCTTGGTCCAAGGCAACAATTAGAAAAAAGTTAGGCTTTGAACCTGATACCATGTTAAGGTTTCAACATAACCAATTAGCAATATGTGAAGTAGTCTAACAGGTATTTAAACCATATTACATGACATGAAGCAAGCAATGTAGAACTTCCAACAAGATGAGATATTGGACACACATAACATTGTAGAAAGTTTCTAAGAGATTTTTCTTTCAATCTTGCATTTCTTGTCTCTTATGCATTGTCTGTTCTTCTATATTTTTCTACTTCTAGTGAAGCTTTCTTCTATAGTGCTGAAAAAGGACAGTTGGGATCAACAACTTTTGGTTTTTCAAAATTGACAAAAGCAACTTCGGATGTGGCACTCTAGAACAAAAGAAAGAGAGGAACTAGGATGTCCATGATTGGCAAGTTGCAAAGCTTGTTTCCACTACCTTGAACTATAAGGGTAATGTCAAAGTATACATCCAATTTGCAATACGCAAGGTTGCATTGTACTTCTTACTTATTGGTTGATGAAGTACCATGATTCTCTATGTGCTTTCCGTACTGCTGTTCATCCATTCATTCTCATGTCTTATTATTATTATTATCAAAACTTAGAAAGTTTGAGGGATTGGACATGATTTGAAAAAAAGCATCTTCTATTTAGAAGAATGGAGGTAGCCATGATTCAAATCTTGACCACTTAATCATAGCAACTCATACGATGTCAAGAACTAACTCTCTTAAAAGCTCAAATTGTTTAGACTTAGATCAGTCTTATATCTCGGAAATGGAAATTATGGATAGTTTTATCAGGAAACTTTTGAAATTTATTCTCGCATCATTAAATAACTCAATATTAACATGTTGACAGAGAAATAAAACATAAATACCCAAGTTTCTATACTTACTTCACTAAGAATGAGAACCCCTTTCTTTTTCTCCTGGCAGGCCACATATTCATAGCTGACAAGATTCATTCCATCCCTCAAAGATGTGACTAGTGCTACATCTGGGTAATAAATAGAGATTATAAATACAAAATTAGCAAAAAAGTTATAATATAATAAACTAATTACCAAAAATAAAATTCAATGCTCCAAAGACAATCAAGAATTCAAGAAAATTGGTAATGAAGTATTAACATACATGAGGACGTCTCCTAGACAATCGAACATGCTTTCACCATTACACAAAATAATCCAAAATTGTCTTATTGTTGGAGTTCATTTCACTCAAGTTTTATAGTACAACTGCATGAATACTTACCATAAATGAACAACATGGGAACAGATATTTTGGTAGTAAATTTGGTGTCCTTGTTGATTGAATTATTAAAAATGGTTTTAATTGTATATCCCTTGTATGGTTATTTGCATGATTCTTGATTTTGCAAATAAGCCATCAAATGCTAGAAACTACTAAAAATGTCATGGCCTTTTTATATAACATATAAGGAAAATACATGTCAACAAGTGAATAGTAAACATCATGAATCATGATTAAGTGAAGATTGCATTGTATTTATTAGAAAAGGAACATTTGTGCTAATCAAGACAACAAGCACAATATTCATGCTTCAAAGAAGCAAACAGATTTTTACGACTTTTAGGTAATACTCAGTTTGCGTTTGGGTGCTAGGGTAGCCTACCACCCTTAAAGCAGTTTCCAACCCTCTAACTTTTGCTATGTAAACAGAATTATACATAACGGACAAAGAAAGGGCAGAAAAATGGACACAACATGCAGTGCCAACAGCAAAACTAATTTCCTCTTTAATTTCATAATATAATATACAAAAAGCCTTTTAAGATTCATTGCTAGGAGCATGCTGGAAAAGAACTTTCAACTTCAGATATAGAATTCTAAGCATAATATCAGTTCGCAAATTAAAGAAAATGTAAAAATACTGAATAACTCTCAGTCAAATTAAAGAAAATGTAAAAACTCAAATTACCAGTAACAGCATACAAAGCACATAGTTGATGAAAGTCAAGTGAGCGATCCTGTACAGACAACAAAATTGTAAGATTATTAAGCCTAGAAAACACTTCAACCAATTCAATATTAGTATTAAGAGATGTAAACTAATGATTAATCATCAGAATAAGCATATAAAACATCAAACCTCATATATAGACCATATCATGACCAGTATAACATTGAAGTTCATAGTTAAAAATAAAATCTCTATCATTGGTCAGTGTTAACTTCATATTTATGGAAAAAGAACTGCAAGGCCTGTAACCAATTTATGTTGTATCATCTACAATTAGCTTGACCTTTCCTCTTTCTTTGTTCAAATCAGATATAAACATGTGTAATTTTCAGTCGAATAGGAACAATAAATCATGTTTCACTATTCATACCAAACTTACTATTTACAGTATCAACTATTTTTGTTCAAAAGGAAAGAACCAGAAATAGAATATGTTGGCTGAAACCGTATGTTTCAAATACACAGTGGAGTCTGGATATAAAGATTAATTAATCAATCCAATTAATTTTAGGAGATTCTGTTCATATAATTAAGATATAAACATTACTAAAATACAGAATAATAATAATAATGATGATGATAATAATAATAATAATAATAATAATAATAATAAAGAGAGAATATGAAACTGATCCTATTCTGATTCTGAATAGTTTTCAAGTCAGATAGCTCATCAATGTTTTTTACCTGGTATAGTTTAACATTTTTTGTGAATCAACCAAAATTTTTGTTTTGTTGATTTACATGAGCTTCATGCCGATACATGAAAAGAAACCACACTGCTGTCCAACATAGGAAGAGATCCATAAGTTCATATGTTGTGTAAACAACTCTTTTACATTTCCTTGTTTGGTTCTACAGAAAATTTGAGTATAGTATTGAAATTGCAGCTTCCTCAACAGGCACGCATACGTCCAGCCTTCCACATTTCTCAGCTCAAAAAGACTGCAGACGATCACCTAATAGAAATAGACCTTCCAGTTGAGTTACAAGGCACCATAGAGTGCTACAAACCTCACAAAATTCTGGACGGTCCCGTAGTAGTTAAGTATGGCACAGAAATTCCTCAAGTTTTGGTGCATTGGCAAGGGAGACTTCTACAAGAAGCTACCTGGGAAGACACTTCTGTCATCCAAAATCAATGCCATACTTCAACCTTGAGGACAAGGATATTTTGAAGAGAGGAGGTATTGTCAGGACTGAGCCCAAGCAAAAATCTATAGGAGGAAATGGTCTGCAGGGTTTATTATAGGAAACGGAAAAGGTCAAAGTTGTAACAGATTATTAGTTGGATAGAAGAGTTAGTTGATTCTAGTATCTGGTTTATTGACTCCTATAAATAAGTCATCTTTTAAGTAAAGGTGCAGATATCGAGTTTTTTGTTACTGGGCAAATTTCAGCTTAAAAATGAGAAAGCTCCTTTGGAGGTATACTTGTATACCTTGGTTCCAGGGAATTCTTTTCTTTATATCAGCAATAAAGAAGCTTTTACAGAATTTCTTTCTCTTGTATGCGACTTTTCCTAGCAGGTTCTATTTCCTTAAATTAGAAAGAAGATCCTAACAATTGCACATGCAGGACAGCTGAGTTAGATAACTCAATGAAAAAAAGAAAAGAGTGTAATTGTATTGTTTTTGATGGTGAGGCGGCAATAAAACAACAAATAAAGTTATCACCATGTTAAGAACGCACCAAATGATGTATAGGAACAGTGGTCAATGTTCCAAATCTGCCATTGATGCGCCCAACTATTTCATGAACCTGGCTTGTAAGCTTTTGATCTAAACATATGTAAGAAAAAAAAAATTATCAGTCATGATCCAAAGCCAAAAACAATGCCATAATAGAAAATGTACAGAAAAATTAGTAAATGATGTTTGACGTGCCAATGTCTATGTTCCCAGGACTAAGTATCTCAAACAAATTGAACAAGGAAAGAGACAAGTAAAACTCGGTATCCCAGGCATGAACATTAAGAATGAAGTTTAGAGTGAATGTGGCATAATAGTAGTGCTTCGAAAATAATATAATGATTATGAACCTAGAATTCAACAAAATATTCTTTTCAATGTGAAAGATTTATAATGCATATAAACAATAGACAACACTGCAGAATCTACTCTAATGTATAGATCTCTGAGATGATTCCCATTAATTTTAGCACCTTAAAGTACCAAACAATTTCTTTTGTCCAACACAGGATTCTAGAAAGTACAAGTACAAATAATAGTAAAATAGAAATATTTATAACTTTCTTTTATTTTTAAAAGAAATGACAACTTCCTTGTACTTTTAGAAGACATAATCTTCCATTGTCAACAAAGAAAAATTGAGGGTGAGGAGCTTTTTCTGAAGGCAACTATACCAAAGTAGCCACAAGAACAAATAAAATAACGTGAGTAGCATACACTCAGGAACATCTGTTCTTGTCGGGACAGCGATTTGTAGCAAAACAACTTTATCACGCCAATAAGCATCTTCTTCCAGAAATTTTTCAAATGCTAGAATTTTCTGAGGGATTCCTTTAATCATATCTAAGCGATCGACACCTAACATTACCTGTCAAGGAAGGAAAGGTTGTAACAATTCAATTAATAGAACCAAATCAAATAAGTACGTAGATCGTATAACGAAAAGAAAAGTTGTTGTCGTGGGCTCATGACACTGCGTACCAAACGAATACAATTTATACAGTGAAATTCTGAAAGCAACACCTTCATTAGGTCAGTCCCATATCAAGGGTCCCACTACTAGAAAATTGTGGTATAAAAAGTAATACTTTCTAAGCAAATAAAAAAGGAAATTTGCTTCTTATTAGTACCAAACAGATAGCAATAGCATGGTAAATTCTCTGGTTGCTTTATATTGAAGATCAATGACCAACTCTCCTTAAAAGCTTAAGTTATTAAGTGTTCACGAAAGATTGGCATTTCAAGCCCCGTCACACAAGACCCCTTCTGGCCTAAAGAATGCAGGGAAAAGTATTAAACTCTTGAGAACTTGGTGATAGATATTATAATGTCGAGTTAATAAACGACCTCCCTAAAGGCTAAAGCCAACTGAATGGTTTTGTACCTAACAATGACGCAACTTTCTACAAACAATTAGATTTGAAGAAGAATAATAGGTTGGAGGTATAGTTGAACAGTGGTCTGTAATTGTGGCACAGCGTTTTACATGTTATTTAGAGAATTTTCCCATGCTTTCATAACAAGATATTCAAAAGACAACAGCTCATTGTAACCATCAATATTTCATTGTTTTTTACTCCATTTTTCTTCCCTTTCCATCCTATATGTTTTCATCAAAAGCCATCATCTATATTTTATCTGGACAATCCTTAAAAGCCTTTCACTTTGTCAAAATAAGAATAAATTCCTTAATAATGAAGACTGAAAAGCAAGAAGCATAATCTAAAACAATTCCACAATTACTAGGAGCAAGTAAAATAAGTTATTAGATTTAAAAAAGTGTTTGCTACAAAATAAAAGAAGCACCTTTCTGCCTTTAAATCTTTCTTGTAATTCTCTGATGTGATCTTGTACTGGAGGAAGGTCAAGAGCTCGTATAAAGCGCTCTGAGTCTATCCCGATTGGAAACTGACATTCAAGGGGCCAGAATCGAATGAGAAATTTAAATTTTAAGCTCAATATCGTAATTGGTTAAATATTGAATTTCATATAAGAAAGTTTCTTTTCTTTTCCCGGTACTCCTCTTTAACTAAGTAAAGTAAAGAGCAATTTTTTAAAACAACTGTTGAAATGACAAAGCAAGGTGAGCTTGTAGACAAATTTGTAGCACATACCGCAGCAACACGAGTTAGCTTCCCTTGATACTCAACCCCGTAAGGTGTACCTTCAAGTCCAAGGATGCGAGTACAGGCACTAACAAAATGTCTTGCATAATCGTAGGTGTGAAAACTGCAAAAGAAAAGTTACATCACAGGAAAAATAGAAAAATGAAAATGATTAAACCGAAGAAGGCTACATATAAACATAGAAAATTGCAAGGTAAGAACCCGTAAGAATATATTATCAAACTAAATAAGAATTGTTAGCAGAGTCAACTTGAATTGCCCCATACTTTCATCATTTGCATGATTAATATATCGGTAATAATACTCCTTAACAGTTCAAATCTTATCAAAATTATATCATGAAATATTATCACTATAACTTAATGGCATGTATTCATATATATTCTGTTTCCTGTGTGATAGTTTTATCGGATTGGTGTAATACTCTCAAATTCCATTTAAACACAGTTTTGTATAGGCATTGTGATCTGTATCCAATACCGGGTCTATCAATCCTTTCCAACAAATTATTTGCAATCACTTTGACCAGTGGTTCGTCCTCCCACCCACTAGGAAACTGATAACATTTAGACACCAGTCAGTAGTTTTAGCCACACAAATTGGGGTAAGGGGTTACCATCAGGTGACTGCAGTTGTTGGTTTCATGTATGTAAATAAACTGATTAGTCAGAAAGGAAATTGTCTAAGAATGTCTAGTTTCATGGAAAATACAAATATTTCATAATGTTCATTCTCAAAATTTGCTTATATGAAATAGATAAATGGAAGCCATAAGGTTATTGACGATATTTGCAAGAATCAAAAGAAGGAGGAAATCAAGTCCTCTTCTTTACAGACAAGATGTACTGAGGCATAGTACCAAACATTCATAACAAAATCCTTCATATCTTTAGTTCGGGAAACAGAATTTTTTTTCAAGTGCAGTTTTGCCACCCAATGGTTAATGCCAAATTTGATATACTAAACTAGTAGTTTATTAAAACTAGCCGAAAAACAGTCAATGTATACTTCGTAAACATTTATAGGAAGAGTCTAATGGACAGCATATTATATAACCACCCAAATGGTCAAAAACTCCCTAAACCCTTGAAACAATTTTATTACAAAATGAACCTGCCCATAACAAATTTATAATAATCATACCAAAGCATGACTGCTAAATGGAGGAGCCAATTGGGACTTACCCAACTAAATCAGCAGCGAGAACGGAATGCAGGAGCTCTGAACGAGATGGCAGTGTCCTGTGAATTTCAGAAGATGGGAAAGGGGTGTGGAGAAACCATCCTACTTTCATATTCTTGTTATGTTTCTTTAGGCATTTTGGAAGGAACATGAGATGGTAATCATGGCACCAAACGACATCACCCTCTTCATAGTGCTTGTTTACAACATCAGCAAACATCTGATTTGCTTTCTCATATGCCTCAAATTGAGACTGAAAACTGCGCGTGGTGGCCAGGCGATCTTCTTGTGGGAGTCCGAGGTAGTGGAAAAGCGGCCACAATATATTGTTGCAGTAGCCATTATAATACTGATGAACAATCTCTTCATCAAGAAATACAGGGATGCACCGCTGCAATGCACAACAATTTTCATAAATTATTTACCATATTTTCTTCCACTAATTATAGTACACACGGGGAGTAAGGTACCAGAGTATATGGCATTTTAATAAGAATTTAATTACTGTCTGTGTAAACAATTAGAACTAATTAAAAACTATGATACCTCTGACCTTTAAATTTAAACTCTATACATTGTCACCATGAACTCATTTTTGTAATAATACGTTTTTTTCATAAAATTGAACACCAAAGTTTACAACAAGTTAATAATCAACCTTTTCAGCCAACGCTTTAGTGAGTGCCTTCTGTCCAATCTCATCTGGCACATTCACTCCGGCCCAACCTATCCACTTTGCCTCAAACTCCTTCACACCTTTGTAAAAGAACATAGTCATGTTAGAGTAGGTCATTAGCTTAGTTAGACATAGTAATTTTAATTTTTCTCTCTGTAAAATCTCATTGAAATAATTAAAAAAATTGTATAAATGTTAATATTATAAATTACTTATAGAATTTAATTAGAATGCACCAATTGTATAAAAGATATTTAGACTATCGTTAAATCATATAATAACATGTACAGTAAATTGGTAATCATTAGAACAGAAAAGTCAAATTTTACTCTTACCTCAGTTTAAATAAATTTCGCACTCAAAATGAGCGGTATCTTGTTTTTCCCAAAATGCACGTTATTTTCAAAGTGGAAGCAGACGTAACAAAAGGTGTTACAGCCGCCAACCACACTTACAAATTTAGTTCTACCTACGCATTACAATTAAACGTGTATATGCAGTACCGATCCATTCTCTGTTTGAAATTTAGGGAGAGAAAAATTGAGTTGATTGGAAATGGATATAAATATGAATTTTTTTCTTTTTTAATTTTTAGAAAGTCAAACAGAAGAGAAAATGGATAATACAACTCTTATTTCGAGTTTGTTCCTATTTTAATTTTATATTTATATTTAAATTTTAAAACATTAATATTTAAAAAAAAATCTTTTTATTATATATAAGATAATTTTTTATATTTTATCATTGTTATTCTTTTTTACTCATTTTTTATTTTTTTTATGTAAATTAGTTCATTATATTTTTATTTATTTTTCATTTTTTTATATTTTCTTAATATCTCTAATTAATTTTTTTTTATTTTTTCAATCAATTTGATAAATAAAAAGTTAATTCTTTTATTCTTTATTTTTTTAAATATTTTACATAAATATTAGTAGTAACTAATATCATTTTATTTATAATTTATCTTTATTAAATTTTATTATGTAATATTTTTTGAATCTTATTATTCTTATTTGTCATATATTAAATTTTATTTTAATAAAATAATTATATTTTGAAAATTAAAAAAATTAAAAATTTATTTTTTTATTATTTTATACTAATTAAATAAAAACTAATTTATTAAATATTTTCTTACAAATTATATATTTTATATTAATATATATTTAATTAATAATAATTATAAATTATAAAATTATAAATATTCATTTATATAAAAAAAATACATAAAATAGTAAAATTAATTTATTATAAATATAATTATTTTTTTAAAAGTAATATAGATCGAGATGGGAAAAGGTCGAAAAAATCCATAATCCAATAAAGATGGAGATGAAAATTTAATTTTTAATTCGATGAGAATCGAAGACGGTTTAAAAAATTAGGAATGAAGATCAAGAAAGCAAAACCGCCTCGCTCAGCGTTATCACTTGAAAATATGTGAATCACACCTAATAACCTTTCACTTATGATTTTATAATTGAAAAAAACTTATAATAAAATACATATTTATATATTAATAATTAGTAATATTTTTATATAAAAAATAAATTAAAATTATTAAAAATTAATTTGTGTCTATTAATTCTTTAAAATTTGAATTTAATTTATTCATAAACTAATTTTAATTTTTTTAAAACATAATGTTAAAGAAAACCCTAAGGTGTTTTATGATAAAAATATGTTGGATAAAAATAAAAAATAAGTGAAAATATTTAAAAAACATTAAAAATACTATAAAGATGGGCATGAATTCACTCCAAATGGAGAAAATAAAAAATGTACAGTCTTAAAACCCCACAATTCATCCATTTTTGCTATAACTTTTTATACTTAAATTATTAAATATAATAATTCATCCCAACGTGATTAAAAAACAAAAATACTATAAGGATTCCATCATTTATAAAATATATTTTTTTGTCAAATTTATTATATATTAACAATATTACAATTAGTCACTTTTACTTCTAGTTGATAATTAGATCATTCGAAATCACACAAAATAAATAATAAATAAATAAAGTCTAAAATTTTATTCTTTTTAAATTATATAATAATTTTTTGATATTATTTCATATTATTTTATAAATAAATTATAAGTATTAGTTTATTTTATATTTTCACTTAAAATGCAATATATGATCAAAGTGTATTATTATGTTGATTATTAGTTTTATTTGTGTGGTACATTTGCAAATATAAATACATATTAAATGATTTTTTTAACATATGAAGAATCAATATATAGTAGTCTATAATGCTAAATTTGAACTCTATATTATTTCAGCAAGATAACGAACACAAATAAAAATTTAAACTATAAAAAATAAGTTTGCAGATTAATAAATAATAAAAATATATGTAATGTCAATGTATGATATTTTATTGATAATATGTGATAATGATAGGACTAAAAAGACTTTATTTTAGAAATAAATAAAATAAAATAATTTAAATATATGATAAAATTCAAATGAAGACGATTTTGAAAAAAAAATTGTATATTTTAATCTAAAGTTTATCTAGTCCATTGTGCGAATTAAAACAAAGATAAATTTCTTTTGTGATATTATCAATGTTGTTTTCGTGAAGATATAATTAAAATGTACTTATCTCATAAAAGGATAAGTTTATTTATCTATATAATACATATTTATATTTTAAAATATTAAATGTTTTTCAAATATAACCATATAATTTGAACACCAATTTCAATTAAGGTATAAAATAAAATAAAAAATTGTTTAAAAGAGGCATACTACTAAAAATGGTTAATGGTTGATAAAGTTGTTGCCAAAATTGACATTTGCTTATTACCATTTTATTATCATTGAAAATGGTTATATTATGATGTTATCTTCAGAAAATTTGTAACCTGGACCATCTCTGTTCCAACAGAAAATAAAACACACTAAACAAACAGCATGATGATAATAATGGTGACCGCCATTTACCTAACAGGGCGCTGACGAGTCCACCGGCACTTATCTCCAATGACCACGCGTCCTCGCCTTTCCTCACTGCCGACACCGGCAACCTATTCGCCACCACCAACAGCCTCTGTCTAAACGTCTTCGTTTCATGCTTCTCCTCTCCCTCTCCCTTCCTCACCCTACCCGGTTCAACACCATCACCCGTGTAACTCTCTTCTTCCCTCAAACGCACCTTCTCCTTCTCAAAACCCTCACCACTGTTTCCATTGCTCTCACTCCCCTCCTTCAACTGACTCACCCTCCCACTCTTCCTCAACTCTCTCTCCCTCAGAAGTCGTTCCACCCGCCCCGGAATTCCATTCGAGTTTCCGTTGTACTTGTTCCCAGGCATATGCACGTCCTTCCAACACACACACACACACGCTTCAACAATCAGTAACAGTTTCTTCAAACCTGCACGAAAAACACATTCAATTAACAATATAATAATAATAATAACAACAACAACCAAGAACAAAAAGCGAAAATTATCCAAACAAACCAAATGAAAATTAAGCAAGCAGATTGTGGTCAATCATAATTCATAACCAAATTGTTGGTCCAAATATTTGTTTTCACTTTTGGTATAGAAAGAAAACATTAAACAAATTGACAGAGGAATTCAATTTAAAGAATGCAACAACCACACTGCATGGAGTAAAACATAATTAAGAAAAGTTAGATGCAGTTTTTAAGCTTGTTTGCCGACATTCTTCTATCAGAATTATAGGGCTTCATGTTTAACACTGAAATTATCAAAGTGAAAAGTGAATATGGATGAAGCCGTACAAAATCGTTTCACATTAGTAAGTAGTCAGGAATTAAACTGAATCACGCAACTTGACCACAACAAAATTGTGAATATTGGAAAGAGTGAAGAAAACAGAGAAAAAGTTAGAATAGAGAATTGAGGAGTTACTTGACCTCCTCGAGAAGTAGCGTCGAAGAGAAGCAAGAAAGAGGCAGAGAGAATCCTGACAGGGAGTTAACAGCTGTGTGATTGAAGAGGTGGGAAGTGAGTGGGAAATTTTGCAGAATCTGGATAACAAAGAATTTTGAAGTTAATGGTTGGAGCAATCACTTGGAAGAAAAGAAAGAGGGAAAAGTGGAATCCTCGTGTATGCTTCACAAGCCACTGTAAAGCGTCCAGCCCATGCAGGTCACAACACATAACAAGATGTTCAGTTCAAAATCGGAGCCAAAACAGTAACTTCTTCAGTCAAAATAATTTGTATCTATGGAGAAGTTAATTTTATTTTTTATATTATATAAGTGATTAATTAATTAATGTTATATAATATTGGAGATAGAAGTGATAAAGTTTAGCTTTAGAGAAGAAAAATATCCTAGAGAGTTATATTACAACAACTAAAAGATATTTAAATCTATAATCAATCATATACTAGAGAGTTATCCAAGACATCTGATAATTTTTCATAAAAAAAAAAGTGACATAACCATTTATTAATTCAATATCCTATTGTGTGCCAACATCTCACATTTGATATATATTTGTTTATTGATTGCAGTTGAAACTACAATTGTCTCATCTATGCATGCGTGCTTAGATGTATTTGTTGTGTATGTATGAAACCTTATATATAATGGCAAATGTGCATAATGTATTGGTTGTGAGTTTTAATAACTATTTTGTTTTATATCATCTTCAAAAATAAATTGATTATAATATGTTATTTTTTAAAATCAAAATTATAAATACAATTCTTTGACTTAAAAATTTTATTAGTGAAATTTTGTATTCTTTTTATCTGCATGTAATTAAGAATATATATATTTTTTGTAAGTTTAATTATATTTTTATCTAAGAAACTTGGGATAATTTTAGTTTTGGTCCCTAATAGCATTATTTTTAGTTCATTAAAAATTTTAAAAAGTGTGTGATTTTTTAAATATTAAAATTTTAAGACACAAGTATAAAATTTAGAATATAAGATTTAATATTTAAAACATTTCTATGAATCAAAATTCATATTTAGAGAATACATATAACTTTTTAATCATAATGAATTAATATATTTTTTAAAAATTGAGATACCGTTTCTTCGTAAACTAATATTAGTTTATGTATGAGTTAATTTCTCATACAAATTTTTAATTATTTTAAATTTTTGTATAAACTGATATTAGCTCATAAAAAAGTTTATTTTATCTTTCTTTTTATTTTCTGTCTGAAAAACTTATAAACTACAAATCCAAGTAACCCGTAATTATAAAATTATCATATATAATAAATTTGTTAATTGTATTATAATTTGTTAGAAAATTCTATCAATTAAAAATATAATAATATTATGTTATAAAGAATAATATAAGAATTAGCTCTAATAATTATAAAATATTAATATTTATACAATAAATTACTCATTATTTAGTAATATTGAACTACTTATTTTTAAGTAAGAGAGTACAATAAAAAAAATTATTCTCAATTAAACGTAAAAAATATATTAAAAAAATTTATATCGATTAAAAATATGATAATATTATAATACATAAATAAAATTTTTTATTTTATTTAAGCTGGTTTTAAGTATCTTTCCAATAATTATTTTAAAAGATAAAAATATATATTAATATATAGGAGTTTTAATTAGTTTTCTTTACCACCAACCTTAATCAATGGTTTATTAACAACGTGCAAGAGATTGTAAATATGATTCTATTAACAGCTTAACGTAATAAGAAAAAAACAGCTGAACAAATAAGATGAAGAAAATGTTTGACCTAAATAATGAAGGAAGAAAATATAATATATAGTCAATAAAAGACAGCTCAATTTATGGTCAAGACTGGATCCGCATTTGATGCAAACATGGAGGGAACAAGTGAATTTCACCTTATAATTAACCCTAACCAATGCTGTCACATAAGTCCACCAACCTCTATAATTATTTTTTTCCTTAATCATTTGAGGACAAAAGGAACTATTTTTACATTTACCTATTTTTCCTCACGTAATGGTTGTTACACGACAGATTTTTAATGAATTAAAAGGTTCTATTCTATCCTATTAGTCAAAAAGTTTGTAACTTTCAAGATTTGTTTCCTTCTTAGAAGATGACAAAGTCATGTTTTTCTTGTATATCAACAATTGTTTAATAATCAACAAATGTTTTGGTTTCATTTTTTATATGTTGAAAGAAAATATAGAGTCGGTAGAGAGTGATCAAGATAGAGAGAAGAAAGTGAGGAAGGGAAAGGTAAGTTGTCTTTTAAAATAATATTCTTATTAATTTTGGGTCATATTAATTTAGAGAGAGAAAGTATACCATTGAATTCATTTTTTTAAAGTATGAAACCTTGGTAAATTTATGCTTTTGAGATAAAAAAAAATTGTAAAAAAAGGGTATAAAATAAATGAATTGATGTTTCATTAACATACTTCGGAATACCAACTATTTGTTAAAAAGATTAGAAATTTTGGATTTTTATAAGATTTAAATTATCAATTACTTTTACCAGACAAACCCTTAGAAAGTGAATGACATGGACGAAAGGCTAATAATTTAAACAATCGATTATTTTTTAAAAAAATTATTGAATTCACTGCCACCATTGGACCAACCAAGAGGCAATACGCATTCCAAGGAAGCATTTGAAAAGTAAAATCTTGAAAAAGTTACTCCCATATCTTGAACTTCAGGAAAAATTGAAATATTTTCTAACTAATCGTACGACCTAAAACTCGGCATGGCAACGAGATTGGTGGACAAAGCTTTTGCTTCTCGTCTCGTCTCCAAATTTTTTTTAACTGTCTTATTTTATTATCTTTGTTGGGTTTTAGATTTTTTCAATCCGTTTTTATTTTATATTATTTTAAAAAAATAATTATGTTTATAATAGATTAATTTTAATATATTTTATGTATAAAAATATTTATAATTCATAACTATTATTATTAATTAAGTATATACTTTAATTTTTATATTAATATATATATATATATATATATATTTTATATGAATATAAAATACTTATAATAATAATATTATTATTATTATTTTATTATTATTATTATTATATAATACTGTATTTTAATATTTGATTATATATAAATTAATTATTTTTTTAAGTTGTCACTTAAAAAATATTTATAAATATTAAATATATAGTTTATGAAAAAATACTTATAAATTAATTTTTATTTAATTAGTTTAAAGTAATAAAAATTTTAATTATTAATTATTTTTAATCATTCAAAATATAATTATTTTATTAAGATAAAATTTGATATATAATAAATAAAAATAATAAAATCTAAAAAATATAACATAATAAAATCTCAAAAAATAAATTATAAATAAAATAATATTAATTATTATTAAGATTGATGTAAAATATTAAAAAAAATATGTTTGTTAAATTGATTAAAAAGATTGAAAAATTAATTTGTTTAAAAAAAATTAAGGAGATTTGAAGAAATTACGTATAAGATAAAGAGAACAATGTAACGAATTGATTAATTAAAAAATTGAAAAAAGATAAAGGAATAAAAGTTGAGAAAAAGAAAAAGAAAAATCCTTAACCTGTTTCTAAAATGACAAGGGGGTACTTAGATGGAACAAAGAGGACCAACAAAAATTAAGGGAAAAAAAAAACAAAATAAAATAATAGATTTTATTTTGTATTAAAGAGAATATTTAAATTAGTACATACATAATTATGTTTTATTGTCAATTTTTGAATCTAAATTTCAACTGTTTTAAAAATATTTTAATAGATTAAGAAATAAAAAATATATAATTATTTTAAAGCTTAATTTTTAAATTATGTAAAACTTATAAAATGTAAAATTAGGTATATATTTTAATTATTAATAAAATTATATATAAATAAGATATTAAATATTAGAAATGAAAAGATATTTAATCAATTATTGTAAAATTGATTTGATATGATTAAATTTTTTTACATATATATTATAATATTATTGTATATTTAATTGGTATAAAATTTTATTTCATTTCTTATTTAAGGTAATTTTTAATAATATTAATATTATTATAATTAATTCTAATATGATATTAAAAATGTTAATCTTTAATAAAATAAGATTATATTTATTTGAATATTATAATGTTATAGTTATATTTTTATTAATGATTTCGTGAGAATTTATTTATCACACCAATTTTGAAAAGAGAAAAGCTATTTTGACAAAAACATCTTGTCAAACATTTGGTTTATAACTAATTTTAATATTATAATAATAATTTAAATTTGTTAATTTTTATTAAAAAATTTATTATTATTATATTCATAAATTGAGTTGTTTTTGGACTTGTTTGTTCAAAGGGTTGTTAATATATAAAGTTTTGAAAAAAAAATTAA